TAGATCTATGATGTATATCTATAGATCTAAGATGTATATCTATAGATATATGATGTATATCTATAGATATATGATGTATATCTATAGATCTATGATGTATATCTATAGATCTATGATGTATATCTATAGATCTATGATGTATATCTATAGATCTATGATGTATATCTATAGATCTATGATGTATATCTATAGATCTATGATGTATATCTATAGATCTATGATGTATATCTATAGATCTATGATGTATATCTATAGATCTATGATGTATATCTATAGATCTATGATGTATATCTATAGATCTATGATGTATATCTATAGATCTATGATGTATATCTATAGATCTATGATGTATATCCATAGATCTATGATGTATATCTATAGATCTATGATGTATATCTATAGATATATGATGTATATCTATAGATATATGATGTATATCTATAGATATATGATGTATATCTATAGATATATGATGTATATCTATAGATATGATGATGTATATCTACAGATATATGATATCATGGATCTTAATATTTATGGATGGGATCTACAGATCTTCATATGATTCACTGATGGGGAATGAAGATCTATAGTATGTTGAATAGATCTTAGATTGATCTATGGATGTGTTTACCATGACTCTATGAAGATCTACTGTATATGATGAGTGTAATCTATCACAAACTTTTAAACAGCATAGAATTGTGTTGGGATGAAGATCTATAGTATTAGTTGATGTATCATCCCAGCAACCCAATGTTGAGTTTATATCATTTCATTCATATGATGTTGATAACAGACTATATATTTTGGGATGGACATCTATGAAATTCAAGAATAATTTGTGATAGATACGAAACAATTGGAGGATGCACATCCATAACCCATAACGGTGTGAACGGGAGGGCACCATGGTTTTGACGCGTACCCACATCCCCTTTCAACATCTTTCAACGGGGTGCACACCCAAATTTGGCTGCATTCTCCTAGAGTCTTGAAACCACGCCATCCTATCAGATTCACATTGGCTTGTCAATCATGACACATGTCCAGCATGGGGCAGCATGGCCGCCCAGCCCAGTCCACGACAACGACAACGTGCAGCCAAGAGTCTGATTTCCGATCTCACCACCTTGTGCCGCAGGATTGCTTTTTTGACTTTCGATGTGACCAAATTGAACTTCTAAAACGACGAAAAACTCTAAAACCCCATGGTTTATCATATTCCCTATTAATGAACTTGCTGTGCTGGAGCCATCCCTTTTTTGGGGGACTTCAAAATATGTTCGCTGCAATTGCCATTACATGGTGATCAAGTGCTTCAGTCAAGCAACTTGAGGACCCTAAAGGCCAAACATGTTTCATGTTCATATCATTCATATCTAACGTCTGGAAATCAGATATGGCCAGCTGGACAATTACTGTATCCCATTTAGTTCGATGATTTTCCCAGCGAACTACAGCATATGTGTGTGTGTATATATATATATAACAAGTTCCCTCCAAACCCCACGTTCGCCCACACCCAAATAACATCCCCAAACAATATCATATACTTGTCACCATAGGATGAATGGAAACACTGGCTATACGCAGCGATTTTGACTTTAGGTTTTTAGGATATAATGTCCACATGGCGTTAATAAACCCCCCCACAATAAAGTACGCCAACTCCCGGGAAAAATTAATAAACCCCCCCGTAATAAAGTACGCCAACTTGTTTTTCCCGTTTTTTTCCGTTTTTTTCCCTTTAGTATTCGTTTTCAATCAGGCAAATTCATTTGTGAATACTCAAATGTGTTTTTCTGTTTTTTTCCCTGTATGTATTCGTTTTCAATTAGGCAATTCATTTGTGAATACTAAAGTTTTTTTCCGTTTTTTTTCCCTTCGTTTTCAATTAGGCAATTCATTTGTGAATACTAAAGTTGTTTTTTCCGTTTTTTTTCCCCTTTTATGTATTCGTTCTGGAGTTGAAAAAAAACAAGGATCAAATGGTCGATTTCCTTACTAAACCCTCTCGAAAAATGCAAAAAAACAATCGCGCAAAGGGGGTGACCCTGAAGACCCCAGACATCAAAATAATAATGTATGTTTACACACCCCTAAATAAAGTATTTGGATTTCAGGGGTCTAATCAAATTTTTGGTGGTTGAAACTGTTTCTCAATTCCTTTCCTATTTGAACCCTCTCTCAAACCCTTTCTGAAGCCCTTAAGACTCTTTGAGCTGGAAGCAGCACACTCCAAACTCCAAATCTTGCCTGAAAAGTTCTGGAGTTGAAAAAACAACAAGGCTCAAATGGTCGATTTCCTTACTAAACCCTCTCGAAACATGCAAAAAAACAATCGTGCAAAGGGGGTGGCCCTGGAGACCCCTGACATCAAAATAATAATGTATGTTTACACACCCCTAAATAAAGTATTTGGATTTCAGGGGTCTAATCAAATTTTTGGTGGTTGAAACTGTTTCTCAATTCCTTTCCTATTTGAACCCTCTCTCAAACCCTTTCTGAAGCCCTCAAGACTCTTTGAGCTGGAAGCAGTACACTCCAAACTCCAAATCTTGCCTGAAAAGTTCTGGAGTTGAAAAAACAACAAGGCTCAAATGGTCGATTTCCTTACTAAACCCTCTCGAAACATGCAAAAAAACAATCGTGCAAAGGGGGTGGCCCTGGAGACCCCTGACATCAAAATAATAATGTATGTTTACACGCCCCTAAATAAAGTATTTGGATTTCAGGGGTCTAATCAAATTTTTGATGGACTAAAGTTCCAAGAAAGTTCACTTTATGTAGTCGTTTTCAATTAGGCAATTCATTGTGAATACTAAAGTTCCAAGAAAGTTCACTTTATGTAGTCGTTTTCAATTAGGCAATTCATTTGTGAGTACTAAAGTTCCAAGAAAGTTCATTTTGTGTATTCGTTTTCAATTGGGCAATTCATTTGTGAATACTAAAGTTCCAAGAAAGTTCACTTTATGTATTCGTTTTCAATTAGGCAATTCATCTGTGAATACTAAAGTTCCAAGAAAGTTCACTTTATGTATTCGTTTTGAATTAGGCAATTCATTTGTGAATGCTAAAGTTCCAAGAAAGTTCACTTTATGTATTCGTTTTCAATTAGGCAATTTGTTCGGCGCCACATAGGTCTGAAAATTTTCCAGGAACCCTAGGTGAATGTTTGGCCTAAACTTTATTTTGATGCTCTTAATGTTTGGGGGGGGAGGGTAATACGATGTTGACATTAGGGTTTTAATTTAGAATTTAGGCTTTTGGGTTTTTAGGTTTTTTGGGTTTTAGGTTTTGGAAAGTAAAAAACGCTAGCCCTACGCAGGGATTTGAGCATGTCAAAGGATATGCGGGATCCGATGCGGGCAAACGTGGGGTTTACAGCGAACAAGTTTATATAATATAGTTGACCCTTCATAAACTTGTTGGATGTGAAGCGACATCTGTCATTTATATAAATTTGTTGTCAATGTCAGCAGCTTCATGAAGTATCGAATTAAAAAACAAGTTGTTTGCAAATCTGCTCAATGGTTCCACAAATAGGGACCCACCAATGTTTCACCATTTCATTGTCGACCGTACCACGGGACTCTACATAGTTACCTGCAAAATAGGAGGGATGACACGTTTTCATCTTTTTGCGGAAGACTATAAACGTCCATCAACGACATGAAGAAAAACAGATCTGGTGTTCGACAGTAATATAAGATCTAAACATGGGTTTGTCTGATAATAGGATACCCCCAAAATTCGATGTTCAGTCACCATTTTCCCGGCTAGACTTTGGGCTATATCTCAATTATCAGACACACAGAAGTATTATTTATACAATACAGTGTAAATATTATCAGAAAGATCCCACAAAACATCGACATAAGAAATCCCAATCATGGTGGGTTTTGTCATATATCCATTCGTGACGCCTCTAATTTCCATCAATAGATTCACATATCATATATAGTTCCTGCTACATTCCAGTTTTATATGGCAGTGTGTCAAAACCTTGTACCCCTGGTGAACATCAAAATAGCTGGTAAATGGATGTTCATCCCATTAAAATGGTATTAATAGGTGTTGACCCACACCCATATCCCGTAATCATACCCCATGACATACCTCCATATGAGCATTGTTCAACATCCCGAAATGTCATTCCATTGAATCCAACGCTTGGAGGTAAAACAATGCCATTTGCACCATCCCCCAGTCATCAGCATAAATATGTTTTGGTGCTATAAACTTACCATTCCAATACATGGCTGGTTTATGGCATTGTTTTTCCCACATTATTACTATCATCGCTATGATACTATGATGTTCCGATTGTTACTATTGATTTTCTGATTATTACATATTGCTACTATGATTGTTATTATTACTATGATTATATAGTACTAATATGAGTACTACTACGCTATTACTATTACCCACATTATATTATTCCTGAACTATGATTATTATGTTGTTATATCATGTTGTTATCTCATGTTGTTACTATAAACTATTATATCATTAGTACTACTACTATGATTGTTATTATGTTGTTTATTACTACATACTATTACTATTACCCACATTAGTTGGGAATGATACAACAGTTGGCTTGGCGATGGCATCACCTCCTCAAAGGCGCGCATGCAAAGACGCCCTGTCCTGAGCCACACGATACACACATATATATATATATAATATGTATAATATATCTAATATATATATATATAATATATATATAATATAATATATATATATCTATAATATAATATATATATAATATATAATATATATATATGATATAATATATATATGATATAATATATATATAATATAATATATATATATATAATATATCTATGTCTATACATATAATATAATATATATATAAGTATATAATGTATATATCATGTATGTCTGTGTAGTATGTGTGTGTTTAATATGTATAACAATATGTTTTGATTCTGGAGGTGTTTTAAAACTGATATATTTTTGTTGACTGATCATGCTTCAGGAATGCTATTCGCGATATGCTCAGGCGAGGACTTGTTCGCGAAGATCGACACAATCCTTGGCAGTTTTGATGGATCCCAAGGGTTTTTTCACAAACCAAAAAGGAACATTTGAGTAAAATGAGTAAAGATGCTTCAAAAAAAATGCATGCAACATCTAGATCGTGCCAAAAACTGTAAGTTATGTGAAAACGTAGCTGTGAAAACAATGTTGTGCCTACCTTACCAATTGACATGATCACTGAGTTGTGTCATTCATTGAAAAGCTACAGGAAAACATTGCCTTTCCCATGTTACCCCATTCAAAAGGTCGATTCCCGGGACCCTGCTATGGCTTGATTCCTGATGCTGACGCCACCATTTTGGTAGGTAATTCTCATCTCAAACCATGTCATCCAATCCGGTGGCGCCCAGGGCCAAACATCAGCCAAGCTGTCCGATAAATGGACCATGTACTTGGCCTTATTTTCCAGTATGCTGATGGAATATGAAACCAGATTGTTCACCTCTGCAATCAGCTGTGTCATGTTGAACCCCTCCATTTCCCTCCAAGTTTCTTCTGGATATTCTTCGGACAGGGCAGCTTGTTTGAAAAGATAAAGCCCACACCATCCGCATCTCAGCATACCACGGCCACAGGGGGGGGTTCACCAAGCAACAGCTGGAGATCATGATTGAATGATGGGGATGATGGAGATGATTGGGATGTCAAACAATAACATATCGGGTTGGTGGCTGAGCCCCCTGAAAAAACATCAATGCAGAGCATCGCCTCAGGTAGGATGGAGATATTCATGAGATATCCAGCTGCAGTCATGAGATGGGCATAACATGTCCATCATTATCCATTGTCACTAGTGGAACCATTTTCCAATGTGGCTGGGACATCTCTGCAACGGCCGTTTGAATGAGAACAGCATCCAGAAACGGGGTATTTTCCAGCAAGCCATGTTTGACTACCTTTCCGGGTACCCTGGATCAAAAGGTCAAGGTCCAGAGTCAATCTGAAAGATTGTGTAGGTAGTAGGTAGTGGGTGGTTTAGCCAACCATATTCCAACCAATCAATGAAGGATCATCATCCCAAATTGGGGAGACGTCTCCCAAAAAAACTTGAAAATTTGACAGCAAAAACCCAGTCGAAATTGCTTGGTGAAATCATCATTTTATGGATCCATAGAAATCCCAAAAACGTATTTACCAACCTGGCATTTTTCATACCAAAAGTTGGCTCACCAATTCAGCTCTGAGAACTAGACTGCTGAGCTCACCACTACAGAACTGAACGACATACCTGCGCTGGGTTGAGAAATCTTCCGAGCAATGGAGGTTTTGTGAAGGCGAAAATCATCGAACGAAATCTGGAAATGATCATCATTTATGATCACATCTGAAGGCCCCACTAATATGAACTTTCTCATATGTGTTTTAAATGAAGCCAGGTCATAAATGTCTGATATTAACTCAGCCTCAAGTTCTCAGCCGTTTGTTCATGGACGGATCCAAAGGACAAAATCTCTTCTAGACAGCTGGCTACAGCAAATGGTTGTCTTTGAGACACCAGCAAATGATCATCAATGATGAACATTATAACTAAACACACACATATATATATATACATACACATTACCAATAATACTGATCATATACATACATGAACATCATCACACATCTATCATCATCTATCTATGATAGAATGGATGCTCCCCTAAAACTCGCGAAAACTTCCTCTATGGTGTTCCTGTTAACCCCAGTAGCATGGTAAATGTATGGGCAATCGCAATGGAAATAAGCTCGGCGGCCCACCTTTGAATGCCCTCCTTATGTACTCTGTCCTCGGTAATGACCTTGCAGCTGGTCATAGGCTTGTGGGACACACTTAGAACACCAGCAGGGGGATGTGGGAGATCTTGATACATGTGAAAGCTACGCATGGTTAGCTATGGATAGTTAACGCTAGTTATATAATGTGGTATAAATAGTTAGAACATGTTAAAGCTATTTAAAGCTAAAAACATCGACAGTTTGCTCTGGATGGTTACATAGCCAAAACCAGACATCGGAAGTACTGTATATGCTGTATCTGTATATCTGTTTGTCTGGAAATTGCGTATACCTGGCAATTTTAATAAAAAACTGTTGATAAGCCATGACATTTTGGGGTACCTGATGTTCGGACAAACCCACATTTTATCCGAGAGAAAATGGCAACTGAATTTAATCTCTCTGAATGACCAAATCGTGTGAACACAGCTTTCCCGGACATGACTATCACGCCCCGGTTCTGGGTACCTAAACATCTGCTTGCTGAAATTGCAAAATTGCATATAGAAGAAAGACATGCTTTAGGAAGGGTCATTTTTGCAACTTCATGGTTTGCTGTTGGGCGAGAGATGCTACAGGAAATCAACTTGAAAGTGTGGCACAACAGCTTGTTTGCATTCCTGTCACAAGAAAACAGCTGGTTGCAACCTCAATGAACCCCATGTACCTAGAAGCTGAGATGATTCTGGGCCAACTCCACCACAGATGAGTTGAAAGATGTTGGAACAGCAAAGCAGGTTTTGCCAGTTCTAAGTCTATTTTGACAGGGCGACCGAGTTTCCTGGCGGACAATCTTCCCATGTACTGCTCTTTGGTAAAGGTCCGGTGGTCAGGAGAGACGCTTCCCATTTTGGCCTGGCTGTACATCTTTTCTCTGCAGTTGGAAAAAAAAATGTGTCTGTTGTGTCACTGGATTCTTTTTCACGGCACCGGCTCAAAAATTGGGATTTTCCATTTTCCCGAAAATGGTGCAGCCCAAAACCATGGCGTTTCCTCAATTTATGACCCATCTCCCTGCCATAAACATGACGAGCTCGCAGTTTCTGGGTGAAAGCGATGGTGAAAGGCAAATTGAGGGCCCTCAGCTGATCCCATCCACATCTCCATTTGGGAATGGCATGGAATGGACAAAAAAATCACAAGAAACAGGTTGAAACATCCAAAAAGGGCTGGATTTCCAGGAGCCATCAAATATCATCAAATATCATCAAATATTATGGATCAACCCATGAAATTATGGATCTACAGTTGATCATCTACAGTTTCTACAGTTTTCTACAGTTTTCTACAGCCATCAACTGATATCAACTGTCGAAAAAAAACCATGGAATCTTAGACCCGCCTTGGAGCTCACCATCGGCCTGGAGGACTCCAAAACAATGGCCTCCTGCCAAAGAGATGGGCCAAGGGGAGGCCCAAGCGCTTTCGTCATGGGGCTACCCCAAGCGCTGATATTGATATAGCTGGTTTATTTCATGGAAAATATGGGAAAATCCTATTAAAGTTGATGATTTGCTATTGAACATGGCTATCTAGTTCGTTGATTTACCTATTAAACATGGTGATGTTCCATAGCCACTATATATTGGGGAACCACATCAATTTACTGGGTGCCCACGATCAATGGTGATATTCTGGGGGCTATTTCATGGGATTTGACTGATTCTTTGCCATATCTGGAAGATATTTGGGTGAGTCTTCCTTTTGGGTTGGGAGGGTGGAATATCAGGTTTTCAATTGGATACATTGCGGCTTCAATGTAGGTCACGCGAACATGCAAAAGCTTTGGCAAGGAACACGCTGTGTCCAATCGGGCGGTTTAAGCTTGCTTGATAGGCTTGATGGACTGAAACCATCAGAGCATTGTCGTCCATTGATCACTGTATTGGTATGAAGCTATATACATCTATATACCTTGTACTTGTGCTACGACACAATGATATACTGATATACTTTTTTGCCCAGGATGAAAGAATACATGTGTCACAACAACCATTGGACATCATGGCTTAAACATGTTTTATCCCTGGAGATCTTAACATCCTAGTGTTATGATCATCCCATTGCACCTTTGCCGAGGAGTAGCCGCGCGAAGGATCCTCGGTCTCCGCCGGGGGTAGGGTATCCATCTCCACCGAGCGGTGCCAACGGTGCCAACCTTTGGGATGTTGACCAAAAATGTGTTTGTCTAGGAGTCTAGGGCGCCAACACAAGGATATACCCTCTGGTAATTTAACATAGCTATGGAAAATCACCATTATTAATGGGAAAATCCACTATAAATGGCCATTTTCAATAGCTATGTTAAATTACCAGAGGGTAACCAGCACAGTTGGAAAATATTGGACATATCACCCTACAATGATCCACGGCTTTGTGGATGTGGGTGGCTGAGCCTCTCTCCAAAATATGAAAGTCAATCAGAGATTGTCTTCTGAAACAGGGGATAATCATCCAATGTTTGAAAGCAACAAAGAATATGATTCATCTATTCCCCCAACATTAAACGCATTCCTGGATTAGTATTGGATCTATTCATTTTGGGCTCCATATAAAGGGTATTTTTAGATGGAAGGGTGAGCCATGCAGTGGTGGGCGCTACCACTTCTAAATGGGCTTTCTACATTCCCCGGCGTTTCCGACCGCTTACCCTCTGTCAATTGGCGGATTGCTATTGCCAGGTTCGATTCCCTGAGGGTAACTTCTATGGATTGGTTTTCACCCCGAACCTCGGTTGGGAGGTGGTTTCAAAAAGTTCCAACCATCCATTTCTAAGACAAAACACTATTATTATAACCAACATTAACATTGTGGTAAAATAACCTACCATCCATTTCTGGTTTATGGGGTAAATGACCGGGTTATAACCAAAACCATCCCATTAACTCACCATTTGGAGGAAATTTGACATCCCCCAAATAGGTGTATACCTAATAAACCTCTATTGGGGATGGCCGTCATTGGGTTTACCACATTATAACCAACAAGAGCCGGCTGGGCTCTCATTTTCGTCCACGAGACTTGACTCCGATGTACGGCAGGCATGCGACCCTTGCCCTTGGTGGTCTTGGTAGTGGGATGGACGGGGATGGAGTTTATTGCCACCGTCAGAAATGAGGAATACATCATCCATGGATTATGGGAAATGTTTAGTAAGAATGATATATATATTCTCCAAACTTATATATATATATAGATGGTGAAAACCTAAAGAATGACCAGCCCTGCATATTAGCGGTTTCATTTGATTGATGCCCACTTTACAGGATGATATCCCCATGACAGTTTGGTGACATCCCCATGTCCAGAAGCTGTGAATTCCAAGGTGAGAGTCTAGCCAACAAAAACTGGGGACATCGGATATAAACATCAATGATGCAATGATGCGTCATATCAATCAGGTGTAGGCCATCAAGTGTTCATTGTAACCAATGGTTCGTACTGATATCTAAACGTATCAACCATCAAAGATCATCAATCATTTTGGGCAAGGTCGGCCATCAAGTCGCAAGAAAATCAGCTGTGACAAGGGTTTGGGCATGACAATTGAGGTTGCATAGCAAGTTGTTTTTTTTAAGATGAAAACAAGTCAAAAGTACAGTATGGCAAAAACACAAGTACAAATCATACAGGTACCGGTCACAATCCAAAAATAGCAGGCTGGGCTACATACTCAACATGACCAGTTTATAATTGTTTATGCCACTTCCATCGCCGTACCCACCACATTCACCTCAGGTCGACCATCAAGGCTTTCCCAGGTTTCCCATGTTGCTTTAGGGTGTCTTCATGTGTCTTCCAATAAACAGTTGAGATTTAAGTTGGTTTAACCAACAATACTGGGGGAGGGCACTTTGATTTACCCTCTGGTAATTTAACATAGCTATGGAAAATCACCATTATTAATGGGAAAATCCACTATAAATGGCCATTTTCAATAGCTATGTTAGTTTACCAGAGGGTAACCAAATAGACTTCAACCATCTGTTCTTGCCCGAAACTGTCCCCACTCCCATTGTGGGATAACACGCTTCCAAGCAACGTTTGATGAAAAGCTGTAGGCTCGAGAGCCAAATTGGTCGCCTTTCTCCTTGCCTGCAGCACAAGGGTTGGTAGTAAATACATTCATAGATCAGCATATGCGCTACTTTCATCCGGACTGTTTCTGATTTACTTGATGGATTGATATAATTTCATATAGTATACAAATATGTACATGTGTGTAGTTCTCTATATATAAACATATTTATCGATCTATCTATCTATCTATCTAATCTAATCTAATCTAATCTAATCTAATCTATATATAATCTAATCTAATCTAATCTAATCTAAATTTAATCTAGTCTAATCTATCATCTAGGCATATACACGTATATAAAATATATAGAATTATATATATATATACGTATATACATGTGCACACACAGGTCTAAACTCTGAATTTGTTCAAAGTGATAAAATGGATATGGGTCAAGCTACCGGTACATCTGGCCCATCCCCGAACGTATCGATTGAGACCCTCCAGGTTTGGGTATGGACAATGTGGTAAACCCAATAATAGACCTATGCTGAGGATGGTTATGATGGTCTATTACTGGATATTGTGGGGTTTACTATAAGCCATATAAACCATCTAAAGTTAATCACTGAGTTATTATTGGGTTTACCACAGTATAGTTATTCTTCTTGAAACTGCCAAGCAAAAATTGAACACCCATGAGAAATCCCGATGTTGACCTAAATCCCCCTGTTTTTGGTTAGTACACATAGCCACATCAGAGCCACATGTGATCCGCATTTTTTGGGCTGTCGCCTTTGGAGCCCTTGCCATAGCCTTTTCTTCCCCTGTCCTGGCCCCAGAACTGGGATGAACTGGCAATACCAGTGTTGCTTCTGAAAAAAACCACAAAGCTCCTCAGCCAAGCCAATCCAAAATGTCGAAAAAGCATCCCATCCCATCCCAGGTCACAGGTCCTTCATCTGGCTGTCATCAACATCCCTGGGCCCAAAATCGATGCACCACCCAGTGGGTGAAATGGGGTTCCTCCGCAGATATATGGGGCTGCCATAAATGGTGCACCTCCGAAATGGATGGTTTATTTCATGGAACATCCCAATCTAAAATGAATGATTTAGGGGTAGCCCCATTGTAGGAAACCCACATATGGTTGATAATTTATGATACAGTATGATATAACAAACAAAAAGAGGTATGTATATATATAATATCAACCAAAATTGTCTATCAATGACAGTCTATCGCCCATTATAAACCAAACTTGATGCCAATTTCTAGACCATGCCTCTACCAACCACGAAAGGTGCTGGGTACGGATCATTAGGAGAACTCCCGAACTTGAATTCACTACGATTGCTACAACATAACACGACCCAAACCTCTGGGTCATAGATCTACTTTGCAGAAAAAAATGACCAACATCTACATTTCAAAGACGAACTCAACGGCTGCATGTGAAGCATCTCTTAGATTTCGGGCCAAGACTCCTGACTGAATCAAGAATTCTAGATCAACTCTCTGCATCACGAGCGCGGTACTTTGCGCCTGCCGACATCAGCCTCTTGGTGTATGAGAGACCTCGACGAATAAATCTGAAAAAAAAAACATGACAGAGTGCCATGTTCACACCTGCTGGTTGATAAAGGATTCCCGTTGTGAAGCATTACAGCAGTTAGGATAGTTAACCATATCTAACCATCAAACAACAGGGATGAGTGGAGTTGCAGCAACACGATGAAAAAAATTATGGTTCCCTTGGTGTCCCTTGTTATTTGTCCAGGCGCAGTTGTCGGCTTCAAATATGTCATTTTTGACTACGGCCAGAAAACATCCAACCAAAGGATTCCAGGGCCGCTGTGTAATCCTCTTTGAATGTTGCTCGGTGAACTGTAAATGTCGGATCAACTATATATATATGTATATATATATATATGCAGTAATGAGTCATAGCATTCTACGTCATTGTATGATGCATGTATATATACACAATTATATATACACACACGTGCATCATATAATACATATATATATATATATGTAGAGATAGGAATGAGTCATACGTGGTCTCCACGCCACCCCAAAAGAAATTCTTCGGTTCCCGCACGAAGGGAAGAAAAGTTGCTGATTCGCATCGAAGTTGGATCTCTCCTGGGAGGCAGTTTCAGCGAGCCATCCACAAGTGGTGCTTGAGCCACCCCCCTGAACAATATTAGTTACCCTACGGTGGTCAAACTGCAAATGGTCATTTCGATGAGAAAAATGATAAATGGGTCATTGAAATGGGGTGTTGTTTTTTATTGCCATGTAAAACAATTTTCGGAAGGGTATTGGGGACCATCATTCCAAAATATTCCAAAATATTCCAAAATATTCCAAAATATTCCATTACAAATACTGTATTTGAAAAACACCCAGGCAACAGCTGGAGCTACGGTCGCCAGCTGAGAACCTCACGGATGGAATAAATGGATGGGCGAGAGCAGTCCTCAGACAATTGGATCCGCAGCTGAAAATTCATGGTCTGCCCGTTTTTGATCTCCACCTATTGTGAGTGTTTATATCCATTCTCGATGGTTATGTAATCCCTATGAACATGCATTATATTGATGATTAATTACAGTAAACTATATCTCCATTTATTGATGGCTAATATTGATGCTCAATATCCTCTTGATGCTTAATCTTCATTTTCAGACATACCCAAATAAGCCATACCCACATATATATTGCTGCTTCTATATCCACCATTGTGTCCCCATTTGTCTCGGTTAAATCATCATTTTTGTTGATCAACGTCACATGTTTGTCGGTGAAAAAAATAGCATTTTTCGTTGGTTAAAGGCCCCAATCATCCTCCCAGGTCGCCACAAAAAAACCCAGCTGTTCGCCAAGGCGCATCTTCGGTGGCTGCCACGGGGCCGTGAAGGGGCTCAGGTCGCTGGGCTGCGAATTCAGAAAGGCCAAGCCTATGGGAGTTGAAGCAGCCAACATAGCCACAGTTCATGAGGGATATTAAACTATAGTTAGCTATATATAGCTATATAGCTATAGAGAGTTAGCTATAAAACTAATTATGTAACCAACTATAGTTCATGGTGGTGCCCCATAATTAGGATTAGGGAAGAGAGCTATGGTTCATGAAGGTCATAAACCAACTTTTAACTCGGGGGGCACCATCTTTACCCAAAAATACCCCAAACTTTTGATCACCAAGAAACTTAAAAGATCATCGAGAATCTGGGTTGAACTGTTTAACTATACCAAGCATATCGACAAAATTGGCTTCAACCACAAGAATATCAAGAATACAAAGAAATGTGGCTTGAAACAGCAAACAATATGACGTCCTGGAAAATATCATGAGGAGTTGACTTCAAGTCGACCCTACCCAAAATTACCCAACTGTCACCCTCCGTCTATTATCTACAAATGATTGATTCCACATCACCAGGACCTGTCACAGCAGGCCAGAAATGCCATGAATACCTTGATACCCAAAGAATCCCACTTCGAGGATCATTGATTTGGATATGTTTTGACTATTGGCTTTGTCTTGTTGGTTGATTTCAACCCATATCTCCATCGAGGCTTATTACGTTGACCAATTGAGAAGAACGTGCTATTACCACCACGGCAAAAAAGAGCTGATCATTGGTCATTCCGGATCAAGACTTTCAGCGTTGGTAGCTAAGCCTCAAACATGAGTTGGCTTGTTGATTGTTGATATATGTTGATATTCTTGAGTTTGAATTACTGTACCAACCTGAACAAAAGATGACCCTCATTCACCATCCATTTATTTCTGATTCCTTTTCTGTCTGAATTTCAGCCCCAGATATGAGGAATCTAGCTTGACGGATCAGCCGTTTGCAATTTCAATTGCCATATCCTGGGGTGAAAATACAAAAGCATCCTGTTGTTTGACCTTCGCCATATGACCATCCCAATTATCATTTTTTTGCGGCTAAAACCAGATTTGGTGGTCAATTCCCTTATCTTTAATGACCAATGTGTGCCATGGTCAAAACATGTGAAGTGGGGTATGGTCAACCCACCTTTGTTGGGAATCCGCATGTTGGGCCATCAAAATTCTACTTCTTGACCATCGCACCTATGAACCAGTTCTTCACACTTCTCATATTGTTGGTTGTGTGGCTTTGTAATATCCCCATGATCTCAAATTTCTCACAAAACCAATTGAACCTCCGTTGTTGATATTTGGCCGTAACCATCATCCCAATAATTCATCATTTCCATTTCCGCAAAGTTGTTCAGCAACCAAAATTGTGATTTGACCAACAAACATAGAGAAAAAATCAGATTTGGCCAAAACAAATTAGGATTTGCTCAAGAAAAATGGATAAAAATGATAAATTTGAATGATTTCCTAACAAAAAAGGGAGATTTCACCCATCTTTGGTGAGTTTTATCACCTTTTTTCAAACCATTTTGACATGCGACCTCCAGCAAAGGGCGAGGTGACCGAAGGGGCCGGTGACCTCACCACAGGCCTCAAAAACTGGGGATGACTTGGGGATGGTGCAAATGGCATTGGGTTTATCACATATTAAGGTATTATATATATATATATATATTACATATACATATATATACGTATATATATATACACATTGTATATGTATATGTATATGTATATGTATATGTATAATATGTATATGTATAATATGTATATGTATAATATGTATATGTATAATATGTATATGTATAATATGTATATGTAAAATATGTATATGTAATGTAATGTAATGTAATGTAATGTATGTATGCATGCGTGCGTGCATGCATGCATGCATGTATGCATGTATGTATATTCATGTTAGATTGACTGATGATAATATCTATATTTATATATAAAAGATGATATGTATGTGTTAAGGTAAATGTTTGTGACCAAATGTTGGTGTTTGAAGTTGGTGAAACTATGGGAACAACCATGAAAAAGCATAGCACTTATCATCATTTGTAAGCTCTTTATCAATAGATAGAACCCAAACCTGCCTTGAAAACACGTTTTTCAGCGCTTCACACATTATGAAGCCCCGAAACAGTTGGAATCTTCGGACCCAAGAACAGAAAAGGTGATGTCCGATACAGTAAAGACATGGCTAGTGCCTTTGAAAGCAGATGGTTTCTTATCGTGTTTATCCCAGCACCATTTGAACATGTGATATTAGTGATTAGTGTAATCAATGTAATCATTTCAGCCAAAAATAAAGCGTCTCATAGTGTGCCAGCGGGTGACATAGTGGTTGGCATCATGCCGGGAGCTGTCGCTCCAACCTGCAACGCACCATTTCGGACCAGAAACGTGGAGACTGTAAGCCCGGAGAAAAGCATGACATGTTGTCAGGGTATTTAAAAAAAATAATGAAGAAACATGTCAATAACATGATTATCATGATCATGATGATGATCATCATCATCATGATAATGATGATGACAATGATGGTGACGATAAACTCTGACGCAACCCATATCCCAAGCAAGAGCGTCCAACAAATGCTGAAATGCAATAACTCTGAAGATCTGTCCTTTGCGAAGTGAACCAAACACCTGCCTGAAGAGGACACGCTGTAGGTGACTCGGAAACCTGGGTCTGTTGTCCGGCGAGGTGAAAGTAGCAAGTCTTGTCCAGCACTAGATTTAGAGTGGTGAGAAGTGAGACAACATAATAAACAACACCAGAAATGGGCGCTGTAGATGTCATTAATCCACCAAAATTGGAGATGTGTTTATTGGGTGTATCACATAGAAACACATGAACTGTTCATGAATTTGCCTGGAAATTGCTCTCATCCTTCCGGGTGGGTCCCTACAAATGTTACAGTATATACATATAATATCATATAATCTACACCTGAATTATCAATAAATGTAAGTCAACCTCTAAATCATGAGTATATTGAATTATATTGTCAGTCAGTCTGCCAGTCTGATATGAAACAAAAACAAAAGTCCAAGTCCATATCCTTACCATATCCTTACCATATCCTTACCATTCCTTTTACCCGATTGTCTCATCATCGGCTTTCCACACAGCAATATTTGGATCCCGGAACGTCAGTAGGTGAACCGTCCTGGACATCCATTTAGGCAGCAAACGAAAACATGGTACAAAAACGATCAACCAGATCATATCCCAGTTTTCGTGGTACAAAATACCCAAAATATACCTCAGTTTTCGTGGTTCATACCGTAGATGGACGATGAAATCAAACCCTTGCTGTATTATTGTCAACCCCCGCACCCCCAAATTTCAATGTTGTCTTTAGGCTGCGCGGTTGGGTCCGGTGGACAAAAAAATCAAACCCTGAACGCAGAGGAAGTTAGATAGAGTTTTGTGCAACATTGAAATTTGGGGTGTGGGGTTTTACCATCTTGGTAGATGTCTGTGGGGTTTGATTTTTTTGTCCATCTACTGTATCATTCATATCCCATGTTTGTCGATTTGTGGTCCCCTTTTTTGGTTCTCCAAGTGAAGAAAACTTTGCCTGCGAAGCTTCAATGAAGTGGGGCCTGACAGCAGTCAGGCAACAGACCAACATTTGGCCACAATAGATCACACAGAGTAGATGTGTGGTTTAAACCATCCCTTCACCTAAAATAGTCCCTGCTGGTTATGGGTTGGAAAGACCACTTTCCTCCCAGGCCTTGGTCTGCCCAATTTGGCCCCCATCTTTCCCCCTGAAGTCCTTGGAGTAATCCCTTTAGGTAGGTGAATGACCCATGTTTCAGTTGGTAGTATCACTTGCCCATAGATTACAACATGATAATGCGTACGTATTGCACCATATTGCACCTACCATTGGATTACCCTCTGGTAAACAGCCACATAACTATGGAAAATCACCATTTTCAATGGGTAAATCCACTATTGATATGGCCATGTTCAATAGCTATGTTAAATTACCAAAGGGTATACAATTACATCAGTATGTGTTTCCAAAATAAGCTACCCAGAATCCGGTGGTTAATCATCATCGTTCCCATTAAAAGTGCCAGCTCCCCTATTTTCAGATACACCTACAGTATACATCATATCATACATTGTTGGTGATGTATCAACTTATCCCCATTTATGGTTGATTTATAGCCAGCATTCATTTTTTCCATCTCCATGTATATATATATAGCTATCCTGGAGTAGATCAAATATGACTATTTCAACAAATCCTCAAAACATGGGAACACTTTTTCGATTCTGATAATATTCGATGATTATATATTCGTATATGTATATATATATATATATGAATGGTGGTTTCTTAAAATGGGTGTTTTTTTTAATGGGGGATCCAAAAGTGACCAGGGGTCTCAATACTAAGCCATAGCCTAATGTTTTGGATGATTTGGGGGTACCCATATTTTAGGGAACCTCGTCGATATACATACATATTTATATACAATTATATACAATTATATACAATTATATACATATATATGTACGTATTTATATATACATATATATATATATATATGTATATGTATATTATATATATATATACATATGTATATATATAGCCATATACAACGATAGCTACCCCTGGATCACTTCCCATGGGTATTTTTCTGGGTCCCCGACTCCAGAGGGTCCCAGGTCCGACTCCGGCAGAGGGCCACATCCTGCCGTTGAAGCAATTTTCGATGGGGAAAAATGGCTGGGGAAATGAGGAAAAATCGTCCTTAATACCACTAGTAGAATGGGATATATATATATATACATATGTTTATATTTTTTTTTTTCTGTGTGTATAATATGGATCTATCATCAACAATCTGGTGAATAAATGTTGATAATGGAAAAAAACAACTGGAGAAAACTCCAATGAACTAGGAATGTTCTAGGGTTTTAAGGCAGATCTAACATGATATAGCTATATATAACTATAGTGAATGGGGGTTATAAACCAAAAAAAACAAACGGTTTTTCTTTGTTGATTTGTTGATATGATGCTCCCAGAAATGCTTTATGGAACATGTTGCACGAAAACCTCTATATTCGCGGAAAGAACTTACGGTAGTGCTGTTCCGTCAATCAATCCTTTCAGACACTTAACTTTGAAATTTTGGGACTTTTGGACGGCGCACATTCCAATTTCGGAGAATATATAAATAGCACTTACTTGATTTCTTTGGGTTTCCAAATATCCTTGAGGGTGCCACCAGTTTTGCTGGAAGGAGGTCTCCATGGTCCACAAAACTCACCATCCCTTGGCCTCCAAGGTGGTTGAAGCTGTCTCGTTGGTCTCGTTGGACTCATCGTGGGTAAACAGCCTCGGCGATCCACCCGAGAAGTGGTCGTAACAGTTTTGATCGATCTGTAAATATATATACATACAATATATAATATATATATATATTGTATTATGTATATTATATATTATATATATTATATATATTATATATATTATATATATTATATATTATATATATATGTATATAATATAAAATATATATAATATATATATTATATATTATATATATTATATATTATATACATATATATATATATATTATCATATGTTTTGGGGGGTTGAAGAAAATGGGCTACAGGAATTCATCGGATAAACTTTGTCCACATGTGTCCATAGGTTTCACCCCGAAATCACCATGAAATCACCAAGCCACTTGGAAGATGTCGCCTGCTTCGCCTTTGCGATGTGTCGCGCCTGCATCTCACCTGGGCTCTGCTCTGCCACAACCGGCTGGTCAGTTCAAACAAAGGCGGAACAAAAGTAAAATCTATGGGTATGTATTATGTTGCAAGGGGGGTGTAATGGGCCGACAATATGATAATGATAATTGGATTTTGCCCAGAAATGGAATATATCAGGAATGGTAATCCCGGAATCCCATTTGCCCCAATTGCTTCGCGATGGATCCTAACTTTTGGTAATCCCAGAAATCAAAGACTCTGTGATTGCTTTTTGCAAGCGGAAAAAAATTGACGGAGCCTACCAGAGTCAAATTTGCTTCAAGTGTGGGTTTTTCCCAGGTTCCGGGTGATTCGGGCTGGCATGTCTGGAATCTCTTCACCCATTCCATTGCTGCCAATTGGCATTGACCCCCCAAGGGGTCTGAAGAAGTTCGGAAGAGCGGGTCCTCTTCATCATCAAGGACCTTACAATGGAATCAGCGAAGCCAATGGAGTTCTGATGAATTTAAGTCAACCCACTCAACAATGCTACCAGTAAACATGTTTGTATGTAATGCATTGTAATGTAACATTATGTAATGTGATGTAATGTTACGCATGTGTGTATCTGTGTACGTGGAGTAAATTCTTGAAGCCGCGATGAAACTGAAACATGTGGAGTCAACTACCCAATGCTACAGTAGGGGTGATCAGGATAGAATGCATAACCAATCTCCAGACCTGAACCTCATTCCATTTCGGTGATGTCTCCCCCTGGAACCTTCCGCTAGCCACAGCAAAGGTTTAAAAAGTCAATGGTGCCAAAACTCGATGCTTGAAAGGCTCCATGCTTCAGGTTTATTGCAAGGAACAAATGACAGCTTTAGGATTTTCCACCATGGTATCCTTTATTGCATGTACCACCATTCTACCCAGAGATCCACTCTTCAAATGCCAGTCTCGGGCATCTCCAGCCCTCTCAGCCGGTTCAATCACCACCAAGAGCCCCACGTTTAGAAAGGTATTGCGCACCTGTCAGCACGAGCCCTCCATCAATGAATTGGAGGGTGTGGGGATTCACCAACACAGGGTGGTTGAAGGGTCTTTAGATATTTGCTGTGAGAGTTACCATTTGGTTATTTAACATAGCCATGGAAAATCACCATTTTTAATAGGTAAACCATCTATAAATGGGCCATTTTGAATGGCTACGTTAAATAACCAGAGGGTATCATATGTTGCCCCTTTCTTTGCAGGTGTCTCCCCTTTTGAATCCTTTGGTTGCTTCTCCTTGCCATGGACTCCAAGGTAGCCTCCCAGAAGGTCACCATTCGGCAAGAGTGAATAACCCCAGCCCGTATCAGGGGCTTCTCAACCGCCCGATTCCATGTTTGTCCCTGAAAAAGACATATGACAGGTATCAACTCTGAAGTCAATGCTTTTGAAGCAAAAGTTCATCAGTACTGACTCTTAAAGAATTCCAACTCAAATTGAGAATATATATATAGTTATATTATATATATAACTAAATGACTATACATATATATATATAACTAAAAATATATATATAACTATAAATATAAAACTAAATATATATATATACTATATATAGTATATATATATACTATATATATACTGTATATATAGTATATATATATATACTATATATATACACTATATATATTATATATAACTATATAAATAACTATACATATATGACTATATTTATAACTCTATATATATATAACTATATATTAATAACTGCATATATATAACTCTATATATATATTTATTTCCAATATATAACTATATCTATTTATAAAAATGATATAATAAGCTCTGGTATTTACTCCCTTTCCAATGCCCATACCCCGGGCTCTGCACCGTGATTTTCATTTCTTCGGGACCTGGACCAAAATCATCGATGGATGCAGAAAAAAAAGTAATTAGCTCATTTTTGAGACGCCTATACATATAATTTCATAGAATTAGATATATAATATGTGTAATATGTATACACACACATATATAAATAATAATAATGATAATATATATATATATATTACATATGAGCAGTGTTCAAAAACACTTGATCAACTGGTTAACCTATAGAATTCCTTTCGCGCAGCTTTCGTGGTGCTTTCGCGACCACACTTTTAGCTTTCGCGGGGACGTCTTTGTTCTTATTTACTTTCGCAGCGCTTTCGCGGAGAACATGTTATGTGGGGGAGTGTACTTTCGCGGCGCTTTCGCGGCGTGTGTCTTCTGAGGCTCTTTCGCGAAGCTCTTTCGCGAGCTTTCGTGCCCACCTATTTCCTTTTGCAGAGACACCACAGGTTAACTCCTTGATAAATGTGTTTAAAGCATGTTTGAACGCTGCTCATATGTATGTGATATATACATAACTTACAAACCACCAATGACAGGGAATGATAAGCAACAAGAATCCACTTGTGGCACTGGTTAGTGCTTGCACCCCACCTGAAAAGACTGTATCCATCTTTATCCAACAAATGGGGACCACCATCCAAGATGTGATTGAAAATGACAAGTCTTCAAAAGTACTAACCAGATTGGGGATACTTTAGAAAGCAAACTCGGCAACTTTCTAGGCTCCCCCTTTTCTAAGACCCAAACACCCTTTTCTGCCACATTCAACCTTCCAGTGCTCCAACCTTTCAATTACACACAACAATGTCAACAATGCTATAGTCGACCATCCATGACTATCCCAAAAAACATCGATTCTCTCTGCGTTCCACACCTTGCCCGGCTAAGATAGCCATGGCCGTGCCTGAACGATGGACGTTGACGCAAAAAAACTCTGATTTTCATCCCCATCCACCATGGTTCTGAGGGGGCATTTAAAACAACGATTCTTAATACAATAAAGAACTCAACATTTGAAATAACTCACTTGAAAATACTTGAAATAGATCGGACTTAAGGGACTTGAGCCTTAGGGTTTCTGCTGACATTTCATGGACATCTCCGACTTGTTCCAGTGGATCGGCCAGGTCGGAAGGAGCTGGATGCAAACGAGCTACGGAATGCACCACAGTCGCCACAGTCGATCAATGTCTTGAGCCCAAAGCAAAGGCCAGGTGGAAACTGCGCGGTCACCAACATCCGAATACACAAAAGTTGCTTTGCAACCTAGTCTTTCAATATTTGGGGGATGATATGATGTTGGCTGCTGGCTGTTGGCCATCATTTACGAACTACTCTGTCCGCATTATATCACTAATATATCCCAATGATATCCCCATCATATCAAGCCCCGACTGAGATTTCGACCCTGTCGGCACTTCCTGAACCAGCGATGGCCATCTTTAGTGTTACCCTTTGGTAATCCAACGTGGCAATTGAAAACCCCCCCTATAAATGGAGGTGCTCATGAGAAAATCATCTATCAGTCTTGGACTTTCCATTGCCACAAAAAATATGGCAAGTACCCATTTTTCATAAGTTACTCTTCTATTTTTCTTGTTTTACTCTTAGAATATGCCTGTTTTTTGTCTATGATGAAATTTGACTCACATACTGAGGTCAAGAATTTTTCGTATCCCCCCAGAACGTTTTGAGGTCTCCACCCAGATGTTCTCTAAATCTCTGTATTTAGGGTGTTATGACATCACCGAAACACGGCGCTAACTTCTCATGTTTGAATTTCAGATCTCCCAAGAACATGGTTACCCTCTGGTAATTTAACGTAGCTATTGAAAATGACCATTAATAGTGGATTTTCCCATTAAAAATGGTGATTTTCAATAGCTACGTTAAATTACCAGAGGGTAACCTTTTGTGGTCCGGATATGATGCCCCGAAGTTTGAGTCAGTGTGAAACGTGAAGGAATGATTCGGGATGATTTGGCAATGGGTCAATATTTATTGGGGACAATGGAGTATTAGGAAGATTCATATCAGAAAAAAAACTAATCATTACGTTCAACCAAGGCGGTCTCAAAATATGTTCCCTCCAAACCCCGGGTTCGCCCACAATCAAACAACACATCCAAACAATATGATATACTTATCACCAGAGGATGAATGAAAACACTGGCTGTACGCAGTGATTTTGACTTTAAGTTTTCAGGATTTAGGGTTTTCATTTAGGGTTAGGGTTTTAGGTCTTAGGGTTTGTTATTTTGGAAATTCCAAAAAAAATAAACCCTACGAAGGGATTTGAGCATGTCAAAGGATATGCGGAATTCGCCGCGGGCAAACCTAGGGTTTGCAGCGAACATGTTTGGAAGAAATACTTCTCAACCATCTTCCAACCAATTTTCCGGTCATTTTTGTGATCGAAAATTTCAACCATGCCCCTGGCCGATTTTCGCCAACCGCCCCCTTTGGCGCGCCCGGGCAAGCTCAAAACCCCGCCAATGATCTGGTAGCTCTGTGGCAGCCTTTCATGGCCAATCTTAGATGGTCAAAAAATAATGAACTTTAGTTGTTGAGGTTACTATTTTTAAATACATTGTATTTTGATAAAAAAAAATGTTAATATATTTCGATGTGTATATGTATATATACATGTATTTATGTGTATATATTATGGTGCATATGATTATTTGTGAAGAATATACAGTATATGTATATGTATATAAAGTCAATATATCCCCATCTCGTTTATTAAAAACATGTATTTTGATGTAAGTGTATAGTAAATATATATATGTGTGTGTGTGTACGTGTGAATAGATGTAAATATCCCGACATATTGCAAAAATTAAGATGTACTAAATAGTAAACATCCAAGATTGACCTAGTTATTTTTCATCATCACGTTGCGGCGGCCGCATACATACCCCCCAACCCCAAGAAAAGTATCTTCATTTGCCTGGGTTTCATCCACGATGCCAATCAGGGCCCGGGAGGAAGGGAGTCCTCAGTACCAACATCTGTTTGGCCGTTTCAATCCATCCGATCGGAAAAAATATAAGTCAATTGATACGGGGGTCAACAACTGATACGGGGGTCAACAACTGATACGGGGGTCAACATTGGGCTGCAGGCTCTTCTCGCTGAACCGGGGCCTAGCTTGAAAAGACGGTTTTTCGGGACCGAAAAGTCGAAAAGTCTAAGTCTGAAAACTTTTTGGGGTCGAAAAATCGAAAAAAAAAAAACGAAAAGTCGAAAAATCTTTGACGTTTGACTTTTTGCATGTTTCCAAAATTAAAAAATTAAAGTCTGTTTTGCCCTTTTGTTTTCAGTGTTAGCGTTTGTAGGTTTGGTTTCTTGATACTGTAATTTTTGTAGGTGCAAATATGGTAAACTAAGCCTACAATTTTTATGTCAAATTTCGCGACTACTGTGACTACTGCCTGTGTGCATATATATATATAGATTCAGTGTGTGTTTTTGACGTAAAATCTAAAGCCCCCAGCAAATCCTAAACTAACTTTAATTCAAATTTCCCAGAGAAAGTGGCTGCGCAGGATCAAATACAAGAGAAAAAGGTAAGCCTGGAGTACCTCCGAAGATTTCGGCGCGGAGTAAAGGACTTTTTGGCCAAGCAGGTGACCATAGTGCGTGGACATGGCAGCAACAGAAACGAGACACGAAAGGGTGCGAGCAACTAGAAACTGCTGATGACGTAATATGAGTGTTACTTCAATATAATATGATGCCATATAATACCTTGTATGATATAGCTTTACAAGAAAACCATCGCATAGCAATTTTCAATGTAATCTCGAACTATGACATTTCAATGGTTTTTGTGCTGCTCATAAACATCAATCTTTTGCGCCCCGCACAATCCGACCACAGCAACAGCATTTAAGACAATAATTAGTGTTAAACTGATTCAAGGAAGCTCGTCGAAAGTTTCGAAAAGCCGAAAAGTCTCGACAAGTCTCTGAAAGTATCTAAAACTCGAAAAGTCTCGAAAAGTCTCGAAAGGTCGTAACAACGCCCTGCAGGGAGAGCAATACTCGTGAAGATTCACGGAGTTATTGTTTTCCTTTTAAATGAAGATGTGCAACGATACAGCCGTCGATGCACCCTCTATGGCGTTGCTTGCCAGTGCAGCTGCTGGCGTTTTTGAAGCTTCTGCCATGCCGGCTAGTTTTTATGCTGGAGGGTTGATGGTTTTAAGCTATCCCAAAGAAATACTGGTTTACATCATTGAAGCCTAAGAAAAACTTTGTCATTGTTATCATCCATTATCAATTCTTGGTTGTTATCGGGCTTCGCAAGGAAACGCATGTCTGCACACGCGCTAAATACAGTGCCTTGTTGGTTCGACACGGACCCCGTGCCCTTCAAATAGTGCAGGAAAGTTGTCCGAGCCAGAGGAATTTTGAATTGGGCGACCAGAGCCGGTATGCCCATGTTCGGATTGGGACAATCTTCCTTCCACTTTCTCCAAACTGAACGAAAATTTACCAGGTCTAAAGGGATGTCTTGACTGAGGAATTTTTCCCCAAACAGCGTGGCCACACTGAGGGGTTCTTACGGTAAGTGTTAAGGCCCGGTGTTTAATCGAGGTGGTATCCGTCGCGTCTGGCATTTTCCCGCAAATTTCCACACAAAATGGCTCTCATGAAATGTCCATGTGCATTTTGATTGCGCAGGCTCGCACGGGGCCCCGGATTAGCGGTTTGGCATTTTCCCTGTAAATTTCCATACAAAATGGCTCTTGTGAAATGTCAATGTGCATTTCGACTGCGCAGGCGGGATTGGCGTACGGCCGAAAACGCCTGCGCAGGCTCGCACAAAACAGGTGTCGATTGGCGTACGGCACTGTTCCTGTAAGTTTCCACACAAAACGGCTCTTGTGACAAGTTGATGCATCTTTCGAGTGCGCAGGCTCGCACAAAACGGGTGTCGCGGGATTAGCGTTTAGCATTTTTCCTGTAAATTTCCACCCTAAATGGCTCTTGTGAAATATCCGTGTGCACTTCGATTGCGCAGGCTTGCACAAAACAGATGTCGCGGGAGTAGCGTCCGGCATTTTTCCTGCAAATTAAATGTCCACACAAAATGGCTGTTGTGAAATGTCCATGTGCCTTTCGACCGCGCAGGATTGGGCAAAACAAGATATTTCTCATACAGAAATCTTACCAAAAGACTTCTTAGAGGGAGCTCATACAGACATCTTGCTAAGAGACCTCTCATGGAGATCTTGCCAAGAGACACTTTTCAGAGATCTTGCCAACAGAGCTCTTGTAGAGATCTTGTACACAGATCTTGCCAGGAGACCTCTTATGGAGATCTTGTGCAGAGACCTGGTGACGAGAGCATAGGTCTTCCTCAGACATCCTTTCTAGATACCTTGAACAGTTTGAACAGAGATCTTCCTTTGAGATCTCTCACAAAGATCTTCTGTGGAGATCTCCTAAAGGCACCTTGCACAGACAGCCTTACACAGATGCGCCTCTTTGGGACTCAAAAAACGCGGCTGCATAGCTCTGTTCCGTGGCCACACCTAAAAATGCCAATTGATTCATGTCTCCTCTTCTGCTTCTCCTCCCTTGACTTTACCCTTCATTTCCTAAAGCACACTGTTTGGGGTCTCTTGCCGATAATTGTTTCCATTCCTCCGCAGTCAGGGTTTCACTTCGTTTCCGCTTCGCCGCTATGGCCGAACAATGCGGAATCAGAACTGATGAGGAAAAAGAATAAAAGGACCGGATAACCCGACATGTCAACTTCTTATACTTCTTCCAATAAGTAGCAAAAGAAAGGTGAAGACGGGATGGGAAAAGCAAGAAAGAGAAAGGAGATGGTGGAAGACAGATCGGGTGAGAGAGTTCTGTGTGAGAAGGTTGCGTGTGAGAAGGTTTGACTATTTATGTATTGGAAAAAGTATGTGCGAGATCTGTGGAGATGGCGGAAGGCAGTTTGTGTGAAAGAGGTAGGTGTCAGTCGATGTCACCAAGCCCAGTGCCATAAGTGCCACGCCTGCCACACAAAGTAACCGTGGATGTCACCAAGTGCCACGCCTGCCACGCAAAAAACCGCGGCATCACGGCGGACCAGCCGCGACCAAGCGCATCACCAGAGCCAGCCCAATGCCAAAAGTGCCACGCCTGCCACACCAAGTGGAGGCCGATGTCACCAAGTGCCACGCCCACCAAACAAAGTGACCGTGGATGTGCCAAGCGCGCCTGCCACAGGTAAGGGCCGCGGCGTCACGGACCATGGCATTCCCTATGGGATGGTGATTGGTTTCCAATAGTACCGCACAAGGCGGTGGCAAGATAAGAAACCTTCTTGGGACGCATGGATTACAGAGCGATCCACTGACAGACAACCTTGTTGTGAAAACTCAAAGTTGCTTTACAAAATGACATGTATGGTTGCCAACACTGCCCCAATCGACTGGCGGTGCTGTCCATGGCTATTTCGTTGCAGCTCAACATGCAAGGTCCCGATCCACACCCCGGATCCACAGGCGATCCATGCCCTGATCCATACCCTTTTGAAGAGGTAGAATTCTTGTGCGATCATTTGTGTAACTCCTTCGTTCCATACGTCCGGATCACCGCGTAGCGATCCATATGCTTGCAGTTGGTTTGCCACCAGTGCCCGATTTCTTTGGGTTCATCAAGAGTAAATCCGTGACTACATATGTCTTCTGCTGTTACTGCAATTGCATTGTTTAATGATGTGTTTCTCCACATTGTGTTTCTCTCTGCACCGAAACTAGATCTTTTTGAGCTTTTACTTGATACTGATTTAAGTGGATGTCCCTACAAGTAGGACAAATTGGATATGTGCTGAACACATGTACCTAGAAAGCCTAGCGCCTGAAGTTTTGGTCACTAGGTCGCCGCGCCTTCTTTGTTTCGCACTTTTAGTATACTTTTTTTTTGAAGACACTTGGCATTGTCAGGGCTTGCATGCATAGAATCAATCATGAACATTAAAGTCTAACCATAGCTCCATCAATTCTCAAAAACGGGGCTGGACTCCCGAAGATATTCCCAATAAACCCTGCAAACCAAAGTCTCGAAAAAGTTTCGAAAAGTCTCAAAAAGTCGAAGACTTTTTCACTTCTTGCGAAAAGTCTCGGTACTTTCAACTTAGGACTGGTTCAGCATGGTGAGCCCTTATAATCCTTATAGAACACTGGATGCCCTCTGGTAAACTAACAGGTTGCTATGGAAAATCACTGTTTCTTGTTGGTAAATCAATGGTAAATGGTCCATCTAGACCATAGCTCTGTGAAATTTCCAGAGGGCATCTGAGTCTGGCCATATCACGATGACCTCAGGGAACCCATCTCGATTTCCACATCTATTTTTGCTGTGTCGGAACATTGATACCAGAAGCAATAGCATAAAATGGCGCCTGTAATGGGAAAGCATATATAAAGCTATGATAAACCGTTGATATCCATTGATGAACCATCAAATGTGATGGATTTCCAAGCACTTGTGGAGCCATCAAAGCGAGCCCGACTCCTCTGAGTGTCGAGCGTTCCTGGATCAACTCCGCCAGTTTGGGCGGACAGCGCGGTACGACTAAAGTCACCTGCCGGAATGGCCGATTGGGGATGGTGCAAATGGCATTGGGTTTCCCATGGTTTGCCACATTTTGTGAACAATCATCTGATCTGGGCAAATCAAAGAGTATCATAGAGTAGCTCAATAACCTCACATCTTTGATGATTTTCAATGATGGGGGCTGGTTTCCCTTACTCACCACATTTGGTCATCATATCACCACTATCCTATGGTGACATTGACACCAAGCAGTGTCTGAGGATCCTAGGCTCCTGGCACTCTTGTGCCAATCGCCACCAATCTTCTCTGAACCTCGTGGCTTCAGCACAAAGAGTAACTCCCAGGGCCTAGCCGCTACAATTGGGCTCGTTTTACTCTTTTTGGCATTAACACATCAGGAAATAAGTTGGGATGGTCGCGTGTGGTCTCAGCTTTTTTGACTGGGTGAACTTCAGGGGCGGGGAACGCGAATCCTCACTGGCACTCAATGGAATTTTGATCCAGCAATGGTTGTTTTACTTACTGTTTAAGTAAGCAACTTAGTTGCACTCTTGTTCCCAAGTCTCCGAACGCAAGTCCAGGGGAGCTGGCAACTCATCAAACATATGCAATACCTGGGAGGTGGCCATTTTTTTCAACCACTGCATGGATTCAGCGAGGGAATCTTTGGGAACCAACAACCAACAAACATGGGGTTATATTGAACCATATCTGTTTGGTGGTATACCCACCCCTCTGAAAAATATGAGTTCGTCAGTTGGGATGATGAAATTCCCAATATATGGAAAATATAAAATGTTCCAAACCACCAACCAAATATATTGAACCACTAAAAGAAGCTCCAAGTGTTGGCAAAGCCGGTTTCTGGGATGGTCTCTGGAGTGATTTTGTCATGTCCAAATCATTGGATTTGAAGCGATGCATGTCCATTAAATCATTTTCTAAAAGGTCTGATCAATGGATCATATTCAATATTCATATAATTCATGTTCAATGGATAATTGGAATAATATCATCCAATGAATAATCATTCATGTTTCATATTCATGGGCAATATTCAATCATATTCATGAATGATCGGCAAAAATCGTCTGATCAGTTGTTTTTTTGGCATATGTCAGATTCATGAAATTTGATTCGTCGCTTTGATGCCCCAGTTCCAAGGGATATCCTCAGGGGATATTCCCTACTTACACACCATTCACGACGATCATCCCATCCATTGGTACATCATACGTCTTCACCGGCCAGACCTGTGGTGTCAGGTCGTGAGGGACAGGATCCCCAGTCGTCACCATGGCTTTCAATACAAATTAAAATGGTCATCCGTGACTTGGATGATTTGGGGGTACCCCCATGACTGAGGAAACCTCCACATCAGTGATGTCAAGAGGGGGATGTCAAAATATGTCAAAATGAGAAATCTTGTTGTGAACGAATTGCTCAAAGCATTTCTTGCCAAAAATCTGTTCAAGTTCCAGAAATTTACTGAAGACTCCACATGGACTGGTGAAATGGCCACCCTGCGAAACTTAGGGACTTTCGGCCGTCTAGGGCTATTTCAAGAGCTTGTAACCCATTCAGAAGAGACCTCATGAGTGGTCTCATCCCAAGAATTTTGGGACATAACATATGCACATATGGAGTTTTCCTGAAACGAAGGCACCCCCAGAACGCTGGATGGTTAAGTTCATGGAAAATCTCATCTATAACTGGATGATAACTGGGGGTATATACCCAATGACTTAGGAAACCTCCATATATTACAGTAATACTTTACTCAAGCATGAACCCGACCCGAAACCCTTGGCCACGCCCTTCTCTTTGAAGCACGAGCATCCCGACACTGGCATCTAACATGAAGTTGTTCTGCAGCGCGTGCCACAGCATAACCTCCAGCCATGGTGAACCATTTCGCTAAGGTTGGGGATGGTGGGATGGAATCCCATCCCCCTGATATTCAACACCCCCATTGTATAGTTGTACCAAGGGATCTTCCTAAACTTTGCTACCGCCTGCATCAGCAATCTCTGTTCCGACTGCATCAGCAGTGGCCCCTTTGCACATTGCGTCACCACCATGCAAAAAGCATAGTGCAATGTTTGCCCCCCGTTTCAAGGGAAACGAAACGGGTATTCTCCGTTCAAAAAACACGTTGCGATGTTTCTAGGTGGGAGTCCCCCCAAAACAGGATGGATCATGGGGTCCATAAACTCCACAAAAATGCGCCTGCGCTTGAGAAACTTCTCTCGCCGAAAGTTGCTCTCGGGCATAGGCTAGAGTGACCTAACTGGTCACGGGAGCGATTTGGTTCTCTGTACCCTCCAGTAAACTAACATATAGCCATAGCATGCCATAGCTATTAAACAGATAGCTGTTAAATAGCCACTTCATAAATGATCTACCTATGAAACATATCTAAAGATCTATTTAATTCTATTTATACAGGCGTTGTCATTTTCGATGGCTACGTTAAAATTCTCTGCCGGTATTGTTAAACCCCTTTGATGCTTAAGCCCCCAGTTTTGATGGTGAAACATCCTACGGCTCAGTTTCAGACTGCCAGCAGGAAGATCTGACCATTGGGACATACCTCTGATGGCTAGGTCGGTATGTCCATGGGGAGCTCAAATCATCCACTGAAATGCTTGGCAAATCCCTTCAGTTTCCTGGTCCAACTAAAACGGCCTGGGACAGGGATCAGCGAGCCGTGATCTAGCGACCTCACAAAGCCTTGGCAAATGCATTTAAAAACATATAAATACTGTGCATTTACAGTGACTGTAATCTTTCTTCACGGTAGTCTATCAATGGTTCTCTGGCCCACCCAGCCCCCCCAAAAAAAGGCAGAACGGAGCACCAAACGTTGCAGCTGCGCCATCTCCAGGATAGCGCGTGTGCCATCCAGCGCCGCGACTAAGCCAGCTTCAGAACAACCTCAGTGGAATTTGCTGTTGGCTTGTTCTGAAGAACAATTGAAAAAATAATACTGTTCCAGAACTACCTCTGATAAGTCTTGAAAATTCACGAAATTTTGAAGCCGCAAGTACAAGATTTGTTCTGAATATGGACATCATTCAGCAGAATCTGATGAATTTGTCAGGTTGGATGGTGTTTGGACAATGGGGGAACTGGGCCAGATGACCGATTCGTAGCAATTCATCGTCACCAGCCTCAGCAAAGGCGGTTCTGGGGATCTATGCGAGATGATATACAGAGCCACTATACATCATTCTATAACTATATATGTATCTGTACAAAAAATGTAAATGTAATTCATGGTAATTCATGTCATGTACGCACTACCTCTATAATCCTCTATACACATACACCTGTGGCCTCCTTTGGGTATCTCTATGTTCATGTTTCGGGCACCCTATAGGGCACCCATCACGCGGGGTGCCAGGGCCCGCAAATTATGCTTCTATATATATATACATATGTAATATGTATACATATATATATATATACCTTCTGGTAAATTAACATAGACCCTGGCAAATGGGGGTTGGAAGACTAGTTTCAAATAGAATTTCATTGTTTTCAGGGTCTATGTTTATTTACCAGAGGGTATATTATACAGTCGTATAAACCCCTTCACTTTCGGCGTATCCTTTTTTTGACCCATTGCCTTGGCCTCTTGTCTGTGAAGATTTAGGGCTACCCACAAGACATGCAGAGCTATCCATAAATACCCACAGCTTGTTGTCTTGTGAAGCCAGGGCAACATGTCCAAGATTCCTCGAAATCCTTGCAACTCGTCTTTTGAGTATCGACCCTCCAGGCAGTTCATCTAGAAAGTTGCGGAAAGTTGGAAACTATTCTCAAATTGGAAACCTCATCTCACTATGGACCAGTGGTTCCAGTTTCACAGCTTGCCAGCTGGTATCGATCTTCATCCTGAAATCCTTCTGCGCTGAGCCTGGCTGAGCCCCAGACATCCAGGTTGCATTCCCTTTTGGCAAGGCGCAACACCTGCTTTCTGAGTCAAGAGCTGAATCCATGGGTTCAAAAAAATGGTCAGCCAGTCCTAGTGGATTTATCCATCAAGAGTGGATAAAACTGGGAGGTGCTTAATCCGAACACTTCCCCACCGGCTATGTTCAATGAGGTGGGCGCGTGGGCCCCCTCCCAGCTATCAGTTGGTTCATAAACACATTCAACTGTAGAATACCGTAGACATATCATGAAATATCCATAAATATCCACCATGAATCCTAGAGTCCTAGAGCCATGGTCGTTATCAACCTACCTAGTCTTGGGGCCCGCATTGGGATCGTACGAACCCCGCATACCAAGCTCTCGAACACCGCCTTCCCGTCATGGACCACGGCCCACGAGGGGATCTCGCTGTGGCATTGAGGGCTTCCCAGTCTCGCAGCGGCGTCCATTTTGTCTGCCAAGAGAAAGCTGCGCAAAGCTCCTTGAAAACATCAGAGCCTGCAAAATCCGTGGCTGGTAGTTTCAACACCACCTAAAGACATCCTTAGGGGATGATATGAGCCAAAACTAAAACACATTTGCAAAAATAAATGAAACCACCAGTCCAACTATGTGAAAGCCGCTGGTCAATTAAACTGCCCACATTGCCCAAGTACATCGGCAAAACTGCACTTCACCAAACTCTAACCAAAAACTTGAAATGTGCCTCCGCCAAACACCTGTTGGAAGAGGGCATAGAGGCATAGAAAGAGTGAGCCCCGTTCGGTTGGCGTTCTTGCAAACACTCATGGCATGACTTTGCTGCTGCAAAGGACCGAAACACCAGAACCACAACTCCACATGTGCTTCGCTGATGGCTCTAGTGTCGCGGTCTTCCGGTCTCCCAGTGGCACTCTCTGCCCCAAGGCACGGGGACTTTCCCCGCAGCATATCTGGGAGCAAGCTCCCTGTGTGTTCACTGCGTGGCCATGCTTTTCCTGCCCTCTGAAAACTCTCAGGTGAAATATGGTGAAATGCAACCTCCAAGAAACAATCTGTACAGCTCCAACGTCATTGTGAGGACAATGTCAGGACAATCCTGCCACCAATGACCAATCTAGCCATCATGCGGGCAGCCACAAGTGCGTCCTGCTTTTCCTCGTGTGTCTTGCACTGTCTGTTGGTTTGTCTTGCCTATCGACGCATCAAGAAAAATCTGTTTGAAACGTGCCTCTGCCAAACACCTGTTGGAAGAGGGCATAGAAAGAGTGAGCCCCGTTCGGTTGGCGTTCTTGCAAACACTCATGGCATGACTTTGCTGCTGCAAAGGACCGAAACACCAGAACCACAACTCCACATGTGCTTCGCTGATGGCTCTAGTGTCGCGGTCTTCCGGTCTCCCAGTGGCACTCTCTGCCCCAAGGCACGGGGACTTTCCCCGCAGCATATCTGGGAGCAAGCTCCCTGTGTGTTCACTGCGTGGCCATGCTTTTCCTGCCCTCTGAAAACTCTCAGGTGAAATATGGTGAAATGCAACCTCCAAGAAACAATCTGTACAGCTCCAACGTCATTGTGAGGACAATGTCAGGACAATCCTGCCACCAATGACCAATCTAGCCATCATGCGGGCAGCCACAAGTGCGTCCTGCTTTTCCTCGTGTGTCTTGCACTGTCTGTTGGTTTGTCTTGCCTATCGACGCATCAAGAAAAATCTGTTTGAAACGTGCCTCTGCCAAACACCTGTTGGAGAGGGCATAGAAAGAGTGAGCCCCGTTCGGTTGGCGTTCTTGCAAACACTCATGGCATGACTTTGCTGCTGCAAAGGACCGAAACACCAGAACCACAACTCCACATGTGCTTCGCTGATGGCTCTAGTGTCGCGGTCTTCCGGTCTCCCAGTGGCACTCTCTGCCCCAAGGCACGGGGACTTTCCCCGCAGCATATCTGGGAGCAAGCTCCCTGTGTGTTCACTGCGTGGCCATGCTTTTCCTGCCCTCTGAAAACTCTCAGGTGAAATATGGTGAAATGCAACCTCCAAAAAACAATCTGTACAAAGCTCCAACGTCATTGAGAGGACAATGTCAGAACAATCCTTTCACCAATGACCAATCTAGCCATCATGCGGGCAGCCACAAGTGCATCCTGCTTTTCCTCGTGTGTCTTGCACTGTCTGTTGGTTTGTCTTGCCTATCGACGCATCAAGAAAAATCTGTCTGAAACGTGCCTCTGCCAAACACCTGTTGGAAGAGGGCATAGAAAGAGTGAGCCCCGTTCGGTTGGCGTTCTTGCAAACACTCATGGCATGACTTTGCTGCTGCAAAGGACCGAAACACCAGAACCACAACTCCACTTGTGCTTCGCTGATGGCTCTAGTGTCGCGGTCTTCCGGTCTCCCAGTGGCACTCTCTGCCCCAAGGCACGGGGACTTTCCCCGCAGCATATCTGGGAGCAAGCTCCCTGTGTGTTCACTGCGTGGCCATGCTTTTCCTGCCCTCTGAAAACTCTCAGGTGAAATATGGTGAAATGCAACCTCCAAGAAACAATCTGTACAGCTCCAACGTCATTGTGAGGACAATGTCAGGACAATCCTGCCACCAATGACCAATCTAGCCATCATGCGGGCAGCCACAAGTGCGTCCTGCTTTTCCTCGTGTGTCTTGCACTGTCTGTTGGTTTGTCTTGCCTATCGGCGCATCAAGAAAAATCTGTTTGAAACGTGCCTCTGCCAAACACCTGTTGGAAGAGGGCATAGAAAGAGTGAGCCCCGTTCGGTTGGCGTTCTTGCAAACACTCATGGCATGACTTTGCTGCTGCAAAGGACCGAAACACCAGAACCACAACTCCACATGTGCTTCGCTGATGGCTCTAGTGTCGCGGTCTTCCGGTCTCCCAGTGGCACTCTCTGCCCCAAGGCACGGGGACTTTCCCCGCAGCATATCTGGGAGCAAGCTCCCTGTGTGTTCACTGCGTGGCCATGCTTTTCCTGCCCTCTGAAAACTCTCAGGTGAAATATGGTGAAATGCAACCTCCAAGAAACAATCTGTACAAAGCTCATACGTCATTGTGAGGACAATATCAGGACAATCCTGCCACCAATGACCAATCTAGCCATCATGCGGGCAGCCACAAGTGCGTCCTGCTTTTCCTCGTGTGTGTTGCACTGTCTGTTGGTTGGTCTTGCCTATCCACGCATCACGAAAAATCTGTTTGAAACGTGCCTCTGCCAAACACCTGTTGGAAGAGGGCATAGAAAGAATGAGCCCCGTTCGGTTGGCGTTCTTGCAAACGCTCATGGCATGACTTTGCTGCTGCAAAGGACCGAAACACCAGAACCACAACTCCACATGTGCACAAGCGCGTCTTGCTTCCATCTTTCGATCTGCGTTGCAGAACTCATTGTTGCGCTGGGGTGGAGTGAATGGAGAATGGATATATCCGACTGGTGAGAGCAACAACAGATATAGATATATTCATGAATACATGCAAACACATAATTTTGCGGTCGCATTGTACAAAGGCAATGTATGTGTATAGATACACATGTATACAAAGGCCAGTGTCATAGATGTATGTAAATGCACTATATATATAGATATGCATCTGACATGTATACCGTATACATCAATCTGCGGATTAGTATGATGCTGCGGTATGAATCATTTTTAAAGGGGAACAAAGATGAACAAAGCACGTCCAATCAGCCAACAGCTCAGAGGGCCAATGATGAATTTCCCCATCTCCGAGATTTGGATACTCGACACATTCAGAGTGGCTTTTCCTTAGTGGATGGTTCAAGGATGTTCAAGGTTTAAATGTCCTAAAAAATGAAACCCGCAAATCTATGGCTTCCAAGGTCCTTAAACAATTCAGGCATTTCCAGTCACACTCTCTCCTAGGATAGAAAAGGTACCCCTTCTATACAGTAGGATCTCATAAATGCGTTCACATATCATTGATTGGGGCAGTATCTAGATTCCCAACAAGTGATGCTACCTGCCATGGAAATGATGATTCATGGCCACGTTAAGCCGTGCAAAAAATGCATCCCCTTGCAAAAGAGTCCAATCCTGAGTTAACAATCATCATCGATGGATTTTTACAAGGTCGTTCATGTCTTGTCTCAATCAGTTGTCTATATAGTTGTTGTTGCAATTTTTACGTGTGTTCATTTATCCACTAATCTACTCATCCATCTATCTATCCCTTACCCCTTGCCAATAAAACTGCGTGATCCATATTGTTGGCCCTTCATGGTATTTCTCCAGGCTTCCATCTATGTGTTGTCTATTTTACACATACAAATATCATAGTGGTGGTTTTATATCCCATAAACATATCCTCAAACAAAAAAACAACAACATATCACCATTAAACACACATAATTATGTAAACACACATATCTATACATATATATATATTATATTATATATTATCCATACATATATATATATATATTATATACATACTTATATGTATAATATCAAACTCCCCATTAAGGTGACGTCCCCAATCGCTCCCCAATCATTGACCCGCCTGGGGCCAATCTAAGCCCTGGATCACTCCTTTGCACCATGCCTTGGGGAAGTTTTTCATGGCTACGTACTGTGTATACTGTATACAATAGCTATGATATTAATAATATTAGTACAAGTAACATATATATATATGTATTAAATGTTACCATGAGGAATGGTGAATGTGCTAGCAAACATCGTGGTCTTATGGTCAAACATGTGGCTTTTAGCGTTAAGAATTGGATATCATGGGGATGTAAAAATGCGATGTAACTAACAAAATTCAGAATATGAAGGGGGTTGTCCAAAAATATAGGGGAGTACCCCCAAATGACCAGATTTCTTAAGGAGAAAATGATGATCAACCCAAGGTTTAAGAAATTGAACTTGAACATGGCTAGTTTCTGTTTGCCAAATGATGATCAGCTCGATTTTGGCATGAAAATCGCCAGTTTGTGAACCAGCAAAATGATGAGCAAAACCAAATTCCCCACGTGGGGAAGTGAAGGGTCAATTTCGATGATTTCGGTGCAAAATATATGGACCAAGTGGATCAACTTCATCCTCGGTTTTAGGACATCAAATCTTGATGTTCCTATGCATCATCCATCTACCTATTGACCTACTTATCGATATTGGATTTATGTAAGAATAGAATGGATTAGAATAGAATAGAATAGAATAGAATAGAACATCATAGAAAAGACTAGAATACGGGGAAAATGAAAAAACAGGAATCATAGGAATAGATGATAATAGATGCACTAGCATTATCATCTATTATCATCTACTATCATCTATTATCATCCATTATCATCTAGTATCATCTATTATCATCTGTTATCATCTATTATCATCTAATTATTATCATCTAATTATTATCATCTATTATCATCTATTATCATCTATCATCATCTATTATCATCTATTATCATCTATTATCATCTATTATCATCTGTTATCATCTATTATCATCTGTTATCATCTATTATCATCTAATTATTATCATCTATTATCATCTATTACCATCTATTATCATCTATTATCATCTATTATCATCTATTATCATCTATTATCATCTATTATGAATAATATGAATAATATGAATAATATAAATAATATGAATAATATGACTAATATGAATAACAGGTATAAACTGTTATTACGTGACTGTATAGATTATAGATGCACTAGCATTTCTTGCCAAGGAGCCATGACCTCGATGATGTTGGAAGCATCGTCCTCCTTGCTTAAAATCTCTTCCACAAACACCCAATTTTGTACCAGGGAAATCCCCGATGAATGGATGTTTATAGTGGCAAAATGTGGTGAAATAGTGCAAAATCATCTATACATGAGGATTTTCCAGCAAGCCATGGTATTTTGATGTATTTTGGGCACACCTGTTGTGTCAAAAAAGTCTAGAAAATGTCAGATTATTGATAACCCATTAGTATTCTTTGGGATTACCATGATCCATGAGCTGGCCCCTTTTCAACCATGATGGGATGATACCAATAAAAAGATTTGTACAGGGCGCTGCACAAAGGACATCCCTTTGATGGCCCCCTCCCACCCCTCTGCCACCCCTCTCCCTAGCCCTGCACTCTCCCCGGCAAAAGCCCAAGTGCAACTTTTTCCTGGAAAAGTCCTATAATAAGTCACCAAAAAACAATAATTTAACATAGTTTTTTGTCATGAGGGACAACATGGTTTTTGGGGCCTGACCCCGGGCGAAGGCTCATTGGCTAAATAGATGTCATACTGTACTGGATATCGTTTGAATTGGAGATCTACCTGAAAAGGTGCTGATGTGGCTGACCCATCTAACCACTGGCCATTACAGCGAATCAGAATGCCATCTCAGCTGAAACCAAGGTTTTCTGCCATGATGAGACTTGGACATGGACCCAAGGACACACAGAACCATTTAAAAAACCATTAAACAACAAGGGTGGGATACTAATCTTACTAGTTCTGGGGGTGGGGTCAAAAAAAGGCACACCTACAAGTACCACCAAGCAGTTGATTGGTCCCTTTCCACATTTTGCTTGCTCAAATATCATGTCTTCATGGCCAAAAGTTGCTGGATTGCGTACATTGGCGTACCCTCTGGTAAACTAACATAACTATGGAAAATGGGAAAACTCACTATAAATGGCCATTTTCAATAGCAAACTGTTAAATTACCAGGGTAATGATCACCAGAGGGTATATACATCTAAAGTTCATGGAAATTGTAGCTTGATGTGTTGAAGAGATCCTCATGGGTTTTTTTCGCCACTAACATCCCATTAACATCCCATCGACATCGCATCAAAGCCCAATTTTAAAAAATAAAATAAAAACAACCTCAGTAGTTCGTGCTCAGTAGTTCGTGCAATCAACCTTTCCCTTACCAAATTGGGGGGTGCCATCCCAGCTAGGCAAGGCTTTCGCGGATCTTTCGCGGATTTTCAGGTCACATCTACAGAAATTTCTCGAAAAAAATTAGTTTCTGGATCCAGAAAAATCTGAGGAAGCTAAACCAGGATTTTGAGCCTTGAACATCTCTTTTGCGAGCTTTCACGGAAGCAAATCTTCGCACTTCCCCGGTGACTTCGAACCTCTGCCGGCGAGAGCTGGATGTAACAGGCCAGGAGCCACCAAAACAGCCTGCGTCGCTCACTACTGAGATGGCGAAATGATGAGTTGATGGGTCGTTGAACGGGTAGACTTCTGCTTCGGAAACTATGCTTCTTTTAACGGGATATATAGTTTAAATGATATAAACCTATACCCAAAAATATGGTGATAAATGAGCTTTTTATGGGCTATAAGGGGATATAAACCTAATACACACAAATTGGATAAAATTGGAGACATGGTGTGATCATTACTTGTAAATCATCGCAAATAAAGCATTCACCAACCGAAGACTTAAAGAATGAGATTTTTCACCTGCTCCAAAATAAGATAATTATGGGTAATTCAGGGCACAACCGGGGGGCTTCCTCCGGCTTAAAAAACATGTGGGCTTAACCATCAGCAGAAATAGGATGGGGGTAATGGGTATGAGTCAAAAATGGGATACCAATACAGTAAATGGGATGCTTCATTTTAAAAAAAATAAACTTAGACTTAGCCTAATTCCGAGCCTGCCGGCCTGTCCCATGTTCAGTGACTGGGATATCTTCTGATATGCTTACCGTGATTATAAGTATATACATATATAAACAGTATAACATTATATAAGCATCAAAGGATGGGGAACAGGATTACAAGACCACATGTGACTGCAAAATATGTTGTTGTCATATCTCAGACTACCAAATATCCATGGGTTTTAGTGATCATCCGAAGAGTCGCGTTGTCATTTTAACTCCAGCCTGTATCTTCAAGCCATGGCAACAAGGCAAACAGTGGAGTAAACCAAGAATCATCATCCCAAATAGAGATGTAAAGTCAAATATATATATATATATAAATAGGTTTGTCTGAAAATTACCCCGAAATCATTTTTTTTAGATCTACTGGTTAATAAGCTTCTTATTCAATTTGCTATTTTCAGGGCAAACACCCCCATGTATACAGACTCTCCGCCTTGGTGAAAAAACACAAAAACGAGCCTCATGGTACATGACAGCAACAGGGCGGCGAAAAAGCTAAGCTGAGTTGGGCAGTCTGAAATTGCTGTGCTGTGATTGCTGTATCCCAACATGGCTCTGACAATGAAGGATAGCAATAGATGGTAAAAGTCGAACTGCGAATCATCTGGGTTTGGTTGTTCTCACCAACGCAAATGCAAGCCACTCAATTGCCAAAAAAAGTCAGGTCCATTGCAAGTCACCAAGAAAACGAAACCCAAAAATTGTGGTTTTGATGGATTGGTTCCATCAACCACTACTGCTATTGGTTGGAATGGTTCTAGTGTGCTGTATTCAAGTTGCATCTGTCTTGCAGGAAGTACCAGCGGAATATGTTCCTTTTCCATGGCTGCCACATTGATAGTCCATGTGTTCAAGCTTCAAAAGCAGCGAGGACACACACACACACACAGACATGCGCAGATTTAATTAAGACTCATGGAAATGTGTATGCTGTTTCCAAAGATACCGGGTGGTCCCTTGGTTTGTAGTCACTTTTTTGGACTTAGCCGACTTAGCCCCTAAATCGTCTCACAAGAACCGAAAAAAAGGAGCTCTCGCTGTGAATTTTCAGGGGGACATTTGCACATGTTGAAGATCCAATGAAATGATGATGGGCCCATGCCTTGTCACCGCCATTCAGCACCTGCAGCTGCGTCATTTTTTGAATTCATAATCGATCCAATGTGAACAGTGGATTCAGATTCAACCCTGCAGAATTTTGATTTATTCATTCTTGAGATACGTGTTTCAAACATGTTCGAACAGTGTTTCACTTTAAACTCCCCCCAAAAAAATAGAGCAACATGATTCAAAATGAGATCATAAAATGGATCAAACATGGCTTTTCTTTCTGTTTCTGCCTTTTTCTTCTGCAAAAAGAGCCTTGCCCACCGCCAAGCGATCTCCACTTCCAGCCAGATCCTGATTTTCTATCTGGAGATACTAACGGGGACTGGTCTATCATGATGTATCCATCTGTATCCTTTACATATAGCAAAGTTTGATGATGTTTGATGATGTTTGATGATGTTTGATGATGTTTGATGTTTGATGATGTTTGATGATGTTTGATGATGTTTGATGATGTTTGATGATGTTTGATGATGTTTGATGATGTTTGATGATGTTTGATGATGTTTGATGATGGTGTTTGATGATGTTTGATGATGTTTGATGTTTGATGATGTTTGATGATGTTTGATGATGTTTGATGATGTTTGATGATGTTTGATGATGTTTGATGATGTTTGATGATGTTTGATGATGTTTGATGATGTTTGATGATGTTTGATGATGTTTGATGATGTTTGATGATGTTTGATGGTGTTTGATGATGTTTGATGATGTTTGATGATGTTTGATGATGTTTGATGATGTTTGACGATGTTTGATGATGTTTGATGATGTTTGATGATGTTTGATGGTGTTTGATGGTGTTTGATGATGTTTGATTATGTTTGGTGATGTTTGGTGATGTTTGATGATGTTTGATGATGTTTGATGGTGTTTGATGGTGTTTGATGATGTTTGATGATGTTTGATGATGTTTGATGATGTTTGATGATGTTTGATGATGTTTGATGATGTTTGATGATGTTTGATGATGTTTGATGGTGTTTGATGATGTTTGACGATGTTTGATGATGTTTGATGATGTTTGATGATGTTTGATGATATTTGATGATGTTTGATGATGTTTGATGATGTTTGATGATGTTTGATGATATTTGATGATATTTGATGATGTTTGATGATGTTTGATGATGTTTGATGATGTTTGATGATGTTTGATGATGTTTGATGATGTTTGATGATGTTTGATGGTGTTTGATGATGTTTGATGATGTTTGATGATGTTTGATGATGTTTGATGATGTTTGATGATGTTTGATGGTGTTTGATGATGTTTGATGATGTTTGATGATGTTTGATGTAAAAGTTCATCATTTATTAAATGCAAGACCACAGATCAGAAATCGGTTCGTGTTGACCTTGCAACCATCGAATGGTTTTCATAATATGACGGCTGCTCTGGCAATGCATGACACTGACTATGAGGTGGATCTTCCTCTTCCCACTTGATATGCTGGTAGGCACGAATCTAGCTGCAGCAGGTTGCCAGCTTGCATCCTATCACGTCCGAGCACTACTGGGAAGCATGCTTCCCATCGCTCAGAACTTATGACCACCATGACCACCACAATTTTACGCGTGTTTTAGCGCATTTATATAGTAGTTCTTGCAATGACCCTCAAATCAATAAACCTCCATTAAAATAAAAAAAAACATGCTGGTAGTGAGGCTCCAGCCCGATCATGACTGGCATTCTCCTGCCGATGTGATAACAAGGGGAAAATGGACCACGGAGGACCATTTTTTGGGGTGCCAGGGGATTGTCCCAATGATATATATATATATATATTGATGGGCTGTGAACCGGCTCCATACAATCCTTTGAAATGAAAGCGTGAGGCATCTATGGCTGCACATGGATTAGCTGAAGGTCCCAGATGTTAATTCATGTTACAGGGGAAGACATTCCTGACCGAGGTAGAACTGCGCCAAGAGTTGAGAAGAGGGTTTCGCAAGAGGCTTTGCCTTGGAGATCCTATCTTTACATATACCTCTGGTATTTTGACATAGCAATGGAACATGGCTCATTTATGGATGATTTACCTATTAAACATGATTTACCTCTCTTTTATATATATATATATCATATATATATGTATCAATATATATCATATATCATATATATATATCATATAATATATATATCATATAATATATATATATATATCATGTATATATATATATATCATGTATATATATATATCATGTATATATATATAGTATATATAGTATATAGCTTTTCGTCAGCCACTTTCCCATTGAAATCGATCCGTTTCTTCATCCCTCACCCACCTTCCAAGCTGCAAAGGTCTGCGAGACCCGATCGATCACCTGTGGAGGAAGGCTCGAAGCATCCGGGATTTGATGTTTTTTTTATGTTTTTTGTTTTTCTGATGTTTTTTTGATGTGTTTCCCCAGTGTTCCATGGTTTGTTCCGCGTTTCTTCCGGCTTTTTCTATCATCCCCCTATCCTTCTGAAATGGCCCGGAAGAATTCTGCAGACCCTGATCCAACCGTGGAGCCCAACATAAGCTGCCCTGTTTCTGTCATGATCGCAATCTCATTGTCAAGTTGGCGCACCAAACCCACGCGCATCTTGCGGTGGCAACACTTGGGGTGCCCCCAGCGGCTCCATGGCAAAGATGTCGACCCAGGTATCGGGTACTGTTCAAAGAGTTAAGAATCCCAGCTGGGAACAAACTCAGGTGCCTCAGCTCGTAGGGAGGCAGCTGTTGCTTTCACCCCATTGGGACCCGTTTTGCCCGCCTTCTTCTGCGTCTTTTTCCCTGTCGCAAATGACGATGCTGGGGGCTGAGGTTTCCCCTCAAATTCAGGAACTTGGCGCATCAGTGGTATCAGTGGTGTCCCTTCTTTATGGAAATATGACCTGAAGTTTTTTCAGAGGAACTTAAGTCATAGGCTTTCAGTATGTGTTTCAAATCTGAGGGGATGGGACTTACCACTGAAATGGGGCTCTAAAACCACTGTGGTAAACCCAGTTAGATAAACCTACCATTTGGGTGATGGGTTTTACCACCCATCTATGGTAATATTTTTGGGATGTTTTTTTTTGGGGGGTTTACCACATTAGATATCTTTCGAATGCTAACAGATGGTGATTTGTGGCCAAATGATATCCACTTCGCGGATCTGGCTGAATTGGAAACAACTCACAGTTATGATAGCTATGGACCTTCATCAGCCCATTCAGATGGTCCGTCCCACAGTCATTAACCATGAACAGAATCTTTTGCTCCGAAGGGACATTTTTTTCGACATTTGAAATTCGGTTTATCTGAAAATATGTGGGTTTATCTGAAAATGGTGTACCCCTTTTTTCTCCCAATGTATTATTAATTATACGATCATATTGATGTTTTTCCCCATTGATATCATATATATGGAGGTTTCCTGAAAAATTGGGGTACCCCCAGTTATCATCCATTTATAATAAGATTTCCCATGAAATAAACCATCCAGTGTTCTGGGGGTACCCCCATAGAAACGGAAACCACCTGCGGGAGGAGGCAGCTGCACGCCGGACCCCCATGTGTTGAAGAATTGCCTCAGATGCCGGAAATTTGCCCCATTTTTCATAGGGAAAAAATTGATCTTTTCGGCATCCATATGTGGGGAATAAAGTAGGGTATAGATTTTATATGATTTTATGGCATATCTCATGCTTTTCATTTCCCCCATATATGATCATATATTGTTCAAAAAAAAACATGAAATATCCCATAGCATTGCCATAAGAATTGCATGAGAAGATGCGGGGAATATTTACAAAGATGAAATATGTTCTGGGGCATCAGAGAAATTTGGAGAATATAGAACCTGTATCATTGTTGTTGTGTTTACTAGTGTGATGATTCTTCTCTTTGTCATTGTTGTATCATTGTAACATTTGAAACCGAGAATCGCCCAGTTTCTGGAGTGGTCTTCCAAGACCTGTAACATCTGAATAGTTTGGAACACCTTCCCAGTGACGACGGCAATCCATGTGTCATCCCAACTGACTGGCTATATTTATGTCTGTATGTACATATATGCTAGCCCCCCCCCAAAACCGACGTTTTTCTCTTTCTTGTTTTGAAGATTGAGTAAATAGTTTGTTTTTTAAATTAAGTATACTGGAGTGATTTTCGATTTCTTCTGACAATTGTGTTGAGCAAAGATGAGAATCTAGAGGAATATTAGAAATAGACGTTTTTTTTGATATTTTAGATTTCATATCTAATATCAAGTTTATAACTGGAGTAAAAAAAAATAAAACCTCATCTAAGATATTTAATAATCTATCTTCAGGAAATTCCATTCCACCATAGTTATTCCATCTTTTGAACCACTAATAAATATATCCATATTCTCTAAAAAAGAACTAGAAACATATGGGAAAAAGCTGGTGATTCAAAATTGTGCCAAAATATCTAAACCATGCTATTTTATGTTTTTTTTCTGCTTGCTTACTTTTTTTAATTACATACACACATGTTTTTACAATCTACAAAAAAACAAAAAAATAAAGTTTGAAGCTCTTGCTATGAATAGTTGGATTTAAAATGATTGGCAAACTGCTTTGAACGCTAGCAATAAAATTGCAAATAAATGCGTTTATACAGCAATAAAATCAAACTTTTTACTAAATAGTAACAATCACTTAAAATACGTACAACAAGTAAAATAATTTATATATTAAAACCCATACTGGCAAAAAAAAATATCTATTAATTCAAAACGCAGAGCAATATTTACATCAATTAACACCTTATGAAGTCATTAATTGGTGTGAAAGATATCCTCCAAAAACTATCTTATGCAAAAAATCTTACCTTAATGCTCTTCAAACACTAAAAATATCTACTCACTCAATAGAAAGTAAAGTATGTCAACTTATAAAAAGAAATATGGCAAGAAAATACTCAATTTGATATACAAGAAGAAAAGGCACTCTTATCAATTTTCTAGATATATATCTTATAAAGATCACTTAATTAAAATCGACAATCTATTACTACAAAACCAATTAAATAATAGTTTTTACTTTTTCAGTTTTTAAAAGATATGGATAAAAAGATAGTGCAATGTCGCATTTTAATAAAGCAAAAGAATATTCAAAGCACAAAAATGTATCATAACATTATAAATAATCATCCATATAATCAAGGATTATCATTTGATTATGTATTTTCCCTAAACGACCTACGTCTAAACCCATATATAATAGAACAAAATTTAGCTCCTATATTAAACCCCTCTTTTAAAGAGACCATATATATAGAAAAAATACTAACTTAAGAATATGCTATGCAAGGGAACTATTATTATTATTATAATACAATCTTGCCTAAAAATTACTTAATCAAGCTAGCGCAAATATAACAGATATTGACTAATATATAAAATACATCACTTGGCAGGATTTATAGCACTTGTAAAATTAAAAGAATATAATATTGCACTAAAACATTTTTCTTATATAGATGCTATTGCTACATCACCAAATCAAATAAGTAGAAATTGCTATGTTATGTATATTTGCATGCAAAATATGAAAGATCTAAAATATCATGCACTGCCAAAGAAATATTGCAAAAAGCTTCAAAATACTGTGCAACTTCTTATGGAATGATAGCAATTGAATTACTCAAGAATTCAAAAATCTCTTTACAAAAAACAATTGATATTAATGATGCAAAATTATATATAAATGGCTTAAACCAAACACTACAAGATGAAATTGAATTTACATCTTACCTAATAAAATGTAAAAAAAAAAACCTTGCAGACGTTTTAGTAACTCAACTATTTAAAAATATCACTAAAGATATTTTTTTTAATATATAACAATATTTTGATATATGGACAAGAAAATCAAAATCTGCAAATGATGATTTGTCAATGTGCTTTGAATAGTAGTATTGTAATTGCAGATAAACTATTTCAAAAAATGCCATTACCTGATGAAATTCCACTTCAAAGTCATTATTTAACTCATGTACCATATATATACATATGTGTGTATTAATTGTTGTCTTACTGTTGAACCCAGGTACTTAGAGCAATTTTGTCACCAAAAGCGTTTGCAAACGTTTGCAAACGAGTCCAGGGGCCCAAGTACTTAGACTGGCTCAGGATTCAAGATTCAAGATCCAAGATCCAAGATTCAAGATTTTTTTTTAAAAAAAAACTTCTTGAATCCAGAAACTCTCCTGATCCTAGCCCCGGGATTCAAGAAGTTTTTTTTGGATCTTGAATCTTGAATCTTGAATCTTGGATCTTGAATCTTGAATCTTGGATCTTGAATCTTGAATCTTGAATCTGAATCTTGAATCTTGGATCTTGAATCTTGAATCCTGAGCCAGTCTAAGTACTTGGGCCCCTGGACTCGTTTGCAAACGTTTGCAAACGCTTTTGGTGACAAAATTGCTCTAAGTACCTGGGTTCAACAGTAAGACATCAATTAATACACACATATGTATATATATATATATATATGGTACCCCGCACTGGAACTCAAACTGAACAAGGTAATTTGTCCCAAAAGCCTTGCGACCTCAAAAACGTCGTGTTTTTTTGGGGGGTACCATATATATATATATATACATATATACATGTACTTATTGTACATGTATATGTGTGCATGTGTGGCAGCCCTGTTCTATTCGAAAAAGGTTGATCCAGATAAAATGAGTCAAGGTATGCATTAGGTGTCATATCTATACATACATATACATGTACATGTACATATACATTTATGCATTTATACATATACACATATACGTATACACGTACATATATATATACACGTACATATATATATATATGTATATATACGTATATATATATAGATACGTATATACATATATACGTATATACGTGTATATATATATGAGCGTATATCCGTATATGTGTATATACGTATATACGTACATATACATATATACGTATATATGTTTGTACGTGAATACATGTGTATATATAATATGTTTAATATTATACAATATATACATTAATATCACATATTCAATCAGAAGCGTTCCCTAAGCCCTATTTGAGCCACGGCACTGGTGCACCTGTGTCAATCTGGCCATCAGCTGATCCATTTGAGCTTCCTTGGCCATCTCTCGTTGAAGCACCTTGTCCACCTGGTGAAATCAGCTGCGGAGAGGACCTGGAGAATCACACCCCCATCCAGTCACCTGACCTGAATGAAACGGTTCAACCTTTTTGGGGCGTTGCCAAAGCCTAAAATCATGTACCATTTCCACTGACCATGACGTTTGGTGACCTAACATGTTTGACCCATTGGTGACCCTCAAAAATGGATTCAGATGCTTCGTGGTGTACCAAATCTAAACCGCCCCCACTATTCTTCCCAAACTGGCATCTTTGATTGTACCAATCTCTTCGCCCCACTCATGTTAAACACGCCCCAGAAACCATGGTAAAAAATAGGGAAATTGCACATCAATCATATTTGGGACCATTAATCCTGCAGCTGTTTAATATGAATGTGGCATGGGATTTAATGTATCACACGGGAAGTACAGTTATCCCGAGTACCTCTAGCGGCTAAGCAAAGCCAATGGATTTTAGTCGTGAAAAGACTTGCAGGAATACTTCACCAACAATAAGGGGATATTTTTCGATTTATAGATCTAAGAAATCATCCTGTATACCCTCTAGTGATTTAACACAGCTATTGAACATCACAATAATATAAATTAATAGTAATAAATAGCTAAACCATCTAAAGTTGGCCCATGTGCCATGTTCATCCATGTTTCATATCTTAAATTATCAAAGGGTATTTCTCAGACTACATAAGTCTACATGGTTTCTCCTTGCTTCTCAACCGTTCAGTGGTCCAAGATGGCCCAAAATACCCAGGACATATCCGCCTGCAAGAGTTGAGCATGTACTTGATCCAGCTCTGGATTTGGAGGCACTTCCTTGGTGCCATTCATGCGGAAAATGATCATGAATGGATATATATATATGTATATTGTATACAAATATTATAATATATATATATATATTATTGTAATCATACACATATCATTTATATATATAATTATATATATTTATATGATGATGTGAACGGGGATTAACCATCTTTGGGTGTGCGTCCAACCATACTAGCGGATTTGGTGAGTTGTTTTCCCTCTTCTCATGATCCTGCTTAACCAATTCATGTCCATTAGCTACTGTAGTATGATTGAATGACAAATGACATAGTCAGATCCTCATTTTTTTCACAGTCACAAAAAAACGTTGCTGGTCACATACCCCCATTGTATCCTCAAAAAAAACAAGGGTGTTGCTTTTATGCCCCCAATTTTGACATTTCGTACATAAGCCATCCCCAGATATCTGTTGATCAGCCATCCAAGGTGGTTTTTTCAAATGCCATAAGTATTCCATAGATTGTCAGATACCAGATTTCGCCAGATTTGCTATCATGTGGTTGGGAAACTCTACTGCTGGCTCCAGCTGGCTACCCATTTTTCATACGGGATATAGATATACCACCAGCTCCCTCCAAAAAAATCCCTCCCTCCAAGTCACCAGAGATCTTTTTCTGCCAAGAGTCGGTCATTCTCACCTGCACCTGCTTGGATTTTCCTATAGATTCCGCAGTCATGATGGATTTTCCATTGGGAAAATAAGCCAAATCACCGACTAAACAAAGCCAGGCCTGGTCAATGGCATCCTTGTGGTGTTTCAGGAGGTCTGCATTATGGTTGTGCGCCTGAATGGTCTGCCACAGTTCGTGCTTCAGAGTACTCACCTCATTGGTCCAAGGAACAAAACGGGGGAGATCATAGGGGAGATGATGGGTATGTTTGATGAGAATATCATGAAACATGGAGATTTATTGATCATCAGAAATTGGACATCATTTGGACTTGGGTCATTTGGACTTGGGATTGTATGGAACAACTATATCAGCAGCAATAGTGATGATTTAATGGGATATAGCGGAGATACAATGCGGGATACTGGCAATAATGGATCTATTTACCAACACCATATGATATTTGCGTGTGTCCGAGAATGGGGGATATCAACATAATTGATATCAGTCCCACATTGGTATTTTTTACATCCCCATATCTTTGTCAAACATATATTGCTTCTATTCCCAATCTTGGTCACCAGTAAAAAATCAACCATCCATCCATCCATCACCATCCGCGCCTCGCCCTCCCAAACTTCCTCAAGTTTGGTGATGCTTGTCTGGAGCTCTGTCTTTAGCACCCCATTTCGACTGGGCTCCACCGCGGACCTTGAAATGATGATCTAAAGCCGATTAAAATGGCTGGGGAATGCAACAACAAAACTAGCAGCATGAACCGTATTAACAATAAGACTAATAATAGTAATTATATGTGTATAATGATTATGTATGACTGTGTGATTGTTATCTATCGATCTATCTATCGATCTATCTATCGATCTATCTATCGATCTATATAGTTTAATCTAATCTGGCGTAATCTATTCCAATCTAATTTAATCTATCTTTTTACCTGTCTATCTATCTATCATCATCCTCATCACCATCAACATCACCATGACCACGACCATGACCGTGACCGTGACCATGACCATGACCCTGACCATGACCATGACCGTGACCATGACCATGGCCGTGACCATGACCATGACCACCACCACCACCATCAGCATCATCAGCATCATCAGCATCATCAGCATCATCAGCATCATCAGCATCATCAGCATCATCAGTATCATCATCATCATCATCGTCGTCGTCGTCGTCGTCATCATCATCATCATCATCATCATCATGCAAAAGAAAACAATAACACGTCCTTTTCACTCAATTACCAAAGTAACACTGGTGAGTGGTTTCGAGCCCAGAAAAATATTAGCCATTGGGCCCCAACCATTTCATCTGTGGATATGGAGAAAAGATGAAGAAAGAAGAAATACCCTCTGGTAAACTAACATAGCTATTGAAAACGGCCATTTATAGTGGATTTACCCATTAAAAATGGTGATTTTCCATAGCTATGTTAGTTCACCAGAGGGTATACCTTCAAAATCCTTCGAAACCAGCCAGAAGAAACTCCACCACTACATCAACGCACCCAAGGAACACTCTCTCATTGATCATCTTGATCTTTTCAGCCATAGCCTGTACCAATTCGCTTTTTGGTGTCCTGGGACCTCTGGGAATTTCGGACCTGAGAGCCCCCATGTTTCATGGGAGAATCATCTGGCAATGGATTATGGATTGGAAAAACCAGTTATGGATTGTACCCCTTGGCTGCTGCACGCCTCCATCTTCTGTTTGATCTTTTGCACCTCCTTCCCCACCTTACGCGCGAGCTCGGAATGGTCATGGCTGCTACTCAAATGATCTAATTTGGGAACTATACCCGCATGTTTGTGTGTGAAACCCACGCAATGATTTCGGGGTTTTATGACTTTTCTCATCTTTTCTAGCTTTATGTCCCCTTCAAACTTCATCTATCTTCATCTTCTTCATTTTTCCAAGCCCGCCCAGCAAAAAAATCAGGTCCAATCCCACCCCCCTCCCCCTGCCCGCCGCCCCTTGGGGGCCTTGGTTTCGGAGGCCAACTTGGCGTCGAGGATCATGACTTCCACCTGCTGCCCGATGTCCCGCGCGATGTCATGATGAAAATCCTGGATCGGGATGGGGATGGGGATCGCCTGAACAACACTGGGAAACTTCGTTAACTGGTGGACAAATAGGTGAAATATATTGGTTACTCATGTTTATAGGTGATGGATTTCTTTCCGGATGGTTGATTTTTCCTTGAAAACATCGTTAAATACTGCCTTAAATGAAACACTAGTTGGGAAATCTATTCATTTTGGGTTTCCTCATCGGGTTTTTTAATGGTGGGGGAAGGATCACATGGATTGGACTGGATTGGATTGGATTGGATACGATGGGATAGGATAGATAAGCATCAACAACTGGGACGATGACCATCTAGAAACTGGGGGAATCACCTGTAGGAATACGGGTACAACCATCAACAGATTGGGAGTAAACCATCCCATGGATACTGACATAACCCATCCTCATATCTTACCCCAGCAACTTCTTTGGGAACATGCAAACAGGACCCCCTTGAAATTTCAAGGAGCAACCCTGCAATAGTTTCTGGCTTGGTTTGGGTTTGCCCAGAAATCGAGTCTACAGTATTTATAGCTATTTCATGGGGAAGATAATGATCAACCATGAAATTTTGGGGGAGTCCCCATCAGTACCATCATTTTCAGACAGATCCACATATCATACCGTCGGTCACATATCTCCACTATATCCCCATAACAACCATCAAATGGGTCGGTTTTCTGAACCATTTCAGGGCAACATGTTTACCTCATCCGCCTCAATATTCAATACACCAAAGGGGATCAATCCAAGACTTTAAACATTCCTAAACCGAGGTTTCTAGATATTGTTAATATGAAGAGGATAGGATTCCCACCATTTTTCCAAAGTTTTCCTATGGTTTCTGGATATTGGCCCAAGGTGCTGGCTCTCCGATGCCAGGTGGGGGAGCCGGACGCGTTCCCTCCCCGTTGTTCGCCATGGCCGCGGTGGTTCCGCGGCGGCTAACGCTGGAGCCGTAGCGGTCACGGGTAACGGTAAACAGCCACATAAACTATGGAAAGATCCACCATTGTTAATGGGTAAATTCAGTATTTCCATGGCCATGTTCAATAGTTATGTGAAATTACCAAAGGGTAGCTAAGAACAAGGAGTCAATGGTCGGCACCTTTCCCACGTGTCTGTTTTCGTGCGTACAGCAAAAAAGCCAAGCCTTCAACATGACACCGTCAGGGTAGTCCTGTTTGAGCTCGTACGGGAAATAGCCTTGGTGCCGATGGATCAACATATTGACAGATGGCCCCCTCAAACCAGCCATAAATGGGGATATACTATGATACTGGGGAGATCATTGGGAAATATCACCAAGAATGTATAGTTTCATATATGGCTGTGTCTGAAATATTTAAGGGAAATTACAACGAATTCCCAAAGAAATTGCCATGTGAGTACAGTAGAGAATCAAATGGACATTTTGGCTGTCAAGACCATCCTGAAAAAGTTCCGTAGGGCCGCAACCAATGGTTTCTAGCAAATGGAAATGTGAAAAAAGGTTTGAAACCACTTGATGCCAGCAGTCAGATGTTTTTTGGTTGAAATCATGGTGCTGACAAAGCCCAGAGCAAGAAGTTGCCAACACTTCCCCTCAAAAAACGACCCACATGTAGGAATCGAGACGCAATACGCGGATATTACCTGAGCATCTGCAAACAATCATCCATATTATCATATTGGCGAATGCTCGTGGTTCCCGCTTTACGATTCTGATTTCGTTCACTCTTCTCACTACGGATGTCATATGCCATACAAAAGTTTCCTACCCGCTGTTTACAGGTTTATCTGAAAATAGAGTACTGTACCCAAAAATCCCATTGTCTACTTGTTGTTTATCATCACTAAAAAATGCTATCCCTTGGACATAAATCCACATCTGCACCCTGGGGTCCCTACCATCCATGATATCTTGGATGAGTTGCTGTGCAGCTCTGGAATGGTAGAACCTCAATCTCAATTGGTCCAGCATCACTGCATGTTCAATGTGTATTTGTACACACACATTAACCCACATATACACACATACCATACCATGCCATACCATACCATTACATTGCATTGCATTACATGACTTGACATTACATTACATATGTACCTATTCGTGTGTGTCTATATATATATATATATATAGATATTTATAGAGAGAGGGAGGGAGATACATACACCTTGCAGAATTTAAATGGAAAGATTGCTTGGTCACACACAGATTATTTACACATGAATCCAGCGGCGACTGGCATCTGTCACTGCCAACTGCCAAAAATATGAAATTTGGGGGCAACAAAACCTTCATGTGACAAAAACTTATTTAAACTAACCCCAAACTCAAAAACATGTATGTATATATATATGTATATATATATACTACTCTTATATATCTATACATAGATGCATGTTTATACGAATGTGGCGTCAAAGTATTTCTTTGTTTTCCAGGCAGCCCCTGAGATCCCCACTGAAAGGAGCAAGGACCAAGTTTCACACCGTCCTGACGAAGCACGAGCTTTCGTCATGGGGGTACCCCAATAGCTGGATGGGTAAAAATTGGAAATTCCTATTGTCAATGAATGATGGTCCGGGCTACCCCCCCATGACTATGGAAACCTCCATATGAGAAAATATTCCATATTAATGGTACTTGGTCAACACATGTACGCTGGTTGGAGTTGACAACTGGTGGGTGCTTATATGAATGGGAATTCGACTCATCATCAATCTTAACCATGAATATAATGGAGAATTATTGCAGACAAAAACAATGCATGGAACAATGTTGGGTTTCACCATGGATATAAAACCAACCAGAAATGGAACATTTAATGGAGGTAGAATGAGATTGTTTTTATCATATTTATATGTTTGGGAGAACATGTTAATTATTAATACATAATATTAATGGTATCATGGGATAACACTTTAAATGTTTGGGTGTTTTTTTTTTTAAATGGGAGTCATGAATTTTTAAGGGATAGCCATGAGGATTGCGGGATGATCATCCCAAAAAGCTGCAACCAGAAACCAGCCGAAAGCTGCAAGCATTTTGGATCAACTCCCAGTTGGAAGCATGGTATTTGAAAATGGGATGGTCAATCTTTCAAAAAAAAATGACCCAAACTTCCAAGTCCCCCCCACAATTCGCCTGAAAGAAGGTCAATGGCAGAATCTCCTCTGCTACTAACCTTGCCTTGGTTACAAACTTCAGCAAAACCCTGCAGATCTCTGGATTTTCTTGGGGGAAAGAATGTAATGTGATAAACATAATGTTAATAATGTTAGAAAAGCAATCATAAACTAGCCATGCTTTGATGGTTTATGTTTATAGCACCCATCAAAATGGCAAGTCATTTTGGATGCGCTTCTGGGACCAAGAACACAAATTATTTGAAAATCCCGTCGTGCTCTCCATAGAAAAAATATCTTCAAGGCCCACAATTTATACCACAAAAAAAAAAAAAACATGGAAATCATCTTCAACATACAGAATCATTGGATTTTCCTCACGGATTTTTGGATTTTTCTTCCCATGGTTTTCCCCATTTCTTGGATCAGACCGGCCGAGAGGCATAGATCGCGCCACCATTTTTCCCACCGGATCTCTGTACACGTGCACCAGAGACCGGGCCATTTAGCTCTGCCACGCGCTTGGACATGACCTGCTGCAGGATTTAAATGGTAATTTATGATGATTTAATGGGATGTAACGGGATTTACCCTCTGGTTATGTCAAAATAGCTATTGAACATGACCATAGAAATAGTGGATTTACCCATTAAAAATGTTGATTTTCCATAGTTATGTTAGTTTACCAGAGGGTATATCACTCCATTTGCAACTGGTTGGTGGTTTTAACCATCTTGAAAAATATGAAAGTCAATGGGAAGGATTATCCCATATATTATGGAAAATAAAAAATGTTTGAAACCACCAACCAGATAATGTCAACTGGATGTTAATCCTGATTAACTGGATGATAGTATTAATATCGCAATTTAATGGATTAACAAAACATGATATTATATTAATCAGATTTTTTACAACCGGAATATTAATATGTTAATAATATATGTTAATATAACTTTGTCAACCTATGGTTACTAATTATGATTACCAACATATTTAGATGATATTAACAATCAACGGTAATCAGATCCCCATATTCATAATATATGTCATATTAATATGTGTATATATATATACATAAATGGTTGATGTTGGATAATGTGGGAAACCCAATACCATAAACCTACCATTTGGGGATGGTTATAGCACCCACAAAAATGGAGATTTGGGCAATGGTTTATTATTGGTTTTTCCACATTGTATACGAAAATTGCATGCATGAAAAATGTTTGTTTGTTTCTTCATGCATGTTATAACTCAATATTCTAACATTCATGTATATATATATACATACATATATATTCTACTATATCCAACCAAAGAAACTATGGAGTCAATTGTCAATATTTAATCCAGGTCACCCAATGGACAACGGTCAAGTTTTCTTAAGACTCGACGGTCATGTGGGCACCACCACGTGGCTGTTTGTACTTGCTGGTGGCAGTTTCCAGATGAAAGAACGTAACACTAGTTCGATCATGAGCTATCTACTATAAACATCCTTAACTTAGTCCAGAAGCCCCAAAAGGGCCCTATAGTTCTATCATAGTTAATCTGGTTGGTGGTAGTCAATGGGAAGGATTATCCATCCTTATCCCATGTATTATGGAGAACAAAAAATGTGTGAAACCACCAACCAGTAATTCATGTGATTATATGGGTGATGTTTATGTCGCCCAGCCTGGAGGTCCACCAGCTCTTCAGCCGATAGGGCGCTGTTGGGTCGACTGAGCTGCGCTGCCACGGTGTTTCCGCCGTCGTGGAACGCAGCGAGGGGCTCGTCTCCCACCCAGGTGAGGCCTCGCGAAAAAAGACATCATCATATACCAAATCTATACCATGACCAGATTCACTATATAGAAAATGATAGAAATAGACTCTCTATATCTATGTATATATATATATATGTATGTGTATATATATATAATGTGTATATATATAATGTATATATATAATGTATATATATAATGTATATATATAATGTATATATATATATAATGTATATATATATATAATGTATATATATATATACATATAATGTGTATATATATATATAATGTGTATATATATAAAGGTTCAGCTGGCTCTCTTTTGACGCATAGCAAGCCGATATTTGTCAAATAAATAAAAGAGAAGGGAAAGAAATGGATTTCACACCAGAACCCATTCTTTTCCATATAGCCAAATTTGGCCAAACGACTCCCCCAGAGTCACAAGCTCAAACCAAGAGCCATTCAGGATACCCATCCATCAGAGGCTTAAGCTAAGCTTTCTTCGCCAAACCGAAGAAGGCATAACTTCCTCATAGGACCTCCTAGGGCCTCGCCAAACCGAAGCTCTCCCAGGCCCCAGGTACTTTTATTACCCCCGAAAAAAAGGGGTTAAAACAGGAAAAACAACTCTCTCCATAGAAGAGCTGACCCTCCACGGGTGGGAGGGCCGGGTGCTGAGCCAAAAACTTCAGTCAAAGACAACACCTGCTTCACCTTTACACCTGAGGACAGGCAACCAAAGGTTCAGCTGGCTCTCTTTTGACGCATAGCAAGCCGATATTTGTCAAATAAATAAAAGAGAAGGGAAAGAAATGGATTTCACACCAGAACCCATTCTTTTCCATATAGCCAAATTTGGCCAAACGACTCCCCCAGAGTCACAAGCTCAAACCAAGAGCCATTCAGGATACCCATCCATCAGAGGCTTAAGCTAAGCTTTCTTCGCCAAACCGAAGAAGGCATAACTTCCTCATAGGACCTCCTAGGGCCTCGCCAAACCGAAGCTCTCCCAGGCCCCAGGTACTTTTATTACCCCCGAAAAAAAGGGGTTAAAACAGGAAAAACAACTCTCTCCACGTCCCCCTGCCCTGCTGAAAGCTGCTCAAGTTTTTGGAATTAGCGGACAGCATTGCGGTAAGCGTTCACTAAGGGGTTTAGAGACGAAACAGGGACTTTAAGCTCAGCTAAAATAGCGAGTCCCTCATTGATATAAATTTTGGCCGTTTTTTGGGCGGCCCAGCGGCCTTGGACCATGAGTTTGTCAATGGATCCGTGCCGACGAAACCAGTGTGTTGCCCCTCCGCGGCGCAGACTATAAGGCCTGAACCCAAAGGATTCCAGTTTAAGAGCCTTCAGCGTACTGGCAAATTTAGACCGCCACTTACGTGGGGCAGGACACAGTGGGGTATTCGGAGGGCATCTAGATTTCCACTTACGCAGGAGTTTAAGGACATCCAAAACTCCCAAAGTAGAGCTCTCCAGGGCTCCTTGGCGTTGGCCACCCTTAGTCAGTCCCAGAGAAATAACCCCCACCTGCGTAGGGGAGTTCAAAGAGATATGGTTTGAGGCAATACCAAGGAGCTCACCTGTGCGTAACATGGAGTAGAATCCAATGAGGACACTCAAGGCGAAAGCCACGTCATTACTCAACAAGGCGTGGCCGGCCATAGCATGGACCACTCTTTCGGGGATTGGTGGTGCCCGGTTCGGAATTTCGTTTAACGACCATGTCTTAAGAAGACGCCAGGAGGCAGGTAGGCTCCCACGTAGTTTGGGATCTTTGTCTTGGAGTCCGGCCACCGTGTCGTTTGCCTTTGACCTCCCCTCGCCAGACGCCCATAAGAACTCAATGTATTCTGACACAAGGGGGTCTAAATCCTGCCTTTTGTGAGGTAAAGGGATTTGGTTACGGCTGAGAAAGGAGTAAAACCCTTTGCGGGCCAGCTCATACCTGTCTTTGGTACGGGCCTGTACAGTCAAAGCTTTAAGAGGACCCAACGTTTTGCGAACAGCGATACGCTTCTCCCTGGTGCGCCCTTCAACGTGCCTTTTGGCTACTTTACCCATCGTTTACGGACCTTCCGGCGGCTTGGACGATCCGCCGGATTTTCCTTCGTACCCACAAAGGCCCATACTGGATGAAGGTTGCACGCTAGGAGAAGGCTGTTCAATTTATTGAGGGTCCGTCTCATTTTTCTGCTACTGCTGCGGCCCCTGCTAAGGGCGTGTAGGCAAACGAGCGAGTCGGTCAGATGTACCAGTCGGCAGGAAGAGGCCTGTGCCTGTGAAACCCACCACCTAATGGTGGTATAAATGGCACGAAGTTCAAGAACATTGATGTGCTCCGCAGAACCCGTCCAAGTCCACCCCGCGATGGTCTTCCATTGCCATAATTTGGCCGGTACGCTCGCTCTGAGCCTTTGAAATTTGACCTGAGGTTCGCTAGCCGCTTGCAAAAGCAAGTCCTCACCTTTCATAGATACCAGCCCCGCGAGTTTCTTAACCAACCGATCTCCTTGTGCAGCAGGTACCACAAGCTCCCTACGAAGTGGGGGCCGCGACAGGAGACGCTGCAAATCCCCAGCACCTCCCGGCCGGCAAGCGAGGACGATTTGCTGCGGGGTGAAGCGCGAGGACAGACCGAGCGGTGCGGTTAAGCAGCCGATAAGCCAAGCAACAACCTGTACGCACCAAGCGTTGCCTACCAATGATAGCCGCTCATCATTGTAGTCGACGCCTGACCGCTCGCTCTTAGGCCTGCAGTGCTGGGTATAGCCCAAAGGCATCCCCATAATAACCTCCCGCTCGGCCAAAGAGGCAATGCGGAGTTCACCAGACCTGTTGACGAGGCAGTTTTGGTCCCTGTATTGGTACGGAGGAAACCGATGGTGATCCGAGACCCAACGGGCTTTTTCATGCGCCTGGCACTGATGGATCCCTGCCGGCCGCCGGCCTGGAGCGGAAGCCGGTCGTGAGATAGTGAAGGTGGGAAGACGCTGCTCAACTTGCTGCAGCCTCCAGCCCGGCTCCAGGTAATCTGCAGGCTCCACCAGGGCGGCCAAGGAGACCAGGTGATGGTCTCCCCACGTGGCAAGAGGGTTGAGGGTCACCACGGCCCCCTCCATCTCGATTAACTCCCAGTCACACCAGTATAATCGCGGCCGATGGGCCAGGCAGACCCCTGCGGCATCCACCTTGTAGGGTATGCAATTCCCCGCCTGACTCATCACCGCTTTATCTTCCTGGCCCATAGAGGCGACCGACTCCATGAGGCAGCGTACTTGCGCCCATGGAAATGCTTGTTGCAATAAGCCTTTGATGCGCGGGACGTGCTGGAAAAGGCAGCTCCTCTCATCCTTGAGCGCCCCTCTCTTGTCGGCGTTGAGGCCAGACACTCCCTGGCAAGGAGGTCCCGCCCCCAAGAGGACAAGCCCTACCTGGCTGAACTTGCACGACCAAGCTGCGACCATGTCCTTGTCGACGAGCACCACGTCCTCCACGAATATGGCTTCCGCAAAGGCGGATTCCACACTCTTCGGCCTTCACGGGATTTTTCTACGCTGATGTGGCCCGCCATCGGGAGGCCCAGGACGTCGCACGCCATCCGCAGACATCCCACACCATCGAATAACCCCACCGATAGCACCTGAATGAGGTCATGGGCCTCAGGCAAATCGCCCCTGACTGTGGCGTTCGCGGCCGCTGCCCCATACGCCGTTAACCCTTTAGAGACGCAGGCCCCGCCTCCCGTGGTCGAGGCGTCGCTAGCTGTCACCCGGTCCATGCATCCCAGCCGGAAGTCCATCCGGGCCAGAGGGACCAGGGCGCAAAACCTAGCTAGCTCTAGCCGTACGGAGGTAGGCAACGGCAGCCTGACAACAGGAGGTTCGCGCCCAAAGCTATCAATGAACCTCCAAACAGCATTAAGGGCAGACAGCAAAGGTCGCCTGAACAGGCTGAAGTAAACAAAGCCGCCACACACCACCTGTAATTCTCGCTGGGTGGACGCCCCCCGCCTCAGGAGCTCCAGAGCCAGGCCAACATAGAGGCCCACCTTCTGCGGTTTTGGGTATGCAATCCCTAGCGCACCGTCCAGTATAGCCCCTTGCACCTCCGCCTTGGTCTGTTGGCACACCGCTTTTTTGGGGTGGCGAGGAAGGCTGGTCTCCGCATAGGCCTGACGGGCAATCAAGGTCATCAGCTCCGGAGTGCCTTCAACCCGCTGCGCGGTGTCAGGGTCCACCTTTTTGATAACATCGAAGTTGTCTAAATAAACCCTGTACACATCCGCCCCCTGGGGAGCGGGGCGGTCTTTTCTCATCTCCCCCTCCCCACCGATAGGAGGGGTCGAAGAGGCCAGGGCGTTTCTGAGGACACCCCGATGTACCAACTGAGCGATTCCAACACTGTTGCGAAACCCCATTGGGAGAACCTTGGAGTGCAAGACGCAGGGCTTGCCCTTCCACTGAGGGGGTACAAGCTCAGGTGGGATCAGCTTGTTGAAACCTAAAAATGGAAACCACGAGGACGGAAGACCAAACAAATAGAAAAAACATCTAATGTCTTCCGAGGATATTAGGGCGACCTCCCCATCCTCCAAAATAAAGGGGGACAGCCCTGCAATCCCTGGGAGAGTGGCGATGTCAGAATCCACCGGTTTGCAATTTTCGTTTAAAGGAGTGTAGTTCATGATCAATCGTTGGGTTTCCACAAGGTCAACATATTCACCCTTTCCAATACCAAAAAGGCCTCCCAGCAGAGGCCGACCATGAATGTGATGAACCTGTTCCAGGGGGAGAATACCACAGACACGACGTTCAATGAGACCCTGGCAAAGAGACATCCAGTCAGCCTCACGTACCATGACAGTAGGCAACCTCCCCAAAAACTGTTTTTCAGGAGGTACCAGAAACTCAGAGAAATTTTCGATGTAATATTTCGTCCCTAAACTGCAAAAATCCATAAGTGAAACCCCTCCTACTTCCGGAGGCAATGCCGGAGCAATCGAAAGCCAGCTGATCCGTTGAGCGATCTTAACTTCTTCCCCCCTATAGTCGATACCTTTTGCCCGAAAAAAGATATCAAAATTGATGGGGGGAAAAACCTCAACCCAGTCACCCATAGAATCCACGCAGGACACTATGAACTCCAGGGCCCGACCACAAGCGGCACTCAACTTTTGTTTTGGCCTCGACGCGCGCTCGCCGTAGAGGAAGTTGAGGGCGCGGCAGGTAGCCACAACCATCCTAGGGTGTGAGGACCTCTCGATGATCTCCGAAGACAACGGTAGAGGAAAAATAGAGCCATTTCCTGTACCAGAGGACTGTGGCCTGCTATGCAAGAACACATCATTTTCAAAGTCATCCAAGATCTTATTCAAGAGGCCCCCCATGGCCACTAATTTCTCTCCTGTGAGAGCGCCGCATTCCTCGTCTAAAAAATGCGTAGTGCATGTGTGCGCACCGGTCGGGGAGTACTCCTGGGACGGCCCAGCCTTCCCCCCTTCGACCGGATCCAAAAACCCGGTGAAACTAAGTCGATGTCTCTCCTGCTGATCTACTGCTCCAACTGCTGCCTTCTGCGACTCCACTCCCAGCCCAGGAGTGGAGCCCTCCTGCCTTGCGTTTTCCTGCCTGCCAAGAGTCTCACTTCCCCTCATATCACTTGCCTCCTCCTCACTGCCAAGGGGAGGGGAGACTCTCACTGCCATCCTCACTTCGCCCGGTTTTTGTCCCTCTCTTGCTCGCCTTCTTTTCCTTTTGGAAATGGTTTGCCCTCGCCCTTCTGCCTCCAATCCTTGCCTTTTCCTTGCCCTTTGTTGCTTTTCCCTTTGTAAGCATCCGGTCTCCAGTCCTCTCCTCTGTCTACTGCAGCTGTAGCTCCGTAAGGCCTGCCGGCCTGGTTCTTCACTCTTCCCGCTTTTATTGCCTCTCTCGCGGCCTGTTCTGTCTCCTGCTGGGAGGCTACCGACCCTTGCTCCTCTGGCACCAGCTCGTACTGAGCAGTGACGCTCCAGTGCTTCCCCGACGCCTGCCCTTCCAGGGCCTTGAGGCGCTGGCTCAGCACATCGAGGAGTTGCGGGATTCGGCCCATCAACCCCAAATCCAAACAGTAGCTGACATGAATGGCTTCCCGCCGCATCGCAGGTTGCATCCTTTGTTGGAGGTGCCCCCTGAAATACTGCAGGAACAACGGTGGAAGCTCCCGCCGGTCCAGCTCCCAGATCTGACCTTGTGTTGTCAGGAGCTGCTCTTGCACTGCCGCCAAAGAGGTGGCAGTGAGCACGCCGGGGCACCGGGTGCTCACCCGTTTTGCCATGCGCCGCTGCCCAAAGATGTCGGCCGCCTCCATCTCCCCGGTTGAACTGCTGGTGCGGGAAGTTCCTGACTGGGTCCCACTGCTGCTCGAGCTGGATTCCTTCTTTTTCTTCCGGCGCTTCACGATTCTTTTTGCCTTTTTCATCATCTTTTTCCGGCGCTTGGGGTTGGGATCTAAGCCACTTTGCCCCAGGACCACTGCCAGGTCCCGGTCTGCCTTCCTCCCAGTGATAGGGGAGGAGGAGCGCGCCCGTTTTTTCTCTTGCTTCTTTTCCTTCTCCTTTTGAGTGTCCTTCTTCTCCTTCTTCTTGCTTTTCACCTTTGGTTCTCCTCCCGAAGCTTGTGCCTCCCGTCTCAAAGATACCAACTCGTCTGCGTCCTCCCTCTCTACCGCCAAGAGGTTGTTCATCCAAGGCTCCTTTTCCTCCTCCCTCCATTTCTTGACCTTCACCATGTGGAAAAAATCGTCGCCTGTCGTCTCTTGAGTGCAGTCGGTTCGACAAAGATGAGCCCGCAATCTTCGGTTTGGGATCCCGGTTGCATACCTGAGAAGGTGTTCGCTCTTGGTGCCCTCGATCTGGAAGTCGAGCCACAGCTCGCCGTTCTCGGCTTGCAGACCTTTGCAAAGTCCCAGACATTGGGTGGCCTCTTTCCAGTAATGGGCTTCGGTCACCCATACCTTCCCGCAGGATAGGAGATCCCCAGGAGGCAAGGAAGCCACCCTTACCTCCCCAAAGCCCTTGAAAGCCTCGATCGGGTCGTCCACTGCCGCAGCCGGCCGTCGAAGGACTCCCCTCCCAGGAGCCCTTGGGGCCGCCCTCACCCGAGCAGCGGGCCGGTAACCGACCTTTGGGGGCATCTAGGTTTTAGCGCCTGCCCAGGCGCCTCTGCTCCTGTCGCTCCCGATGCTTTTTTCCTTTGTTCTTTTTCTTCTTCTTGGGATTCTGAGGCTTGATTTTGGGGGCCAAACCACCTGGATGCCCTGTAGTGTCCCGCTCTCGACGGTGAGCAGGGATAACCCCGGACCAGCGCCCAGAAGAGGCAGGCAACGAAGGGCCTCTCGCAGGGGGCGGTCCAGTTGGCGAACGAGGTCGCACGGGAGACTCCAGATGTCTCCTTCGGGGCAAAGGGCTCTTACTCCTGCTCACGCTGCGGTCCCGTTCCTTTGGGGACTCAGACTCACTCCACTCCTCGTCGTAGTACTCCTCCCGCTTGACTTCGACAAGAGGGGGTCTTTCCTCCTCTCGGGCCTCCTCCTTCACTACAGGAGGTGGACGATGTCCAGGATGCAGCTCTTCCTTAGGGCGTGACTTCTTTTCTTTCTTTGACTCTGTCTTGTCCTTCTTCTTTTTCTCCTTGGCAGGCTTCTTGTCCTTGGCAGTCTTTTCCTTTCTTGCAGCAGGAGATCGGGAGCGACCCTTGTCTCCCTCGGAAGATCTAGGAGGAATCAAGACCTCCCCTTTTGGTGCGTTGGGCTGTAGTGGAGCAGGAGGAGCAGGATTGAAGAAGTAGTATGCGTCCGCCTCCTGCAGGAGGTGAACGTAGCTGTCGCGCAGGCTCCTGACGGCAGTAGCCTGCAACCCCTCTGGAAACCTGGAACCACGAACCAGGGTCGAGAGGCGAAAAAATTCGGCGCAAACAGGACAGCGAGTCTCTCCCGCCTGGGAGAGACGGAATTTACCACTGCACTCCCCACAAGGAGGCGTGGTCATCTGCTGAGCCAAAAACTTCAGTCAAAGACAACACCTGCTTCACCTTTACAATTGAGGACAGGCAACCATATATATATATAATGTGGTATGTATATATGTATAATGAAAATATGGTTGTGCGGATTTTAGAATGAACATATGGGGCTGAACCAACCAGGTAGAGATCCAAATATGGGGTCTAAGAAACCAGAAAGTGGGGCCAGGATGGGTGACGCCATGATGATCCATGATGTATGTGAATCCCATCCTCTCTGTGCAGGCTCAGTCGCCATAGTCGCGCAAGAACTTTGTCATTGCTTGAACTTGCTCTTTGTATTCGTCCCGTTCCTCACGGAACCAACAAAGATAACAAAGCTGCTGGCATCGTCACCCATGTGGAAACAATGGAGCGAAACTCCGGCTGACTTGATACATCACCATCTACCAACCAACACACTCAACCAGTTGCTACTTTCCATACAAATCCATTGCAACTGTCAGGGGAACTTCCCACGTTGCAGCGGAGCTTCGATTCGCAACATGTGCACTTCCTGTTCGACATCTTCCTGTGCCTCCTGATACAGCTTTCGGTGTCTACTGCGCAGTGAAACTGGAATATCTGGAATCATGAAGTTTCAGTTCCATGATTCCTCTTTCTGCTTGTGCTCTGATATCAGCAAAATCTGCTCTAATTGCGCCAAAAGCAAACTCATCACATGAATGTGACCAATTTATTGGCGGAGCCTCCAACATCCTTTTCAAAACTCTGAGAACCGAGCTTCAAAAATGTGTTTCAAACACTGAACAAACAGCATCCCCCCATCCCACTGGAGCACCTCGGCCACTTCAGCTACTTCAGCCTCAGCCACATCCAGGGCACGCCGCAGCAAGGCGTTCTCCGCCTGCTCCTGGGCACCGTTTGGGGCCCCCACATTGGGGCCCGACAAAACTGGGGAAAATCCTGAGCACCAGTTTTGCCATGTTTTGGAACATGATTTGGGTAAAAATCCAGGAAGAAACCAGGTGAAACCAGTGGAAGAGCTGGAACATGTTGCCCATATTGAAGGTGGTTGGTTGAACCATGAGACTCCTGCAAGATTTGTGCTGGTCCACTGGGATCAAATGATGCCACGTCCAAGTAAGATGGAAAATGAAGGCACATTGAAATCATCATGTATGTAAGAAATCATGGGATAGAAAATATCTTTGAAGATTGGCAACAAACCAAACGTGTTGCGAGTTGATTTCTGTTCCAGGAAGAAAAAGTCTTAGAGGTCGATACTGATGCCGTTAGAAATGCACCCTCCACTCTGGGGGCATCTGGCACAAACCAGTGGTTCAATCTGCTGGGAGCAACCTCAATCCCTTTCCAGCCAGTCAACGCCCAGTGTCCGCGCTCAACTCTTGTGAGAGTTTGGTAATCTTTGCAGCCTGCCATGGCGCATCAGGGAATCTGTAGCAGCGTAGCAAGTTGAAAGTTCAGCTGCGCTGTAAAGAGGACAGGAGCTGTTTGCAGCTATGTCTATGTCAGTTTTATCAGATCTTTCTTCAGGACGTAGATGTTTATCCCCCCAGAAACATGCCGAGAATATATACCCTCTGACAATCAGATGTGGCAATGGACCAATGGAAAAATCCTCCGTTTGTCAATAATTTCCCTACAACGGAAAAGGACAAGTTCCATTGCCACGTTTTTTTCCTGCAGGATACTGTCCATGTCTTCCAATGTGGTGTCAAGATTCTACACTTGTTGAAGGTGAGCCGGGGGGGATTGGTCCCAAAGAGCGTTTGAACCACTATAGATATGTTAAGTATTAAAATGAGTATTAAGTATAGATGCTTTCCAAAACATGATGGCCAACGACTAAAACTCATCAAGTCCTGCAACTCCATGGCCCTACTAAAACGATAACCACCACTCATTTCTGAACAGTGGCTTCATGGCGGGGTGATGGCAAATACCCACTGCAAACATGGCAAATGATTTCTCTCCCTCCCTCTCTCTCTCTCTCTCTCTCTCTCTCTCCCTCTGTATACGTGTGTGTATAAATATATATGTATATATGTATATATATATATATTGTGTATACATAAATATATTAGGTCTCATATATATATATATATTGTATATTATATATATATTTGTGTATATGCATATATAGTATGTACACAAAAAAGAATGTGTATACATAGTACGTGTGTATAATATATATATATATATGTGGTATGTAAATAATGTATATAAACAGTATGTGTATATATGTATATGCATAGTATGTATATATATATACATATACACATAGTATGTATATATAATGTGTATGTAAACAGTATGTGTATATATAGTATGCATATATAGTATGTATATATATATATAGTATGTATATATATATAGTATGTATATATATATAGTACGTATGTGTATATATAAAGTATGTATATACATATACTATGTGTACGTGTTTATATATATATAGTATGGATCTATATCTATGTGGATCCCTGTTCCCACCTGATGCTGGTTCAACTTCTCCACATGTGCCAGTCTTGCTTGGAGGCTGGCGATTAAGTCCTGCCATTCCCGCTGCGATCTATCAAGTGTCTTGTTCAGGAATATGCAGGGGACATCTACGGGATCATGGGATATATAATAAACCTATTAATATGTATATATATAATATATATATAACCATATTGTTATCTTTATATTATCATTATATTATGTGTATTATATAATAATGATAATGATAATAATAATAATAATCATCATCATCATCACCATCATCATCATCATCATAGATAATAATGATCCAACAATTTTCATAATGACTCTGCTCTCCAAGCCAATGACTCCTCCCCCACAGCTCCTTCCCTGCTTCCGAGGGAGCGCCGGTGCCGGTGCCCGGGGTGCCGGGAGCCTGGCATCTGTGGGGATCCCTATGGATCCCTGGGGATATGATCCATAACTGGTGACTTATGGGATACCCCAAGCTTTAAAAAAAGAAACCCCAAGAAAAATATGGAAAAATGAGATGAAGAACCCCTGCCCCTAAATAACTTTGGTCTTATTCCTTTGATTCAGATACACCTAAATAGATCTAAATAGTTCACCAACAAGGGTTTAGGCCCCCTACCATACTCCGGACATACTACGAGTACGACCAACAATACTTCGCCATCTCAGCAACAGCTGCGCGTCGGATCTTGGCTCCGAGAAGCACAGGCGCTCTGCGCAATGGAGATCTTGGTCAATTGCTACCCTAGTCACAGAAAATAGACCTGGATAGACGTGGATCGAATCAAATTCAACAGCCATCTTTGGAAGCTGACAGCACCAACAGCACCATTCGGATGAATCTTCGGCTCCATCAAGCGATGGAATCAAAGTTCTCCACCTGCAGCCAGAGACGGAAGAAGAGCCGCGGGCTCTTTGGGTCGTCCTCAAAGTCCGTGCGCGCGTGGAGCCATCGATAGTTGTCCACCAGATATGCCTCACCGGCCCCCAGAGGCCAGTACTGCCTGAGCGTTGCCACTGGGTCCCATCAATTCCCATCATACTTGGATGAATCCTGAATCCAAGAGCCAAAAACAAAAAGAAGCACTTGAAAAGAACCAGAAGGAAAAACATGCAAAAGCCCAGATGTCCTTTCTCACCATCACCCTTGCCTTCTCATATCTATTCAACTGCAAGCTGTCCAAGTCACACAACCGCAGGATCGCTGCAAACAGCTTCCAATCCACTGAGTTTCAGTGTCACCTTTTCCAATTCAGCTGGATCATCATAGGCAGCAGAGATGGTTTCAACCATGTTCTTGGCCTCAAAGCAACAGCTGACTAAGTGGTGACGATTTTTTTCATAATGATTCAAGTGATTCATCATGGTTTTCATAGTGGTTAATCAATGTTAATCATGATTCATAATGGTGAACTATAGTGGATAATAGTGGTGATTAAGTGCCGACCTGAACCTGACCTGATCTATATATATATTGATTTATCTGATTTGTTTGCAGGGTCATTTCGGGGTTAGGATTGCAACAGCTATGTCTCACCCTCAGGGAAAAGAAACAATAGTACCACTTGTAGACACAAATGAAACAGAAACTACAATTTTCTGAATGAGTTCCAAGTCACATATTGCACACAGGGCCTCCCTTTTCGATCCTGAAACACCATGGGTCGTTCGGTTCCCATCGCAGGTTGCCTCCAATCTGGATGATATTCAACCATGGCTGCGTTGTATTTGAAACCTTGCTGGGCAGCTTTCAGCCTCGGCTGAGATCGGTTTTTCATCATCCTCAATGACTCACCATGGATGGTAAAAATAATTCCCCTAACTGGGAGTTATTATTGTTATCATTGGGTTTAGATGGGTTTAGCACATTCCTGATTGCTTTTTGTTGGTTTTTGTCCTGCTTTATCATACCTCAACCATCCGATAACTGCTCATCAACATGACCTTGTCGTCCAAAGCTAGGCAACTCGTGGAAAAACTGTTGCAAAAAGATGGCTGTGCATCGCAGTGCGCCCAAGACCAAGACGCAACCAAAATCCAGCAGTTCAAAATATATGGCCCAGAATTTACCTGGGAAAAACATGAAAAAACATGAACAAGTTAACAAGTTGGACCCCTCCCACCCCTTTTCCCAATTACATCTGCTAGCATCGGCTGAGTGACACCTCCGGCTGCCCTCTAAGCTGCTCATGGATGGCAACCGCACTGGCCATCTTGCTGATGCCACCCTTCGCTGAGGGACGGTAGCAGAACATGGCCAGAATGTCGCAGATCCCTTCACCACGCGCAGCTGGGATGGAAGAATCATTGTGCAAGAACTGATCCTGCCAAAGCCCGAAGTTCAATGGCAGTACTATCTATGGATGACATATCCATCAACCCATTCATCAAAGTTTCTATCCAATGATGTATGTATATATATATATGCAAATGCACACACTGCACATACATCTGGAAAGATTCAATTACCCTACAATTACCATCCTATACCATCCGTGATCCACGCACAGTTCTTCAACGTTCATGTGTTTTTTTGCTAGATCATGCTAGATCCATTTGAAGTGTGAGCATAAATGGATTAGCGGAGAAACCATGGCAGGAGTAGTGGGAACATCACCCAGCGGTTCAACGAAACCACCGGACTCATGTTCCCGTAATTGAAATTGGGTTTTTTCTGCCCCCTTAATATAAAAGCCCCAGTGACTAGAGCCACAGCGATATGGGCTACAAGCTACAGTATAGGAAACTAACTATGTTTGTTGGCCACATGGCTTTGACTGAAAATCATGGGCAACCCCCATTCCATCCACTGTCCTATTTTTCTCATGGTCCGAATGAAGTGGCCATATTTTACAGGTATATCCCATTTTCACACATACCCAAATATCACAGATATAATGTAAATATGATAATATCCCATTGTACCCCCGTTTGAATAGGGAAATATAAGGAAAATCATGATGAACCAATGGATTCAGAGCTAGCCTATCTTCACCCAGAAAAGTTGTTCCATGTCCTTGGCATTTCTATAGCCCCGGCGCAGGGTATGCTTCGCGGCCAGGACTTCCGGTGTCTTGGCCGTCTCGACTCGCGCAGAAATCTCCTGGAAGTCTTTGGAAGGTGCCCCTCCCCAGTTCGTTAGCTGACTTGGTGAACATTACTCTGGTAAATTCTATTATATCGTTGATGGTAGGTATATCTAGGTGAATTCTATGGGTTTATGGTAGGTATCTATATATATATGGTTTAACTATGATTCAACTATGGCGTGACTATGGTGGTTTATGGTAGATATATCTATATCTAATTATACATCTATACATCTATATCTATATATATACTGTATATAGTGAGTGGATGCTGGTGTTTGTAAACCAACCTGCAACTGGGGTCACCAACTTGTAGGGCAGACGGTCAGCAAATGTTCCACAGATGGAAATATTCAGGGCAATATTAATGGATATGAATGGCATATGGGATATGAATCTATATATATATATATAATATATATTATGACTGGGATATGGATCGAAGTGGCCCAAATTGCTTGAAAGCCCAAACTGATGTTAGTCCTTCGATGCAAGCGCAACGCGTGTGTTCAATCGCTCTCGGAATCCCAACTGTTGGATTGGGAGATGGCGCTACGAGCATGTTAGAGTTCTATACATTGTTAGCAACCATTCCAAGATAATCCAAGATGTATATCCTGACTTCATTAACCATTGGACCATGGTTTTTTCCAACCGAAGTACATGACAACTGAAATTAATGTAAACCATTCCATGTTACAAGCTGTATATCTTGATAGGAAGCATCCCAGTCGAATATCCCAATGCTTAATCCCAAGCTTTGGAGCCCAAATTGAATCCACCCAATCCAGCGAATCCACCCTTCCTGCAGGTCCGTTGATTGTATAACAGGGCGACCCAATTGAGCACCTGCTGCTTGGTGGTGGACTAGTTGAGGCCAGTAATGTGGTCCCGAGATTGTAAACCTTAGATGTTTCTACCCCCAAAAAAAGATGCAGAAAAGTGAACATGGATGAAAATGCTGAGATTACCATGTTTGGGGGTAGAAACATCCAAGGTTATACATCCAGATAATTACCCATGGTGAGATTACTAAAGTGTATCTTTTTGGGGTTAGTATACAACCACACCTAATGATCCCCATCCCCTAAATAACTACCATGGCTTTTGGGAGGTATTTGTTACTATCTCAGAAAGGATTTTTATCCGCTTAGAGGCTTTACAAACCTTTTCTAAACATTCGGTATTGACATTACCTATTGCACAACATCACTGCGTCCTCTCAGCTTTGGGTCAACAGTTGGTCTCCCCAATTTACAACCACTGTGACCACCAACAGCATCCAACAGCAGAGCTACAGCCCTCTGCACCGTTCCTTCGGGGAAACCACTAGAGTCACTAGAATTGGTAAACCCAATGATAAACTAATATAGCTATTGAAAATGGTGATTTATAGTGGAATTTCCCATTAAAAATTGTGATTTTCCATAGCTATGTTAGTTTACCAGAGGGTAAACCCAATGATAAACCTCCAATTGGGTGATGGTTCATATACAATCGATAAAAATGCCGGTCACATCCCATCACCAAGCCACACAGCCCAAGGAAGGCGCGTTCACAGACGTCTTCACCCACGTTCTCCAGCCAGCCGGGAGGGAAACGAAGCAGGACTGCGCCACTGCCCTGTTGCAGTTCCTGGAAAATGTTCTTCAAACCTGGGGGAATGGGAGGCGAGTCTGGAAAAATGGCTGATGATTGGTGATGAATTCTTAAATTTGTCTGGTTTGAAGAACTGGTAAAACTAGTACCATCCAGTTGAACTGGAGGCACAAAGCATGGAATGGAGAACTGAAAAAGGTCCACTTCCATATGGATTGCTTTTTCTACCCCTCATGAAGATAGCAGGGAATGCCCAGTTTTGGGGAGAAGTTTCAATTGGTCAATGAGCTATGTATAGATGGGCGGCGTTTTGGATAGCTTTGTCAAAATACCGGAGGGTACACTATCTGAACCTGCAGAACTGGTTTCTTTCGCCAGGGACGCTCTTTTACTCTCGAGGAGATCTTGGGAAAGCCATTCCGTGCCAGTTCTTTCAGTGACTGGTCTTTGGAGCTTTCCAGGCTATCCTTGATATCATCCACCACATCTGCGAAATCCTCAGTCGTGGCAAAAAAGAGCCGGAGACTTCGGGCAGTCAGTGGTTCAAGAACCGAAATAAATGACAAGAATCTATGGGATTCATATGGATTCATGGTTGCTACTAATACTACTAGAAAGCAAAGAAAACTCAGCAAGTCACTGCAGATATCCTCAGAAAATGTGGCACCTCAGATAGCCTCACTCTCCAAATTCAAGGCACCCAACCTGGTTTTCTCACGTTGGTGGCTTGCTGGAAAATACCCCATGTTCATAGATGATGTTCCCAGCTATAAACATCTATAAAACCACCATAAAAACCACCAAAACCACCATAAAAGGCCAGGTTCCCAGCATTTCACGTCATCCTTGGACTTGGGCGCATCCATCAGCTTTTCATGAGGGCTGGTGCAAACACAGGTATCCATATGATGCCATATGCATTATACAGTTCTACATACTGATGATCGATGTGTGAACATATACATTTATAGCTGATATCCACTCAAGACCGATCTTGTTTCGGTTCAAGGAACTTGTTAAGTTAGTTTAAATTGGAGTGCCTGTCTATACGCATGCTACATATGTGATGACTTGTTTTTTTTTGATCTTGTCAGTTCCACCGTCCAAATCCGGGAACCAGAGGAGCTTCGTCAACTGATACCAGGAAAAGCAATGATGATCAGCCCATGGCCGTTTTTTAAAGTGAATAATGGTGAATATGAAATTCTGGTTGGTGGTTTCAACCCCTCTGAAAAATATGAAAGTCAGTTGGGATGATGACATTCCCAATATATGGAAAATATATAAAATGTTCCAAACCACCAACCAGAATATGTCCCTTTTATGAGAAATTCAAAGGACTGACTGACCTACCAAGCAAGGTTTTCCTATAAACGATCGTCGAGCACTGTGGCCAAATGATCGCTCTGTTTGAGGTCCTGCTTCAATGTTCAACCGCAATAACGAACCAATCATTCAAAGTTTGCTAATGAAAGAATGTTTAACAAGCGTGAAACCATCCACTTGTTGGTCTCCCATGTTCCAGTGAGTATTGTCCTCATTTTAGAATGTGTATATCATTTTATCCCATACCCCAGCAGCATTTTACCAAAAGATACCATGGTTGCTGGGGATAAAGCCGGTTCCAATCCATGCAGGCACCTTTGTAGGCCACACAACATGCTGCGGAAAAGACCTGCAGGATGCGGTGCCAAACGACACCAACCTTGGAAAGGACCTGGGGGAAGTATAGCTGCGTAAGCTCGTGATTTGATTATAGTAGACTTAGTAAACTTCTATGTTTACTTGGAAAGATTGAGTTCGGTATAAACATGTATAAAGCATTGGCAATCTATATATTGATCCTGTTGCTATAGTTTCAAGGTATACAAGCAACCAAATCCTTTGGCACAAGAATGAGGTGTGGGGAAGTAGGGTCCAGTAGGGTGAAGGAGAACAACCGAAAACCTGCGGCAAATGTTGGTCCAAATTTAAGACCAAAGGATACCAAAGGCCATAGATGTTGGGTTTCAAGTTTTAACCCGTCCATGTTTGACCTTAAATATCTTGATCCAGTTTTTAATCCATATGTTTTAACCGTTGTTTAACCCATCTCATGGATTGCTTGTGAGTCGTACAACCAGCTGCCACCTCGGCAACAGGGGCCGAGCAGGACGGGATAATACAGCAGCAGGTGCTGTAGAACCTCGGTCCAGTGATCGCCATTGGATCTGTAGTGATTCCACAGCTGGTGGCTCTAAATAGAGCCACAGTCACGAACCATGGAATCATAAATAGTTTATATAATAAATAATACGATTTATAATACTTTCTAAAGCTGTATATAAATAGTCAGGCTTTTCATATTTATTCATATTTCATGCTGTTTGAATCTGTTTGACTTATTAGATTCACACATACCCCCCACGGCCCCACGTTGCTTGATATTCCCAGAAGACAAGAACATACTGTGGATGGAAGAGATCCTGCACCACCTTGGATGGTTGAAACCCTTTAAATAATGGGATAAACCATCTATCAACTGGTGCAGGATTTCTTCCATCCACAGTATTTCAGCCAAAGCTGCTCACTGCAGCGCCCGTTCCAGTGGTAAGAGTCGGCGGTGGAGTGACACCGCTGCGGTTGACACTCGGCCTTGAGAAGTCTAGAAAACCCTCGGACAAAGATGGAAGCCTTGCCTATGGCATGCTAAAACATTAAAACGTATATTGAATGTCAACGGTTTGTGCGACTGTGAGAGATGTCTCTTTTGGGAGTCTCCACAGGAGCACTGCAGATCCAGAAAGCCGTCAGTAATTTTGGACGGGATGATCAGCAGCAAAGTGGCAAAACGATCCATCGTAAGAAAGGCTGAAAGTTGGTAGGTTGGTATACTAAAAAATTAAAGTTCATAGTGCAATAGTACGTTTATCAATCGTGAGATAGTATTCCCGTACCGAAAATACGGTAACTACATCTAAATATACGGATTTTCAAATACACGAACTGGCATTTTAGACTACCTCCGGGAAGGTTTTCCTTGGCCCGCCCTTAAAATTTAAACATATGGAATCCAATTTATTAAAAATTATACGGATGGAACTGGTGTTGCATAATGTTGCATACTACCTCCGGGGTCTGGTGGTCTGGCCCATTTAAATGTCGTTACCGTATAAATATCTATATTTATACAAACCTGTATGATTAATATACTGGGATGTTGGCCACACAAAGAAGTAAAACATACCACCAGTGCCATGCACTTCTAGTATACTATTGCCATTCATTGTTGGCAGTTGTTTTAATTCTTCCTTGGGCGTGTCGGACCCTCACATTTACATGGAAAATGCCGATCAAACATTGCCATTATTCCCAGACAAAAGCCACTTAGGTTCTGAGAATATGGTACCTCTCAATCCATTCAATGGCCGAAGGTATACCGGTATATGGTATATCCCGTGTCCCGCTTGGACACCTTGGACGCTTGAAACGTCACCGTTGAAATGTAACCCTTCCTCACCTGGAAAAGCTTCGCTGACGCCGCTCCAGCATTTGCTGCACCTCAATTGACACATTCCAAAATTATAGTCGCGACTATAAAGACCAGTGGTGTTATATCATCACCTCATGAGATATAAAGAGTATCTACTCAAATTCATGCCAAAAGTTGTGTCGTTCAGTGCTGCTGATACAGTATATAACTATATATACGTATATATAACTCATGTATTCATGTTGATAAAATAGTGACTTATCTCATTTTGGATGGGGAAGTATGCAACCATTACCGCCAGTTGCTTGGAACTTCTGATGCCTCAGAACTGCAGCCACACATCCCGCTAAACTTGCCGTAAGCAAAGATGGCAATGTTGCTGAAAACAATGGTCAAACAATATATGGGATAATATGGGATAATATAGGATAATATAGGATAATATAGGATAATTTGGGATAATATGGGATAATATGGGATAATATGGGATAATATAAACCATCTGTTTTTTCAAGGTTTTCTTTTCCAATGGTCAAACAAAATCACCTACGGATGATTTAAAATGAAGGGGCCTGGGCCGCCACACTCGCGCGGCACTCAACTCAGCCAAGTTTTGGTCTCCTGGGAATTCTGGAGTTTCCATCGCCAAGTCGCTGTCAAAGCAACCCCATGCATAGATATAGATAAATTAGATATAGATTCTAATATTATAGATAGATATAGTATATCAGTATATCATAGTACATCTATAATTTATACATATGTAGATGTATGAAATATGTGCATACGTATGAGAATGGTTCAAAATGAACGTCCACCCCAATAAGCTTTTCATGCTTAATTCACAAAAAGGACATGCCATGACTGGATGATCTGGGGGTACCCCCAGCCGTTATGGGTTTCCTAATCACATATGTTCATACCCATGTATTGTTGATGGTATATACTCATATATGAATGGTATAAAATGGTATAAAATGATATAAAATGGTATATAATTATCCATATATGTACCTATATATTCGGACACCTCCATATAAACTGGAAACCACCAATGAGTTTGCTGCCGCGCCGTCCTGAGCTTCCCTGTGGCACCTCTGGCAGCGCGGTCGGCAGTTCGATCAAAGGACTTCCCACCTCAGCGAGGACAAAGGGGATGACATGGGGCATGGTCAATGGATCATAATGTGGATAATAATATGGGATAATATGGGATAATAATGTGGGATAATATGGGATAATCATAGGATTAAGCATCAACAAAATAGATATGGTTGAATTCCAAATATGGAATTTTCTGGATGAATCAATGGGAAGCATCTGGGATTCCCAGACATTCTGCGCCAGCCAATCTCCCACGGGAGGCTGCCAATCCTCAGAGTCAACCCAGAAATGTTGCTGGTTGTTGGTTGACCTACCCCTCTGAAAAATATGAAAGTCAGTTGGGATGATGACATTCCCAATATATGGAAAAATATACAAAATGTTCCAAACCACCAACCAGATGACATCATGAGGCTTTTTCTCAGGGACATTTTGTTGGGGATTTTTGAAGCAACGGAATTGGGATCCCAGAAATATGAAAATCAATTGAGGATCATCATCTCAGCTGGAGAAATAAACATGAAACTGCCATCTGCTGGCCTTGGTTTTCCCCGGGGGTGCCTCAGGGACCATCTGGATGGTTGATTCACAGCCGGGTCCCCAGGCTTTCTCGCCATCCATGGCACTCACATGATGTGCTGGCGAGGCCCTGTGGGCCTTTGTCCATGCTCTGGAACAGTATAACTTTGGCGGTCCAAAACTTTGCTGCAAGCACCCGCATAGAGTCTAGAGAGGGAATTGTGACTGTTTGGAAAGGTCTAGATTTCAGCAGCATAGAAAAGCCACCTGATCAACCTAAACCGGTAAGCTTGGAGGATAGTATGTTTCTTGCAGAGGTATCTGTCAAGCTTGTCGGGCCACGGCAATAACCGGAAACATCATCGTGTCTCATGACCACAGCCCCCTTAAAAAACTGGTGGATGGCCCTGGCTCTGACCTTCCGTTGCTGTGGAACTGAAATTTAACTTCCACTGGAACCTGTGGATGCCAATATGGCTTTGTCATGCAGTGAAAATAGGCTAGCCCAAAATCCACTGGTTTATCTGATTTATCATCATGTTGCATGTATATTATTCCCTTTTTTTAAAACACACCCAAACGTCATATGAACTTCATGAGGGTATAATAAACATGGTCATATCCCACTATGCCCCACTATCTCCCTCTTATGACTGGGTTTTATTCATGGTTTTATACCCATCCTTGATGCGTATCCCCATTGTCATCCCCATCGTTCCAGCTGTTTTCCAGCGATGATCCACGGTTTCACTGCATGCCCGGTAGGTAGTCATCTATCTCGGCCCAGGACAACCCATGTCTTGGTCATCTCCCAGTTGGCAGTTTTTCACTGAGATTTGCCACATGTTTTTGGCGAAAACACGAAAACGAAGAGATCATTGCTTCACATCCCCAAAAAATTGTTGGGGGAAAGATGAGGAGATCAAATATGGTTGTACCCTCTGGTAAATAAAAAAGATAACTATGGAAAAGAGGCTACTTGATAGGGATTTGCCAATCTACATCCAGGTGTTGAAGCTACATCCAGGTCTTCAGGAGCAGATATCGGACCAACAGTCACTCGTGTAGAATCTGAAAATAAAGAACGGCATCCTGGGCGTCCTTGCACGGTTCTCAAGGTATTACACCATGCTCACTTGGCCATTCCGAGAATGGCCACTGCTGCTATGTCACAGTGCGGGGCAGCATCAGTTTGGAGAACTAGCATGATAACCTTCCTTGTAAGGGAAAACGGACTCTCTGAGTAGACATGCTTGGACATCCTCGTACTCAGGTGTTCAATTCCTAGGTCAAATCATATTTCACGTGGAAGTCGCATGGAGGTCTCGTGGTGTTCAACATTTACAAGTCATGTACTGTGAACTTACAAGAACAAAACGCACACAAGTAGCACCGTAACATGAAAGCTAAGAAAAAGAAAAAAAAACATTGGAGGATGCATCTCCATCGCATCAAAGAGAGAATGAAAGATCATTGCCAGAGCACGCATACATGAGTAGCCCATCTATATAACACCACAAAAAATCTCCATCTTCTCCCCCTTGTTGATCGTTGGCCAGGCCAGAAAGGTTGAATGCAGCCATGGCCATGGGATGCTATGTCTATTTTCTGGGTATCAGAGGTCTGATTTGTTATGGATTTATCAACTATCATGGGATAATAGGGTCTATCTGATAGGTCTATCTGATAGTTCGATGGGTCAATGGTAAGCGACTACCAAAACAGATCAAGCCACGGATAGAGATGATCCATTTTGGAATGAGCTGCGCATGCTTGGCGGAGAGCAAAGAAAATCTGAAACCAAGTTGTACATCGTGTAAAATGGGTTAGAGTCCTCTTTGCTACATCTGCGCCTGATTTCAGTTTACCTTCAGCAATAGTTCGCAAGGATATATTCTTTGTTTCTGGGTCCCTCCAATTGGGTGGTCCCAAATAATCTCAATTCATCCAGAAAGCGATGGTCAGCCCTGCTAGGATCATCCTGAAGATAGCCAAGTGTTCAGAATCTGAAATATGCTCGGTCATTTCCCGTCCCTCTATATGTATGCATGCATGCATGCATGCATGTATGTATGTATTTATATATATATATATGTATTTATATATGTAAGTATTTATGTATGTATGTATGTATGTACGTACATCCTTTCATCATCCTTAGTGTTTTCTTACTTTTAAGGCTTCAAAGCCCAACTACTAACCCTACCATTTCGCTAATTGCTTTGGGATCTTCCCACTTGTCACAGCTACATGTTCCAAGCTCATTGGCCACCGCCGGCTGTGTGGATAGCACATTTTTTAGCGGCGCTCAACTGATGAAGGAGCGGACCTGGCTGGAAAACCCAAAGCCCCGAAAGAAAAAAAGAACCGTGAAATCCTACTGAAATAATATTTGGTGGTGAATGGATGATGATAAGCCCAGTTATACCAGGTATTACTGTTAGTTATATTCATCACTTTTCATCACTTTTCTATAATTTTGGTGGTGAATGGATGATGATAAGCCCAGTGTATATTGGATAGTATCACCATCGAAGCAATCATCAACCAACAGCGGTAGATCGCAGCCACTGCTCGATTGATTCCGATTGATTGCACAATCCAAAGGTTCAAAATAACACCTTCACTTCCCAGTTTCTTTTCTTTGTCATGGAAGCCTTTCTCCTTTCTCCTCCAGCATGCAGAATCATGATGAATCATGCATCCTCCAGCTTTGGGAAATTCATGATGTTGACTCTGGAGATTTGGGATCCACAGCTGTTCATTCTGCAGCTGCACTGCTCGCCTCATTTTGCCTGCTTGTTGGGACAAACGGCTTGGTGCACCTGGATGGCTGAAAAATTGGCTCAAGATTCACCGATGTATACTGATTTATTAAATCGTTTTCCCTTGAAAATAGCCATTTAAGGATCCATTTAGGTATACAGCATTTTCAGACCAAGATCGAAGTTTGATGAAAGCCGAAAGTCATGCCCCGCACCCCGCAGGAATCAGGGTCTTCACCAAGGTAAGATACGCGAGGTGTGCCAACAGAACTCATCAAAGCTTGGGTTTTAACCATCCAACTGGCGTTTAACCCAATCAAGCTGGGGGTTGCATGATGGATGAGCAGGATGATGGCAATATTGACAAACAAAATGTGGGGATATTTGGGGTCGGAATTGGGTCCAAACATCTTCAATTTGACCCTAGAAATTCAAAAAACAGAACGCATAAAATTGATGGCAAACATCCATCTTCCCTATCCCTTGGGTCAAAAGATCCATCCCAAAAAAGTCCACCATCCCCAAAGCCCTGCAGCTGCATTCACCTTCCAGCCTTTTTTCTGACAGTGCCTGGCAGGCTGGCAGAGAACATTCGTCAACACTTGGGTGTGTTTGAGAAATGTGGAAAAACTCTCATGTGGTCTTGTTTAATATGTTTGATAGGAAAGATGACGATAATCCAGTGGATTTGGGGATACCATCTTTTAAGACACGCCCACATGAAGGTTTCAGCTCATTGAAACAACATCCCAACTGCGCAATAGATCGCCAACTGCCTACTACAGTAGAAGGTCTGCTTGCAAGTGCACCTCGGATTGCCAAGTTGAAGTCTGGCAGAATCTCAACTATGGCTCGAACAGCAACCTGCCCTTGATCTACTTTTGGGGAAAATCAAGCCGCTCCGGAATACCATTGACATCCACCTACCATCATCATCTATCTATTTGTTGTTCAATGGCTATATCTGGATGATTTTGAAATAAGTCCCAGACCTGATTTAAAGTGTATTGTATATCAAGTTTTGGGATGATTTGGGTATTATTATCCTAAACAGCTATCTATATTGAAGGCAAGAATCTGTCTGCTTTCCCCAATGGTCATCATAAGTTTTTTGCGACAGAATTTAAGGCCAGTTGGGATAGTTGGGCGTGTCCGTTTTGCATCAGAAGACTGATGACAATCAGGAAATGAAGCTTTCCTGAAATGGGGTACCCCTAGTTATCATCCATTTTAATTAGGATTTTCCATGAAATAAACCATCCAGCTGTTGGGGTACCCCCATGACTATGGAAACCCCGAAAAAATCCTTTTGACTTAATCCCTGAGGTTCGATCTGCTGCATTTGCACCAGCCATCTTTGACAAACGTTGCAAGTAACGGCCTGCGCTGGGAGCCCTAGATTGAAGGCTATATATGGGGGTTTCCATAAATGGTGGTACCCCAAAATAGATGGTTTATAATGGTAAACCCTATAAAAATTAATGATTTTCTGGGGTACCACCATTTTAGGAAACACCCATATAATTTCCATACCAACCTCAACAGAAAAAAAAAAACTTGCTTCAATGGGCCAAAAAGGAATCAAAAGGTGGAAAGACTGCGTCTCTTATTAACAAAATCAACCACTGAATTTGAATATCATGGAAAAGTTCTGGAAATGAAATTGGGCATCCAGAGATTGAGGAATCCTGCAAGTCTGCAGTTGAACCAATTCTAGCATGGTCGGACTGGTTAATCAATCGGGATTCGAATGATGGGTTATAGAAATTCCCTATCAACCATCAACCACTAACTACCCTCCAGTAAACTAACATAGCTATTGAAAATGGCCATAGAAATATGTGATTTACCCATTAAAAAAAATGTGATTTTCCATGGTAAACCCAATAACAAGACATCCAATTTGGGATGACGATAAACTATCCATTTTTTATGATCATAAAATCCAATTGAATGATCATGGGATCATCAACTCCAGGGATATCAACTATCCATTTCTGGTACCCTTCTCTGGGTAAATTAAAATAAATCCCTTACCCTCTGGTAAACTAACAGTTTGCTATGGAAAACCACCATGTTTAATCAGTAAATCAACGAACTAAATGGATCTAAATGGCAAGTTTCAAAGGCTATGTTAGATCCCAACGCCGCCCCCAGGCAACTGGTAACGGAACCCCTTTTTTCGTTTTTGGGGTGGGGTGGAGGATGTTAACGTCCCTGTGAACTTCGGGGTTGCCTGGGTTATATATATATACATATATTTACAATATTACACAGTGAAAGTCACATTTAGATACATATATATATATAAACATGTGCATACATATACATTCATTTTCATTATTGTATACATACAAATGTAATTACATATCTTCTTGTTTGTTTATATTTATGCACATAAATATATTTCTCACTTACGTGTATATATATATATCACGTGTATGTGTGTATATATAATATACATATATATATATACTCATGTTTGGACAACTTAAATTAACTTGCCGGGGAATGTTCCATTGCACTTTCTCAAACAATTGGCCAAAGCTTGCAACGCTCGCTGATAATGGCGCAAAAACAAAAGAGCACAAGGCGCAAAGAACACAAGGCGTCAAAAAACACCAGTTGCCCAAGGGCGGCGCGACCTATGTTAGATTACCAGATGGTACCTGAAAAGTTTGGCAATTTGTGGGATAGTTACAGTACCCCCTTTTCATTCAACATCATCACTGAGGTCGTTACAAGTCATCCTTAAACATTATAGCTATTATGCAATATTATATATATATATTAAAACCCTAAAATGATTAATCATGTTTAACCATCATTAGTAACCATGAATAACAATAAATAACCATGAATGTCCCATGATATATCTAATATCAATGATTTATAAATGGTGTTAATAGCCGATGATTTACGATTATAAGTTTATCCCTTTATATATCCAGAGAATTTTCCCATAATAATCATATACATCCATTACTATCCAAATAATAAATCATTGCTATTACCATCAAATATAGAAATAATTATCCAATAGTAATGGTCTTTTTCCAGACTCTGGCTATTATGTATGAATAGTCAATAGTAATCCACAACTAATGGGCTTGCCCATGATTACATTAATAATGACCATTAACCATGATTATATTATCAATTAGCCATTCATTATATTATCCGTTAACCTACAATTATATTAATAATGACCATGATTAGTTGTTATAAATGGGTTATAATCCCATTAACTATAGATATATCACATATAAACCATAGTTGGTTGGTGGTTGACCTACCCCTCTGAAAAAATATGAATTCGTCAGTTGGGATGATGACATTCCCAACTAAATGGAAACATAAAATTCATGTTCCAAACCACCAATCAGATAGTTATTATTATTAGTTATAGTGGGTTATAATCCCATTAACTATAGATATATCACCAATAAACCATAGTTATTGGATGTTATTGGACTTATGAACCATTATGAACCAACTGGAATTTTCGAACGACCCATGAAATCCGCACCCGGCCGATCCTGTGCCGGGAACTTGGCGGTCGATAGGAAGGTCGCATAATGGCTCTGGACATCTTCCTGGCCGCGCTGGGAAATTCACCATGGCGCTGAATCAACGGGTCAAATCCTGGGAAAATCCATGGAAAACCCATGGAAAACCCATGGAAAATCCCTGGAATTTGGAGGTGTTTATAGCTAGGAAAATCTCAAATTCAATAGGTTGATTACTGGATGTTGTTTCAGTCTGCGCCAAAAATGAGTGTGCATTACGCGCAAAAAGTCAACCCAACAAAAACATGTGTTCCATTGTGTTGCTGTAATTTCCTGCATACCTTCCCCAAAAATAGATTGCAACAATGGTTGTTGATGCTGTTAATTGTGGTTGCTACCCTCTGGATCCCTCTGGTAATTTAACATAGCTATTGAACATGGCCATAGAAATAGTTGATTTACCCATTACTGTAAAAATGGTGGATCTTTCCACAGTTATGTAACAGTTTACCAGAGGGTAATGACTATAATAATATGATCATCCCATCTTATCCATTAACATCCCATTGCAATGGTTAATAATGACGAATGTTGGGGTACCCTACTTCCCTACACGCTCTGGTACCAAGAAAATTCACGGAGTCCGAAAAATCGAAAAGAGAACCAGTCACGAGCATCCAGAAGCCATCACTGGGTACAATCACTAACCAGCCATGGTGGGGGTTTCCTCAAAATGGGGGGTACCCCAACAGCTGGATGGTTTATTTCATGGAAAATCGACAAAAATGGATGATAACTGGGGGTACCAGCCATGGTGGTCTTGATGGGCTCAATCTGTTGATCTTCCCATGTTTGGCATGCCATCCACCACCAACAATCACCCAGTCTGGTTGTTCCAATCAGCTTCCTTGTTATACAAAATCTATCAAAATCTCTCAAGGGATATCTGGCTTTGTCTGAAAATGGGAAACACCAGTCTTTGATGTCGAATTATCATGTTCCCCATTGTTTGTTGGCCATATGTGGGTTTGTCCAAAAACAGGGTACCCCGATGTCTACTTTTTATCGTAACTCCCTTTACAATGCCAATTTAGGGGTATACCCCAGTACAGTATATCTCATTTCCAGACACACCCATTTCCGGGGGTCGGTCAATCCCCTGAGATAGACCCCACAAAAACATGCCAGCCGATGCATCACGATCGCCATCCACTAGCCTCAATACTGGGCCACGCTGCCATTGGGGCAGGCGTCTGCTGGTAGTTGACTCGACCCTAGGAAAAGATGTTGGAGTCACTGGGGATGGTTCACCATCATCATCATCCAGCCGTTCAGGTTGTACAACTCAAATTTTCTCAAACAGACTTGGCGCTTTTCAGCAATTTCAATCACCCAGCCATCCTCCAATTTCAACAAGACCCAAGCAGCTTTTCGTAGTTCTTCATCTCATCGGGATAGTTAGTCCACTCACTGCCGTCCGCAAAGTGCATGATCATGCAAGTCATGTTATCGCGGCTGTTCCTGCCATGACCAACCCCTGGTGGGTGACCAAATGGTAACATTTTTAAGGATTCCACATGTATGCCGATGTAAAGAAAACTAAATATGTGAATATGGGTATATAGTTACATGTGTATACATATATATATATAATACATATATGAAGATATGTATGTATACACATATGCAATTATGTGTATATATGTATATTATGTATATATATATATACGCTTATATATATATATTACCTGTGAATTTTATATAGGGGTGAACGATCTGCCCGTGTTTACCACAGCTCATCGATCCCATCCATTTCTTGTAGACAATCCTTCCCCTCTTTTGGATATCATCAACCAATCATATCAGCCATTGCTTTCAACATAAAACCACCAATTCATTACCACCTCAGCCGGCCTCACCCCCAACAGGTCTGGGCCAACAACCACCAACCAAGCAGCGGGGCACCTCTGAAGACACTGCCTCAAAATCTCCGCTGAGATGTCTCCCAGGTCACTCTCCGAGGTCAAAGCATCGCACACAAACTGTGCCTGGGTGGCGGCGCGATGCGTAGCCATGCGTAGCGATGCGTAGTTCTTGGATCCCATGGATTTCTGATAAACCCTCTGTGATCTGCCGGAAAATGAAGTATGTGTGTGTGTATGATTGTGTATGTATGTGTATATATATATATATGTATGTATGTGTGTGTGTGTGTGGCACCCCATATATATATATATATATACGCAGAACATATTGTGACTCTGGATACTTATATAAATCACTCTCAAGATTGAATGGTCAACGCAACAGAGGCATAACCATATTCAAAATTCCATCAGCTGAAGATCCTGCACCCCCTGAGTGTCGCACCACCTCTTCTGCAGTCATCACCTAAGTTTGTGAGTCACAGGTCCAAAGAGCCCTGGCTGAAAAGGTGGCATCAGAGCATCCAGTGTCTTTTTGCCGTTCATCATCCAAAGATTATGGGAAATGGCCCATTTATAGATGGTTTTCCTATTAAAAATGGTGATTTTCTATAGCTATGTTAAATTACCAGAGGGTATGGCTGGAGATTTTATCCCCACGCAAGAAATGGGAAGTTGGAAAATCTGAGGGAAAAGTGGCGCCATGACCCTGGATGATCGATTTGTCAGCCTGGTCTTCAAGGCGAAGCCCGCCTTACCAAAGAAGTGCTTCATCAAATCAGGTTTAACCTTCAATACCAGTGTATCATATTAATACCAATTTTAGTACCCAACAAATTCTCATCATGGGGATATATGGAGATATAGTATTGATCTACTGTTATTGTATGCGTATGTATACAATTGTGTATATATACATATATAATACATTTATATACACCATTGTACCCCCAATTATTATTTTTCCAGTGTATCTCCATTACATCCCCCCATTATATTCCCATTTTATCCAAGTCAGATCTCCATCTTTTCGTTCTCCCACCCCTTCTGACTGCTGCTGGGAAACGTCCCAAATGCCATCACAACCCAGGATACACAGACTTCCAGGCCTCAACGGTTCAGCTGTTCATCCCTCCAAAAAGCTGGGGAACATCAACATCAACCCACATCATACAGCTAGGGCTGGTCATTGACCTGTATGTCTGCTGTCGCCAGAAACTGACCATAAACTGCATTGAAAAGGTGACGAAAAATATCGGCTAACCAGACCCAGGGTCACATGAAGCACTGAAAGCGGGGCAATAATATCAGCAGTGTGATTATCAGGATTGATGAAGCCAACAAAAACTAGAATATCATTCGCAATACTGTATCTGGTGGATGGTTTCAGGCCATCCCAAATAGATGTGCTCAATGGGAACAATCCTCCTCACTCAAACCAATGTGTAATCCTTCCACTGGAGCTAGCACGTTTAGAACCTGTAACAGTAAACATAAAGGTTTTAATTCCGCCGTTGTTGTATAAAGACTGTCAATATTGTCTGGATAGTTCCTCGAACATGCGCTTTCCAACATGTACAATCTTGCACTTGACAGACCTTCAATGCTCAGAGTTCGGGCGCAGCATGGCGGACTTGAGGCCCAAACGTCACAGCTGAAACTTCGTAGATGTCCGGGATACAAGACACCTGCAAGCAGAAGCCATCTGGATAGAGGGCCATTTGGGACATCTATATATTATATATATATATCCTCTGGTACTCAAACATGGCAATGGAAATCCACCATGCATAATCATATTTATACATTATTTCATGATTTTCCCATGAAGACTTTAAACCTCCATTGAGTTCAGGGATTTCCTAGTCAGACATTTTTGATGACCGGAGGGCATCCTGGGTGTTGGGGTCTAGCCTTTTGCTCGCCGACGGGCTTTTGACCTCAGGCAAACACATACACAACAGATGCAAACTCTCTCATGTGCTCGTGAAACTCTTAGTACTTCTTTGGCTCCCCATTTAAAATGGAATATGGAGGTTTCCTGAGTCATAGAGCTACCCCATTGATCATCCATTTTTATAGGTTTTTTTCGTGGATTTTTGCATGACACAAACCATCCAGCTGTTGGGGGTCGCACATGGAAACCCCGCTGATCCAGGGCTCAGACCGTCAGCTTTGTATTCGAAATCGCCCAAGCCTCTACTGACCTTGGCCAGTTGAGCTGGATACACCAAAACAATGGCGAGCAAAAACATCATGATGATTCCCTTTTTTATATATTATTTATTTATCTATTCATTTATTCATTCATTCATTTATTTTATTATGTACTGGTTTATTTATTCATTTATCTATTTATTAATTTATTCATTATTATCATTATTATTAGTAGTAGCAGTAGTAGTAGTCACAAGGTTTCTCTTGGCTTCAAACCGCCAGGCTCCCATCAAGTCGAGGAGGGTCCTCACATCAATTCGTAGAAATGCTAATTGCACGTCACCACGCGGGTCAAACTCTTCTCTAAATGATAGTACAACCCAGTAATAGCATTAATAATAGTACTAGTAGTAACATGGCAACTGCAGTACCAGGATCTGAACTAGCTGCCGTTACCTCCTTAAATTCAAAATGTTTAGGCGAACTTTCTCCTGAAAATTCGAGCGCTGCTTGCAACAGCAGGAAGCTGCAAGAACAACACCCGTGTTTCTTTCAATCAACTCTGTCCAAAATCCAGACTCCAATGATACTTAAAATCTCCATCATGTTCCAGCATTTTCCATCATTTTTCCAGCATTTTCCTGGAGAATTCTGGCCTTTCTGCCCCATCTTCTGCCCCATCTCCAGCCATCTCCTCGAACGACACGGAGCCGCCAGCGGCTTCGATCCGTCCCTTTTCGGTGGGGTGATCCGGCCTCGGTGGACCCTTTTTGACCGTAGATGTTCGACAGAAAACATCTACAAATTCTGGGGGGTTAACATGATTTAAACACAGTTTCTGGAGGTTTTTCTAGGGGTTTAACATGGTTTAACCACAGTTTCTGGAGGTTGAACCACAGTTTCTGGAGGTTCCCCAGAATTTTTGCCATCAAAACGTCTTAAGAAACATGATATGTGGCAATGGTTAGTACTGGTTCATGATTTTTTTTTATTTTTCACGCCCCTGTTTTTTTTTCTAACCCTCATGTTAAGGATCAAAATCATGATAGGCAAAATGCATGTTCTTTTATCATGATATTTGGGGTAAATGATGGTTATAACGGATTTTTTTGTATGGGGATAGAATATAGAATGGGGATATAACAAAAATGAATCTTTGGCTGGCGAGTCTGGTGAGTATATATTATATCAGTTGATAGCAAAAGATTAAAGTACGAACCCAGAAATGGGGAGACAACATGGAAAAAACGTCTTTTTTGGGAGGGAAAAACAAGAACAAAAACAATCAACCAGTGGGAATTCTGATATTTAAATGGCATTTAGATGCATTTAGGGGATTGTATATATATATATTATGCCTTTGTCGGGATTTAAAAAAAAAATGTTGTGTAAACCAATCGGACTCTGATGTGTGTGTGTTTTCCCATCTGTCATAATTCATAAGCTCTACTTGTTGGTAGGAAAAATATCAGTGGGTGTGGTGAATTTGGAGGAGACTTCCCCCGCCGCTTTCCACACCAAGGCCGCCAAGGTGCTTGTGGTCGACCGTCTCAACCACCACCAGTGGCCTCGATCTTAGTGTTTTGGAAAATTGAGATTTTATCGATTTATAGGACCCCCCCCCAAAAAAAAATAGACTTTAGCAATTGTCCACTATGTCGGTTTTTTAGTTGTCTACCTTTTAGGTCAGATTCACTGGTTAATGTTGAGTGGTTTCGGTATACCTCAAGCACTTGAAACTTGGATAAATGATGATAAATGACTCACTTTACCTCCCATTCTAGTGATGCACCATTCAGCCGGAGGTAAATTCAGTAGGATTTGTTGGTCAGCCTTTCACCGCAAGTCCGCAGCGACCTTTTTTCTCCGTCCCAAGAGGTCGCATTGGCCAAACCTGCAGCAGAATCCCATCAGGGACTTCCACTTGGCCATAAAGACCCCATCAATTTCTCCATGGCTTGTAACGGTCACATCCCCTGCTAGCAATGAACAATCCCTCGTTGCCGAGTATTTACAGCGAATGTAACATATATCACAACTACAAGAGTGATGTCCACTTCCGTCGTCTATAGAGCCTATAGTCGCAGGTAGGAATTGTGGGACATGTTAGCTACTTATTGCATTCACAATTATAGTTCAATTCGTTAATGATTGATAGGGAATACACACTTTTATAGTCCCAAAAGCCACTCTGAAGTTCCAAAAAGCTGCGTCTAAAAATTGGGTATACCAGCAGTATACCATGGTATACCCCAAATCCATGGGTGATGTTCATCATTTTCCCTATGAAATAATTCCATTTAGGGAGCAACCACCAACTGCTGGCTCTGCACAGCCGCCACAGCACCTGTGGCGGCTCCTGGGACACATCAATTCAAAGTGGATTCCGACTGCATTTCCTCATCTTGCGGAGGTGAGGGGATTGGGTCTCCAATTACCACTGGAAATAGGATGAAAATGGATGAAATTGGGCCTAGAATCCATGTCACTTGGGATGTTTGCATGGGATAACTTTGATTGTTCCTTGCAGGAGTCTGCATGTAGAGTTTTCCATGAGAACCAACCACAAATGACAACAGTTGGACCTGAAATTGGTAGACATCCCGGAACCATAAACTGCAATTTCTGATTGGAAACTCCTTTTCCAGACCCCATTTTTTCGACATTTGTGGGTTCTATGTTGCTTTTCAGGAGGGTTGAGTGACCAAACCAACAACACTTTATGTCTGGGTATTCCTCCAATGCTGTGTCTAGTAACAATACTAAAATATAGTCATAATGCTGGTGGTAACTTTTGGGGCGGGGAGATTTCCAACATCATGTGGACAGTAGGGCCAAGTTCCAACCATTTTTCGGATATCCATCCCATTAGATCCATTAGGACCGGGGAATCTGCGAGACCAAGCTTCCATAATGCCAAACTTATTCAGCTTTCTCGGGACGAAGGGAGCCTCCTCTCGCGTTAGGCCCAGCTCATCACAGGCTTCTAGGAAGAAGCGCGCATGGGCGTGGCTGGAAAACTGCGACTCATTGCACGAGTAGTTCTCACCTGAAAGCAGGAAAAAGTTGGTCCAAGCGGGACAAAAAAAACTTGGGATCTAATCGGCTGAGAAGAAAATGTGACGTTTCTGGCAAAATGAGGACCCAAAAAAAGAGTCTGTGGTCAGTGGATGACACCAAAACGAGTGAGTGTTCCTTTGATCTTAAAATTGGTTTCAGAATGTTTCAGAAACGAGTCGAAGACAAATTCAACAAGTTTGAGACAGTCAAGCATCATGTTGCTGTGCACTCTGTAGCAACTCTGACAAGTCCAGATGCAAACTCGATATACTCGAGATACATTGCCACCACGAAATCCGTCAAAATACATCAAAAAACAAATCAAACAACATCAATAAAGCATCAACAAAACCTCAAAATCCATCAAAAATTTGTTCAAAAAGATCATCAAAAATCCATCTACGACAAAGACCATGAAAAAAAACAAAAATCTCAAGAGGTCTCACTTCTCATCTCTGACTTTGCAGGTCATCAATCCTATTGCAACTAGTGTAGCTCCGTGGCCGATCTTGTGGGTGTACATTCCAGTTTTCAATTTCCTGCAGGGCACCGGCTCAACACCATCTTATTGTTTGAGCCTTGAAATCAGCTCGCACCGAAGGTGCTGGGGCGTGATCTTCCGGATGGCACTCGTAAAAGGTTACAGGTTTACCTGGGGGGGGGGCATTTTTCGGCCAAAACCTCCTGTTTTTGATAGGTCGTGACGCTCGCCTTCAAAAAACACTGTAAAAAACAGTACGGAAGACACCTGTTCGTGAACGCGCCCGTCCAAAATCGGCAAGCGAAAAGTGAAAAAACCCTGTGTTTTTCAACTTTTTGACCTCAATTTTTTGGTTTGCAACATCTTTTTTTGCGGTTCCGCAGGTGGCCGGGCCCGGAGGCGGATTTTTGAGTTTTTGGACCCGTTTTCGGACTGATTTTCGTCGTTTTGTGATAGCAGAAACACTGGTTTTTACAGTGTTTTTCTGTTTTCTGCATGCTTGACGGCTAGCTTCAAAACTTCCAAAAACCTCGTAAATTACGCTGTTTTATGTTACGGTGTGAATGAAAACATCGTAAATACCTGTGTTTTTTGACGTTGGTTAAAAAAACACTGTAAATTACAGTGTTTTTGGCCACCTGACCCTCAAAAACCATGGTATTTGCAGTGGTTTCTGCTTCTCACCGCGCAAAAACACTGTAAATAACAGCAATTTCGCCGTTTTTTCATGTTTTTTCCGCTATACATGGCTATCAAATTCTTAGCGTTTTTTTTCCGACAATCAGTACTTTCGGATGTTTTTGGTCTCAATGGCCGACATCATTGGCAGTTACGAGCGGCTGCCCAACGATGCGGTGCGGGCGGTTGCCGTCGCGAAGCGACGTGAATAGTCGCCTGGGATCATCATCAACTTGATTTGATCAGAATTGCCTTCCCCGAAATGGACGGACATTGCCAGTTTGCACCCAAAACGAGGGAGAATCTTTTGAGAAGCCAAGTACAAGTCACTACACCCAGGAGAGAAATTCAAGAAGGGCCTCTGATCCTGAGCATGTTCAAACCCAAAGAGAAGATTCATAAAGATCCCATCTCCAAGTCTTTAGAACCCGGTTTTGTAGTATGAAACTTACCACTTTCCCAGCCATTTTCTTCTGGAAAATGAGAGAAACCCATGGCAACCCCAGGTCCTTCGCATGCGCCAGGTCTCCTTCGGATCCGAGAATGTGGGGATGCCTATTATAAACTGAACAGTCCGTTGGATGGTATTTCAAGCTGTTGCCAAAATGTGTCTTCACCTTTTTTCCCAAATAATTCCAAACATGCAAGAGGTGTGTTTAAAGAACGCCCCTGAAAACCCCCAAAGTTCAAGAGGTCATACCACCATCAAGGTTTGGTATGCAAATCTGAAACAAAAAACGCTCGTCCTCCTCGACAGGTCCGCAGAAGAGCATATTCTGCGGCGTCTCTCGTTCAGTGTACCCGGCCATTTGATCATAACTCTTCATCAACTCATCGATGTCACTGCACAGGGCGCTTGGAAGGTGTGGGCTTGGGGTGATAAGGGGTACCTCAATTACTGGTCCCAAGAGGGAAGCTATGGTACTTATGTGTACTTATGTGATACTACAACTACAACACCAAAATATAGACTGAGTAGTTCTATCCTTGTATTAAAGCGCCTATATTTTACAATGTTTTGTTTGATCCGTATGCCGCTTGTAAGCCCTTGTATTTTGTGCCATGTTCCCAGGGATGCTGAAGCCTAAGGCTGGATTTTTTAAATGGGTCGCAGCATTGAAAGCTCCATTGTGGAAGACTGAACATTACCAATTGATCTGTGGAAATGCGGTTGATCTTAACTCATACCCTGCATCACCCAGCTATCCTTGTCTACGTGGTGCATTCAACTCATCATCGAAACTATGAAGGGATCATCATCCTATTTTTGTGGGATCGAACATGAAGCTCTGGAAGAAAATCACCTTGGCTTATTGGCCTTGCTTCTCCCTGATTTTTGTTGGATTTCTATTGGCCTATCCGAATCCAACCTATCTGCTATACCAGCTGGATGAACATCACCAGCTATTTTGATATGAACAGCTGGTGGTACCAAGATCTTGTTCCATAACTCAATGGCGAGTGAAAATTCCAGGCCCCCAAGCGGCACTGCGAAAAGATGTTTGTGGATGGATACCCAATGACTTGACCCATATCCAAATACGACTGTCTGTCTGAAAATGGGCTACCCCAAATGATTTGTACAAGCACTGTCCCTATCAAATTCATGAATTGAGCATAAATTGAATGGTAAATCATGGCAAATCCATACATATATATATATATATTATGATATATATATATACACCCTCCGATAATCAAACATGGCTTGCTGGAAAATTCACCATTTAGTTCGATGATGTTCCCAGCGAACGAAACCTCCATTTATGGTTGGGATTCTCCAACCGGCCACGGTTGATGACACCGGAGAATCCGCCACTTGTGCGCCTCAACTGGAGGTCGCCCCTCTTGTACTTGTGCATCATGCTGAGGCTGCCAGGCAGGCCCTGACGTTGGAAACATGGAGGTGTATCCGAGTGTATCCCATTGCCGGAACTTCCCTGTCATGCCATGCCTTGCAAACGTCTCCCAGTTGATCCTTGGGCAAATCTGGCATTTTGGATGGGTTTCAATGGCATCATCACAAGATCATTCTGGAGTTGTTATGGTTTGTATATTACTATATGTTTTTTAGATATGAACTAGGGTTGACCCCTCTATTCTCCCCTTGTCTACTACTTACAGACCAACAAAACATGATCTTTCATGTTCTTGAAGAGATATACACAAATGGATAGGAATTGCAAAATTGCAGACTGGCAGTCATTTGTTCTTCGCAATGTCTGCTTCGAAAACGAAGCAATTCGCCGAATATCCAATGATGAGCATCCAGTCTAGTAGAATTTCACTAGGAAAAACAATCTGGTCGGCATCCGGAGCGTACCGCAAGAAACCCAACCATGATGCCCATGATGCCATACACATTCGGTGATGCAGTGATGCCCCATCGTGGTTGGTTACAGTGACAACTGCATTCTTTTCCTGTGAACTGGAACCCTTCTGGATTTCATGGTCTCCAGTGTTTTTTCAGAAATCGATCCGTTGATATTCATTCGTGTTTCCAAAAAACTGCCATACATCAATCTCATGGCTGACATTCTATTGATCATAAATCAATGAGACAACATGAACAATAATAACACCATCAGTCAATTATATAATCGTAAGTATTCGCAAGTCATAATAAATCAAATATAGATATTCACAAGTCACAAATCAATCAAATCAAGCAATGTTTATCCGTTACCCTCCGGCATCATCAAACATGGTTATCTTAATAAATCGACAATCCCCTATTCATGATGGGGAAACCATGGAATACTGTGGGGAAAAAATAAAGAACTATACTATAAATATCTATAAATGTAGGTTTATAGCTAGGAAAATCATGGGAAAACAACAGTTCCATGGAAATTTTTTGGGGACCCCTTGGTACCCCTATTTCCATAAGATTCCCATACTTTTGGTTGTTGGGTCGAGCATCCTGCTGCTCGTCCAGCTCTCGACGTCGTTGCTCCCGGCCCTTTTTTTGCATCATCTGTGCCAAAAAAAACACCAGATTATAGCCCTGCTATATACTATATATATATATGTATATATATATGTATATATATATGTATATATATATATGTAATATCGTAACCCTCCATAAAACTAGATGTATGTCAAAAAGGCGTATTGTATGTGTATGTATACATATATATATACACAGATATAGATAGACATATATATATATGTACATGTATGTGCGGAATGCAGTCAGCCAAATATAAATTAACAACCCAGCTACTTATATGTGGATTCATATGGATCTATGGGATATGCCCCAGTTATGTGCAAATCATATACATCTATGTGTGTGTTGTGTATATATATATGTATGTATGTGCATATATATATAGTATACATATATAATTATAGTATACATATATATATATACATACATACATACATACATACATTGTGTATACATATATATACACACACACCCCTCCAACTGTGATGCACAGTCCTTGGGCTTGTAGATAGGCTCGCTGTCTGGAAATGCATCACCTAAGAGGAACAAAAGGAGAGATTCAAGGCCCAAAAAACACACCATGCTGACTGGATGGTTCAGCTTAAAACATGTTTTTCAAGGTTCTGAAGTTGTCAAAGTCGGCTTGAAACTCAGAATTTCAGCTCTGCCAATACTGCCTTCTTCCCCATTTCCTCGAACGTTTTGGAACCATTGTGGTGGCAGCTTCGCGATCAACGGATTCCTTGGCTGTGCCCCGAATCCTTCGTTGAAAAAAACTCGTCTCAGCAAAATGGCATCTGTTCAGCAGTTTCATCACTGAGCAGGAGCATTTGGGTGTGTCTGAAAAGGTGGTATACCCCAGAAGCAGACATTGAGAATAGCGAAAATGATGTACAATCCACTGGATTTCCTTGGTTTTCCGCTACATTCTCAATCAACCCCCATTTTTTCAATTGTAGTTTGCAATAAACAATCACTGGTTGGTGGTTTCAACCCCTCTGAAAAATAAAAGTCAATGGGAAGGATTATACCATATATGATGGAAAATAAAAAATGTTTGAAACCACCATTTGTCCTCCATTTGTATGACACGCTGACAATGTCGTGTTTGAAACCACCAACCAGATCAGTTTCAAAAATGCCCTACAGTTAGTTGCAACCCATCCCGCACCCACAAAATCAGCGTCCTTCGATCCAACGCTGGAAACTCCTGAAAACCAAAGTCTTGGGAGATGAACCCCTTTTTTGCGGATGGCCCAAGTAAATAAAGATATGTATTATATATACATGTATATGTATAATCAAGTGAAGAGAGAGAGAGAGAGATATATATATATATCTGTAAACTTGCTCACGTGCGTACGTGCGTGGGTGCATGCATGCATTTATGTATGTAGGTACGTGCGTGCGTATGTATTTATGATTATTTATGTATGTATATATATATGTGTGTGTACATACATCTATATGTGTATATGCATCGATAGATGTACAGCTTGGAAATCATCATCCCACCATCCCTGCAGTGTCCTCTGAATTGCCGTTCATGGATTCACGAGACCGGAACGCAGCAAAACATCACAGGTGTAGGATGGCCCAATTTGATGGTGCCTGAAACGCGGGGGTTCCTAACATTTCCTAACTATTTATAGAACTAGACCATCTTGATAGACATTGGATATGATTCGATCCTGCTATCGACCGGTGGATTTTAGAGGTTTCTTGTTCTCCGTTGACCCATCAAGAAGCGCTTGATCCAAAGTGCAGATCCCTGCGAATCCAACAGCCGGAATTCAGAATATGTTTAAAGTCAACGAGCTTCCAAAAAACCGATGATGTGTAAGGTCATCAAATTGATATATCATATTATATAATATAATTTGATCTGAAAAAAAGAAGGTAGCAAGTTCCATCGCATGGCAACCATAAGCTATGTTCATTGAAATTACCATAGATCTATACCATCAATGGCATATATGAAGGTGTCCAAAAATGTTGGTACCCCAAGAGCTGGATGGTGACTATTTCATGGAATCCATCCATGAAAAAAACCATGGATTCCAATGGATGATTTGGGGTACCCCGGGTACCCCTATTTTAGGAAACATATCATTGAATCAATTTTACTGAAAAATGCTGGATCTTCCATGATCTTCCATGATCTTCCATGATCTTCCATGATCTTCCATGATCTTCCATATGTGGGTAAAACAATGTCATAAACCATCCCCCAGTCATCACCACGTTTATAGGTGGTATTATCATTCCCAGTCATGGCTGGTTTGTGGCATTGTTTCATAAATAGGTGGTATAAATCGGTATAAACAATTCCCAAATGGCTGGTTGGGCCCTCGTGATGGCGGAAAAAACCAGGGCTGCGGCTTTCCCGTGGGTGCTGCAACCTGGCGCGGTGATGTCCAGCTGGGTTGACGAAATCCCAGAAAATGAAGCGAAAACATGGTTTTAAACCATGGAAAAACCATGGAAAACACCATTAAAACATCGAAAATCATGGAAAAACTATGGAAAAGCCTTCCACATAAAGCCAAAAGCAATGGAAAACACTGCAACAGCCTCTAGAAATGATGCAGAAAATCCCACGGAAAACTGGAGGTCTTCGCTGGGAAAATCATCGAAACCAAAGATGTGACGGTGGGTCGGATCCTGATTCGGGATCATCGGAGTGAGACAACCAGTTTTGTATTACCATATGATATATGATAGATGTATGGATATCTCTAAATATGATAGCTATATATATATATTATATAGATATGGTACCTTTAATATGATATATATATATATACAGTATATGGATAAACTTGTTTGATGTTCACCAAAATATTAGTACTTGTACTTTTTGTATGAAACAAACATTCCCGATTTGTCATTCATCCTTTGTTGCTGGGATTCTGAAGAATGGCTTGCAGCACATCAGCACCATCCTCCAGCACATCAGTACGGCCTGGGTCTCACCCTTGACAGGATTGCCTGAAGGGGGTGGCAACTGAACAACAGGGGGTAGCGATTCTGTGAAGAATCCCAATCGATTTTCCATGATTCACGTTTAATAACCAAAAAAAAATCCATTGCATCCCCACATAACGAACATCAACCCCATTCATAGCCACATTTTGTTGATGGTTTTTGGTTTTATGTTCCTTTTCATTGACGGTTGAAAAACATATATCCCCATTGTATCCCCGTCATATACCCATCAATGGCTGGTATGTTCACCCTTTATACCTGATATCTTCCATTACCCTCTGGTAAACAGCCACATAACTATGGAAAATCAGCATTTTTAATGGGAAAACTCACTATAAATGGCCATTTTCAATAGCTGTGTTTGTTTACCAGAGGGTATATATTGATGGCTTATATCCCCATATATCTGTTACATCCCCATACATGGAGGGTTAATCCTCAGTAACATCCCCATTTAACCATGTATTGATGCTTACTTCCAATGTGTCTCCATATACAATACCCATATACATGCTAATATTAACCATCAATATTCGCCAAATGCCAATTACCATAAACCTCCAATACAAATGTAGATAGATGGTTAACATTTATCAATGTTGTTGGCTATATACTAATATATCAATCATCCATATGATATGTATTTATATATATGATATGTATCTATATATATATATATGATATGTATCTATATATATATGATATGTATATATATACACATTATTATATGTATATATATATGGATAATTGATATAGATATTGATATAGATATGCTGGATATTATATATATACCAATCCCATATTATATTGTAATCATCCATAGATCTTGAGCATCAAGGAGGATGATAAAAGCCAGCGCCTTTGGTCCCTAAAGCTTCGATGTGGCCAGGCCTCAGTCGAGGCCAAAATGGGGTGGAGGAAGGCTGAGAAGGCCGTTATCTAAAAATATATCCGATATTATGTGTATATATATATATTGTTATGATACTCAATATATATATATGATATTAAATCATATTAAATCCATTACATATTAGATATACGTATGCTTGTTATAAATTATTGGGATATTTTTTTCCGTAACCCTTGAGGTGACCTCTCTGCGGGGCAGATGATAAAAATGTCTGGTGCGTTTTACGTAGGGAATGAGGGAATGATACGACATAGTAACTATTAATAATCATTAAGGGGATTTAGTTTGTTAATATTTAATAGTTACTGGGGGGAATTATCATTAATACAACAATCCCATTGATGATTATTCATGAATGTTCATAATATAAATGGGGGAATGATCATTAATACAACAATCCCATTAATGATTATTCATGAATGTTCATAATATAAATGGGGGAATGATCATTAACACAACAAGATCATGGGGGAATAATCACTAATAATCCCATTCCCATCCATTCCCAGTAAGTTTTTTGGAGATGTAAAACTGAAAAACAACCCCCCCCGACTTCACAGGTCTGTGAACATCTGAGTGCAAGCACCGGCGTATCAAGGGCTCGGGACACGCCTCCTGGCTGCCATGAATGGTGTTGCTATCTTTTACCATCTTGACCTGTGGCTATATGGTATATACCATCAATAATTTGGGGATACTAATGTTAATATATGTTTATATATGTTTATACATGTATATATATGTGTGTGTTTATATGTGTTTATAATTTATATATGTGTTTATATGTGTTTATATATAATTTATATATGTGTTTATAATTTATATATGTTTAAATATGTTTACTTATGTTTATAAATGTTTATATATGATTATATGTGTTTATATGTGTTTATATGTGTTCATATATGTTTATATGTGTTTATATATGTTTATATATAAATGTATATATATATACATATATATATATATAGATGTGTGTGTGGGGTTTCTGCGATTTGAATCATTCAGCAATTCTTGGAGCTTCCGAGGTTCCTGCGTTTTTGTGGACCTCTGAAACAGAGTCTGGGAGAGAGTTGTCTTCTTTTCCTGCTGATTCTTGGTTGATGTTCTGTTCTGATTATCATCTGATTGATCTGATTGTGGGTGATTTTCAAGGACTGCCTGGGCTGTTTTCTACCCGTCAATCTACATGAGTTTGGTTCAAAGTTGGTACCCGAGAAGAGGATGTTTTGTGAGTGAGAGAAAACTGTGAATCTGTGAGTTCCAAAGCTTCATGATGTTTGAACCATACTCAAGTCGCTGATTCTAACTCCCATAGTATCACATGATTGCTTGCTTTAAGTACCATTTTCGTGGGTTAAACCCCATGATGCTTGCTGATGTTTTGGGCTGATGAAATCATGCTAAATTCGCTGAAAACCCACCAGTTACATGTCTAGTCTATGTTCGTTGGATTATCTGGCAAGTCTCAAAAATAAGATAAAATAAGGCATCCCTACATCTGGGTGGTTGATCATCATATATAAATGTTCCAATATCCCCAGTTTTCAGACACGAAAAGAATCATCTATATAAATATGGTTGACTTATATCCATTATATCCCCGCAAGATATCCCCATTTATGGCTGCTGTTTGTTTACCGCTACCGTAGCCGGTGGCTTTCACCATCATATTTCCAATGGATCAATGGGCTGGAAAAAAGCACCGTTTTTTGTGCATTCTTCATGGTTAAGACACTACCCCCAGTCTATACAGGAATCCCCATCATATCCATTTTATGGTTGGTCTGGAAAACCAATAGACCCTCCAGTTCCGCTATATCTTCCGTTGTTCCTGGTTCATATTCCCATGCCCCTAAATAAAATCACCTGCTGGTTAGGTATCCCCATTGATACAGTATCGACATTTTGTTGATGGCTTATGGTGTTCTATGATTTTCGCATTTAGTGATGAATGATCCACAAAAAAAAACATGATATTCCCATATATGGGTGGTGAATCCCCAGTAGCATCCCCATGTAAGCACATATTGATGCTTGATTTGAATGTTTCTCCATATATCAATGGCTTAGCCGCTAATGGTCGATATTGATGATTCATATTCCCATTTGGTTAAATATCCCATATTGATGGTTAATATTGATGGATAAATATCCCATTGATGGTTGATATTGATGGTTAATATTGATGCTTTCTCCATATTCCCGTTTGTTGGTGAAATATCCCATAAATGGTGATCTGGTTGGTGGTTTTAACAATCTTGAAAAATATTAGTTAGTGGGAAGGGTTATCCCATATATTATTGAAAATAAAAAATGTTCCAAACCACCAACCAGTGAAGATACCTCCATGAAAAACACTGCTCCAATTTTGGAGCCTCTTTGGGATTTCGGACCACCAGCGCGCGGGAATCTCCTCAGCTCTTCGGATGAAGAGAGATACTTCACCCGCAAAAATGTGGCATTACTGGCTATTTCATGAATGAATCTGGGTAAATTGTAACATTTCACTAAACTGAATTAAGGCCATTTTGGGGATGATTTCCCTTATTAACTATGATTGTAGTGGGGGAGAACAGTGAGGTCGTTATAATTTACCCAGATGAATGTATAACAGAAAAAATATCAATCCCCCAAACTTCATATAAGTGTGGGCCATTGAAAGCAACAAACTGCCTGTTTTTTTTTGCTTGGCTGGCAAACCAATCATTCTCATAACTACATACAGTAACCGCGACTTAAATTTATGGAGAGAAAGAAGTTCCATGAAATTGAAGGAGGGGCGAAACACGAACAGCATGGCACGCAAGCCGAACCATGGTGAGTGCTGTGAGGATACGTCTCAGCAATGGCCCTACAGCTACTTCGAAGGCGTTCAGATGCCATCAACATGTCACTGTGCCATGACCAGCAACTCTAACAATCCCTTTCAAGCAGCTTCTGAAAAGAAAAAAACACTTGTTGGTGGAGTTTTGGAGTCCCCAATGCCCAGAATTCCTGGGTTTTTGGTCACCAGTCACCAGTCAAAAATTCCCCTCTCATCTCGTGGATCCCGCTGGGAATGATGCCGCAATTCAGGAGTTTCACCTGACAAGACTCCGACATTCGTGCGCCAATATGAACAAAGCAGGCAATAAACACTGGTTGGTGGTTGACCTACCCCTCTGAAAAATATTAGTCAGTTGGAATGATTATTCCCAATATATGGAAAAAAATAAAAATGTTCCAAACCACCAACCAGAAAAAAAATGCAAGGTTGCTGAGCTGGGTTGCAGGTTGAAGTGTGTGTGTGTGTGTGAACCATCTGTAAAGATGTAAAACTTCTTACTTAGCAGGGGGATGGAGTGTGCTTCAGATGTCTCCATCCAACGAAGACGCATCTGTTTGCACAGTGATATGGATTGGGGACGCTCAATCCACGTACCTGCTCAATCTTTTTCATTTTCGTCCATGGCAACCGGCCAAGCCTAGAACCGGCAAGTCGAATTTCAAACCGGCTTTCAAACCAAATTTGATTTTTGCCTGTACGGTTTTCGCAATCTGATTTACTGCTGACTTCGTCAGATGGAACAGTTGCATCTAGCAAGGACGTAGAAAGAATCCTTCTTCACTGTTTCTCAAGCCTAGTCATCCACTTTCTCCTGTCAGGTTTAAATGAAGTGTTTGTGCACGTGCGATGCATTCCACATCAGTAATTCGATAAGATATTTCTGAGCAAGTGTGTCTCTCCTGCTGCTTACGTCATGTTGGCAGGAACCCTTCGGGGAAAGCCTTGCTAGGCTAACAATGGACAGTAAAACGATGTCTGAATTTACACTTTTGAATTAGTAATTCGTCTATGTAAAGTGAACTGCTGGCCCTTTTTCGATTCTCACCTTGTCGAAGTCGTTTGGTTGAACAACTGGCCGCTGTACCGGGCCTCCTTTTCCTTTTTGCAGACTTGCATAGTTGGAAGCCACGACAACAACCTTCCTGTTGCTTCAAGAGACTGCCCGCAACCATTTTGACATGGACCTTCAGGCAAGAGGACATGCTTTCCAGGTATGGTCACTTCCTTTTGGTTACTTTGGTGAGGTTCAATTGTGCACTTAATTCAGGGGTTGAACACGTAAGCTGTCCAGAGGGTTGTGAAATGAATGCCGAGGGCCTTTGAGCCTTATCACGAATACTGCATGCGTTGTGGATGCATCATGTCATTAACTAGTTCCCCATGGGTCCCTTTTTCTTCCTTTTTCATGTGTTCTTGCGTTCTCCTCTGTCTAGGTAGGTTTGGCCCGTTGCGTGCTGAGGTTGTTGTAGGTTTGCGCCGTGTCAGGTTGGTTCAGGCGCTTCTGTCTTCCCCCTCCTCCGCTGGTCTTGTTCCGTTTTCCGTCGGCCTCCGCTTTTCTTTTCCCTTGCCTTTCCAGGGTTGCCCGTTTTGGGCTAGGTTTCATGTGTTGGTGTTTTCTCCTTCCCTCTTCTTTTGCGTTCCCCTCTTTGCGTCCTGGTTAAGTAACTTTCATCTCATTGTCATCTTCACCTCATTTTCATTTCCCTTCTTCTTCATTTTCATCTCATGGTCGGGACCTTAATTTCTCACCCTCCTGCGGGAGGGTGTGTGTGAACCATCTGTAAAGATGCAAAACTTCTTACGTAGCAGGGGGATGGAGTGTGCTTCAGATGTCTCCATCCAACGAAGACGCATCTGTTTGCACAGTGATATGGATTGGGGACGCTCAATCCACGTACCTGCTCAATCTTTTTCATTTTCGTCCATGGCAACCGGCCAAGCCTAGAACCGGCAAGTCGAATTTCAAACCGGCTTTCAAACCAAATGTGATTTTTGCCTGTACGGTTTTCGCAATCTGATTTACTGCTGACTTCGTCAGATGGAACAGTTGCATCTAGCAAGGACGTAGAAAGAATCCTTCTTCACTGTTTCTCACGCCTAGTCATCCACTTTCTCCTGTCAGGTTTAAATGAAGTGTTTGTGCACGTGCGATGCATTCCACATCAGTAATTCGATAAGATATTTCTGAGCAAGTGTGTGTGTGTGTGCATCCTCATTTCATGATCCTGCATGCTCGGTTAAAATCTGATAAGATCCCATGATTGTAATGACAGAAAATACCCCGGTATGGTTGTTGTATCATGTTGTATCCCATTGTTGCATCCCATTTCCCATTATTATCCTATGATGATACCCCAGTATGGTTCTGCTGATTATATCCCCTTATTACAGTACATATTGTTACATCCCAGTCTTTTCTTGGGCATGAATCATGATCTATCCACATATGGAGGTTTCAAAAAATAAATGGGAGGTACCTCCAAATCATCCATGTTAATTTCGTTTTGTCCATCAAAAACCATCCATCTTTGGGCACCCCATGACTATGGAAACCCACGTGCATATATATATATGGTACCATTGCTATTGCTATATACCGTCTACGATATATGATACCATTGCTATATATATATACCATATACCATATCACATCTATAGTATACATAATATATACATTATATATATAACATATATATATATATAGTAGAATATATAGAATATACATGATATAATATATATATAATATAGAATATACATAATATATATAATATACATAATATATATATAATATACATTATATATATAATATATATACATAATAAATATATATATATAATAATATATATATATAATAATATATATATATAATATATATTTTATATAATGTGTATATATATAGAGCATATAGAGCATAGCTATCCAGTCGTCTTTCCCACCTTGTAGCTGCCGTCCTTGGTTTTTGCACAAACAGCACCCACCACCGTGGTCCCAGAGTCCTGCGGCTCAGAGTGGTGAAGGGCTGCGAAGCGCCATGGGAAAACATCAACCAATGGGAAAACCATGGGAAAACATCATGTTTTTTTTCAGTCACTGCAAAAAAAGTAAAAATATGAGGTGCCGAAAATTATCTAAGTGTATCTTTGGTGAATCAACATCCTAGGCTCCTAGGAGGTGCGATGGTTGAAAAATTACATAGCTTACATGCCCTCTCAGGTTTACCATCTGCGTCTTATCACGTTCTATTGGAAACCAAAAACACCATACAACCAACCACACCCTGGCTCTGCAAAATGATAAAACGTGCAATTTGAAATCTCGGATGATTTATTGTTTCAAATGTCCAGCTGAGCGCAAGAGGTTTTATCCTTTTCTCCAGCCCAGTCCATACACATCTCAGACTATTGCTATATTATTTGTGTTTCCCATCATGGGGGGACCCTCAAAATACCCATGTTCAGTGGGAATACCCAGATTTTCCCTCGAAATCTTCCCATGTTCTTTGGTGATCCCCTTCTTGGGAGAAACCTCTGCCATGTTTCCCACATTTTCCCACCAGCACCTTTTCAGCATGTTCTTGGAAGTAGCCGCGCAAGCGCTTGTCGACCGTCGAAAAAGCCTCCTCTAAATGCCTAGGTGCCACCGGATGGCCCTTTAGTTGAAACTACAGGGTTCTTCTGGTGCTATGTCAATGTCATTTACCCTGCTGTACCCTCTGGTAATTTAACATAGCTATTGAAAATGAACCATTTATAGTGGATTTTCCCACTCAAAATGGTGATTTTCCATAGCTACGTATTTAAATTACCAGAGGGTAAACGTTTAGATGCTGAAAACCCATGGTTTCCCTAGGAAAACGATCTTCACTTCACAGAAAAAACGATCAGCCGTTTTTGGGGCATCCGTGATCATGGAGGGTGGCATGCCACCTTGTTGCAGGTCTGATTCTCGGTTTAGTATCCCCACAAAAAAAAAGATCATCATATATCCCCATAAATATATATATATATATACATCAATGGTGTCCCCATGAATATCCCATGAATTGATGGTTAATTCATGTTAATTCTGAGGTATCAAACCATCCCCAATGGTAGCCACAGGGTCAAGTGACGCGTCAGATGGCACATCTGGAGCCTTCTCCCGTTTGCTCACCTCCTGAAATGGGTGGCTGATGGCTACAAGCATCAACCTTGAACGGAAAGTATTTTATGTGGCTTTGAGTACATAGATCACTAATATTATATTTGGGTATGTCTGAAAATGTTTGGGGGTGGGGGGGTGCTGGCAATTTTCATGGGGAAAATGATTTTAAAAACCAAGGGATGAAAAGGGGTACCCCAGACAAACTGCAAATGGAATGGTTTCGCAATAAAATCATGATTCAAAACAATGTGGATGTTGGGTTGATGAAGAAGAAATCATCCATGCCCGAAACCTCACCAAATCGGAAATTGGGGTATCAAATGCCGTCCAAGATACGGCCGAAAACGAACCCAAATTGGTGGCTTTGAACTAGTTTGAAACCAGACTTGCAAAAATTGTTGATGATTAATATTAGTATTCATTTAGTTATGTTCATTCAGAATTATATATTATGGCTTAAAGCAAACAAATCATTGATACATATTACATGTGTATGTGCATATATATATTGTGTTTTTGGTGCCACTTCTTCACCATCTTGGATAAACCACTACTGCTTGAGAGAGAGACAGCGTGTTGTCCGATTGCAACCAGTTGTGATCCCCTTGATGCAGTGGAGAACTTGGTGGCTCAGGAGGGCCAGAGGGCTTGGGTAGCCTGTAGCAACCTTCCGTTGGATTTGCACCGTGTTGCAGCCATAGAAAAGCTTAGCGGCCTTGGGAAGGCGTTGTGTTGGAGGAGATTTGAAGGAAAGGGATCAGGGGTCCCCAACTTGGTTTTGGTTGCTGCCAGTGTAGGGAACTACACTGGTAGCGGAGCTACCAAAGGCCAGCGAGGTGTTCATTGAACTAGGTCTTGCTGGAAGCCTTGTTGATCCAGGATGTCAGGTAGTGAATCTGGAACAGGTACTGGGACGGTTCAGTCAACTTCGACTGGATCTCTATCCATTTACCATGGAGCATGATCCCTGCCTTCAAGCCTGGAGAAACTGACATAAATGAGTACACGAAGAAGTTGGAGTTCTTAGCTAGCCTGTGGCCGCAAGAACACCTAGGGCAGCTCACCTCTCGAGCGGCAATGCTTTGCGAGGGAAGTTCTTTCAAGAAGGTCATGAGAATCGACCCTTCGAAATTGAAAGCCAATTCTGACAGTGGTGTCAAAGCTCTTGTTCAGACCTTAGGAGGGGAAAAGTTCGAACGTTTCGAGCGTGCTATTTTCACCACAGTTCAGAGAAGTGATGAGTCCCATGAAAGTTACATGGCCAGACACGATTTTCAGTTTGAAGAGCTTCTGCAGATGGGGGTTGGCTTTGCTGAGATTCGGGCCTATGTTCTTCTCAGGAACTCAGGCCTTGGTGCAGAGGACAAGAAGAAGTTGATTGTTGACGCCAATGGCTCCTTGGAGTACAAGAACATCGTGTCCGCGTTGAAACTGCTGGGATCTAGGTTTTTTCATGAACTTCAGTCTGGAAACAAAGCTGTAGTCCGCACAAAGACCTATGATGTGAATGCCGTGTTTGATGAAGAACAACCAGTTTTTTCCACAGAAGATGAATACGCTTTCACTGGAGAGACTTGGGATGAGCCTGAACCTTACTATGATGACAATGACCCTGATGCGATCGTGTGTATGCAATTCGAAGAAGGGCTTGTCGAGGCCTTGCAAAGTGACACAGAAATCGCATCGTGTTACAATACCTACCTCGACGCCCGGAAGCGTCTCACGGATCGCAACAAGAACCGAGGCTTCTGGAATGCATCCAAGGGGTCACAGCAGTTCTCCAAGGGGAAAGGCAAAGGGAAAGGGAAATGGAATGGCCGTTTCCGGAAACCGCTGTCTCAGCGGATTTTGGAGTCCGAGTGCAGACGTTGCGGCCAAAAAGGCCATTGGAAGGCAGAATGCCCCTTGAACAGATCTGCATCCGCCAGTACCACTGGCAACACCAAAGATGCTAATGCATTTGCCGGAACAGCCGCCGTGGTCTCCAGCTCTCTGCCTGAAGATGACATGATCCTTTTGGAAGAAGCTGCCGAGGCCTTTGAACTCAAAATGGGGTTTGTTGGGGATAAGCACGAGTGTTTCATGGGGATACATAACCATAGTGGGGATAGAGCCAGTGAGTTGAACCTGTCTGATTCTGTCCTGTCCAGGTTTGTCCGTTCCCTGAAGTGCCGCCTTAGCCCTCTGTTGCCGAGACCTCCTGAGCCACCTTTTGCAAAGACACAACCGGTGTCACCATGTCATGTTGAGCCGAAGCGTCCAACCGTGACCAATAGTGCCGAAGCCGAAGCATGTTTTGCCAGTCATGGACCCTTCGGGATTGTTGACTTAGGTGCAAGCCAGACAGTAATTGGCCAGGATCAATTGCAGGAGTTGTGGAACCATATTCCCAAGCATGTTTCCAAGAGCATCCGAAGGATTCCTTGCCAAACGATTTTCAGGTTTGGCAACAGCAGCACAGTGACCTGTCAAGAGGCTTTGCTGGTTCCCCTGGGAAAATGGTTAATCCGGGTTTGTGTAGTCAAGACTCAAACTCCCTTTTTGCTGTCAAACAATGTTTTTCGCACCTTGGGGGCACAGATCAATACAGCCACTGACATGGTTCATTTTTCCGAGCTTGACCTGACCATGCCACTACAGTTGTCTGAAAAGAAGCTGTACTTGCTGGATTTCTGCGACTTGATCAGCCGTGTAGCTTCTAGGAAAACCACCACAGTGTCTGAAACTGATTTGTCAGATCGACCCGTCATGTCAGTTGAGTCAGTGACCGAAGCCCCAGTAGAGAGGTTAACCGAAAGCCAATTCGAAGCCTCAAGCGTTGAGTCACCGTGTTCTGCATCCGAACCGTGTACACCACAGGTTAGCCGCTCTCATGGCCACGCCATCTCTTGCCGATCGCCTGCAGGCTGTCACCAACCAGAAGAAGCAAGAGGAGTTCATGACAAAGTCCTACGAGGAGTTGTCTCGCCTGCCAATTGCCTTCGGCGAGGCCAAAGTAGGGATGACCTACTTGGAGGTGATCGAGAAGGACCCGAAGTATGCTCAGTGGTTTGCCCGCAAGTATGCTCACAGCACCAAGGAGACCCACCGGTCTTTCCTGTTCTTCCTGAACCTGTATGTGGGGCGTCAAGAACTGAAGCGGAGGGAAGATCATCAACAGGCGCCGCTGACACCACGTCCAAATCTGGATCTGAGGGCCAAGAGTCGAGCAGCCCCACCGCCCTGTGCAGAGACAGGGAGTCAGGACAGTTGGTCCGAACCGGACATGACCTGGGAGCCATATGCTCCACCGGATGCTCAGATCTCAGAGGAAGTTCAGATGCAGGGCCAGCGCATCAACAACATGGAGAACATGCTGAGCCAGATCACGCAGCAGCTGCAGATGATCCTGCAGACGCAACCAACGAGCTCATCGAGCAAGTGACCCGCTCTGGACAAGATGTGGCTGAGCTCAGATCATGGATATGTGATGATGTAGGTTTTCAAAAACTCAAGGAACCGAACACTCAGATTCATGATGTCCAGTATTTTCAGACCGTGTTTCATGAAGAAGTTGAAATGGAAAATCCCATCTATCATGAAATGTGGAGATACTGGCAGAAGAAACATAGTCATATGAGCCTGGAACAAGTTGAGCGTCACTGGCAACAGTCCAAATGTCATTTGCTGGAAGTTTACTGCAGTGATCAGAGCCAACTGACCCACCAGAGTCAAATGCAGGGTCTCACAGCAATTCGTTTTGGTCTCAGACAGGGCGATTTGAGCACGTATGCTGGCCGTTGTCGTCTGTATGATGCTTTGTGGGTATTTAGGCCTAAGCACATTTGGGTTTCCCCGAAATGTTCACCATGGTGTCTTTGGAACCGCCTGAATGCCACCAAATCAGAACGTCTCGCCCAGCACGTAGCTCAGAGCCGAGCCGCTGAGAATGTACACTTGTGGATGTGCAGCGCCCTGTGTCAACTGCAGCTCTGGAGAGGGGATACTTTTCATTTTCATTTGGAACAGCCACAAGGTTCTGAAATGATCCATCAAAAGGAAATGATGTTCATCCTCCAACATACCTTACGTGTTCTGTGTGACATGTGTGTTGCAGGGGGCCTCAGACATCCCAATAGTCAAGAACACCTGCGCAAAAGAACCCAAGTGTTGACCACGTCCAAAATCATGCACCGGATGCTCGAAAGATGCCTCTGTGTGGGAGCCCGTCACCATGATGTTGTTGCAGGATCGTGTAAACCCAAGGGACAAGCTCGAATGTCAGTATCCAAATACACTGAACTTTACACTGCCATGTTTGGACGTAGGTTGGCCAGAGCCATTGACTGTAGCCAGCAAGTGAAAGAAAATCGCATTCAGCTGGAACCTTGTTTTGTTCAAGAAACCCAGGCTCCAGATGCCAAAATGACAGCTGACAATGCACCCGAGCCGAAACGTCGCAGATTGCACGGCAAATTCAGTCCGGAACAGATTTTTGTCCCTGACGTTTCAGCAGGCGATGGTAGTGCATCTGCTGCTTCAAGTTCACCACCCGGTGGTCCTGAAACCCGGGCACCCATGATTGCTCAGGCGATTCACATGGCAGAACAAAGTGCTCCCAGAGTTGGTAAATTGGTTGTTCAACAGGGTCCTCTATTTGATTTTGTCCAAGGGTTGTACCCCGATAAGACAGTTCAAGTAATAGACATCTGTCGAGGTGTAGACCGCCGTCGAACATGTCCAATCGGTTCCAAGGGTTTTGCACCACTGCGTAGGGTGTTTGGTAAGAAACGCCAAGATCTCCAAGTTTTTGAAGATGCAGAATGGGAAGCCTGGGAGACCTTGTCCCGTCGCCAACAGATCCGAAATGGGATTGCCGCTCGAATCGCAATTACAGTCTTTGCCACCCAGAAGCGTCCGGAAAGTGCATCCAACTCCGGCCTTTATGAAACCATGCCAGCCAAAAGAGTGAGGTTTGAGATGAATAATCCCGAAGGCATAACTCCGGATATGCCGGATCCCGAAGTGACCAAGAACAAACGATTGCCACTCACAGATACCATGCCAGAAACTCGTGAACCACACCATGTTCAAACCCAAACTCATGGACCAATGTTTAACAAACTACCACAATCATCCCAGAACATTGTGAAGAAACTTCACCAGAATCTTGGACACCCTGACAATCGTGTGCTGCAACTGGCCCTGAGACGCTATGGATGGTCAGAGCCTGATGTGCGAGCCTGCGCAGACTTCACATGCCCTGTTTGCGTAGAACTGCAGAAGCCCAAGATCTCAAGGCCGGGACACTTGAGTGAACCCCGTGATTTTAATGATCAAGTGTCGTTCGATGCTGCAGAATGGCAAGATGAAAATGGAAAGACCTATAGGTTCTACCATTTTATAGACTCTGCTTCCAACTATCATGTTGCCATACCTTATCATCAAGGGACGACAGAAGGGCTCATTGACGCGTTCCAAAGTGCTTGGCTCCGATGGGCTGGTCCGCCAAAACATCTGATGTTTGACAGTGGAACTGAGGCGAACAGTGAACTCTTTGGCAGGTTCCTCCAGGAACATAACATCAAGAGCTATGTCATTCCTACCGAGGCCCACTGGCAGCTTGGCAGAGCAGAAAGAAATGGAGCAGTGATCAAACACATGTTGGATAAGTATCATAAAGATCAATCCATCTCTAGTGATGATGATTTCAACCAAGGGCTTATTCACTTGTGTAACGCCAAGAATGCCATGTCCCGTCACGAAGGATACACACCGGAACTTTGGGTGTTGGGAAAAATGAAACCTGTCCCAGGAAGTTTAGCCTCCGGTCAACTAGATAGCGCCAGTTTCTCAGACCTGGATGTAAAGCCAACGGAGGGAAACAAGTTTCAGCAGATGTTAGCCCGCCGTGAAGCCGCACGAATAGCCTTCATCCGTGCTGATCATAGTGCAACATTGCGACGTGCGCTGCACGCCCGATCCCGGCCCGAGAGACTCACCTTCCAAACAGGTGACATTGTCATGTTTTGGAGATCAGGCAAAGGTGTTGAGGATGGATCGTGGCATGGGCCCGCAAAGATTCTCATGGTTGAAGACCGAAACCTTGTTTGGGTGAGTCACTTGACTAGGATCTACCGATGCGCTCCTGAGCACATTCGACAATTGTCGGAGGATGAAGCACGATCGGTTTCAGCTGACGATCAACGCATGTTTTTCCTGCCTGATAGAAGTGGATCCGGTGTCTTCCAATACCGAGAACTCACAGGTCAACAAGGACCACCTGGTCGACATAATCCACTTGAGCCACCCAATCGATCAGAACATCAAGTCACCAGAAACTCCAATAATTCCCATGACGTCCCTGAAACCATAATTGTCAGCAACCCACATAATCACGATAACCCTAACACCCATAACCTTCCTCATCCACCGTCCATTGCACAACCAGATGATGAGCCAGAAATACCCGGGGGGAGTAACACAGCACCTGCCACGTCAGCCGGAGATAACCCTGAAGATGATGTAGCTCCATGGGAGGTGCCTATTCCTGTTGAGGTCAATGATGATCTAGTAGCCACTCACAGGAGTCATGACTACTGGGAAGTTTCTGGAGACCAACTCATCCGACACCATGTCACTCCAAGGATTAACATGTTTTTTCCAGAAGAAGCGTGGTCGTGCCCAGTTGACCCACAGCAGATAGGAGACATGCGTAGTTCCCGAGGCGACTTCCTCTCAGGACAGACGTTCCAGAAGGAAGAACGATGGAGAGTCAATGTGGAAAGCCACCAACCTATGCCCGAACCCTGGACAGGTACCACAACTTTCAATTTAGAACCATCAAGTGCTGAACATATCAACTGCCACGTTCAACCATCCCACCATTTTCGAGGAACATCAGCTGAAATTTTTCTGACCATGGAAGAAGTTCAGAAATGCCTAGGAAGAACCTATGGGGAACAAGAGATTTTCTTGGCATCCGCAGCAAAAAGACAGAAAGTAGAGGTCAAGGAAAAAGAACTTTCACCGGAAGAACGAAAAATGTTTCTTGAAGCCAAGAATAAAGAAATTGACTCATGGTTAGCAACCGACACAGTTCGAAAAATTCTCCGATCCAAAATCCCAGAAGGACAACTCCTGAGGTCCAGATGGGTTCTCACCTGGAAGCACCTAGATGAAAAAGATCAACAAGAGACAGGTCTCACGAAGAAAGCCAAAGCCAGACTTGTCATCCTAGGTTACGAGGATCCGCAAATTGATTCACTTCCCCGTGATTCTCCAACCTTGGGCCGCGACAGCCGTATGTTGGCACTACAATGCATTTCCAGCCACCGATGGGGAGTGAAATCCTTTGACATCAAAACAGCATTTCTCAGAGGGAGTCGACAAGACTCTCGGATTCTTGGAGTAGAGCCACCGGCAGAACTACGTTGCAGAATGAAGCTCCAGGACCATGAGACATGTGAACTTTTAAAGGGTGCTTACGGCCTTATCAATGCACCTTTGCTATGGTATATCGAACTCAAAGGGGCACTTCAAAATTTAGGGTTTTTGGTATCTCCTCTTGACCCTTGTCTTTTTGTTTTGCCGAAGAAAAATCCCGCACCTGGAGAATCATACATCCATGGAGTCCTAGGAATCCACGTAGATGATGGCATAGGTGGCGGAGATGCAGTGTTCGCTAAAGCCATAAAAGCACTTGAAGCAAGGTTTCCGTTTGGTAGTCAGAGGCAGGGATCCTTCACTTTTACTGGGGTTGGAATCACACAGGAACCCAATGGAGACATTGTCTTGAATCAAAAGGATTATGTAAACGACATTTGCCCAATTGATATTCCCAGGGATAGAAGAAAAGAACATGATTCCAAGATCACCCCACATGAACTTCAACAGCTTCGTGGCCTGATTGGAAGCTTACAGTATGCAGCGACGAACAGCCGTCCCGACCTGTCGTGCAGACTGAGCTTGTTACAAGCCAAGGTCACCTGTGCCACTGTAGCTGACTTGACGCATGGGAATAAACTTCTGGCAGATGCAAAAAGGTTTTCCGAAGTTTCCATCAAGATTCAATCTCTGTCTCCTGACAAAATCCGTTTTCTGTCGTTTTCAGATGCAGCATTTGCTACACGAGAAAAAGCACACTCGCAAAAGGGTTGTTTGATTTTGGCGACCACCGATGAGATCGATCAGACCAAAACTTCCAATGTAAGTCCTTTAGTGTGGTTCTCTAAGAAAATCAATCGTGTAGTTGCCAGCACGTTAGCTTCAGAGACATATGCCCTCTCTGGTGCCTTGGATCTTCTCAGTTGGATCAGGATGCATTGGGCATGGATCAATAATCCCACTATCAATTGGCGTAATCCCGAAATCACCCTCAAAACATTACCGAATGCATTTGCAGTGGTAGATTGTAAAAGCCTATTTGATTTGTTACAAAAGACATCCATTCCCCAATGTTCAGAATATCGCACAATGCTTGAAGCACTTGTAATCAAAGATCGTCTTTCAGAAGGAGTCCATGTAAAGTGGGTACACTCTGCAGCTCAGATGGCCGATGCGTTAACCAAAGAAATGGATACCAGCGTTTTGCGTACCTTCTTGAAGCATGGAAAATGTATCCTGCATGACGTAGACGAGATTCTTCGTCAACGAGCCGACAAAAAGATCCGACAGCAATGGTACCAGCAATCAAGCTCCATCGACTCCGCTTTGCATGTTTTTGCGTTGATGATGAATGCTGGGAAAGGAGATGACCAAGTCAGTTCCGAAGAGCTCTGACCAATAGCTCTCCACCTGAAAGCATGCCTGTATCAACTTGTTCCTTGGAAAAATATAAGCCTGTGGACTCCACTTCTTTAGCCTGGGGGCTGGTTCCGGAAAGGAGACACGTTCAAAACTCACATGAACCTTGGAATATAATTCGTCAAAATAAACATAAAGAAAAAGATAGTTTTTTAGGAGTGTGTTTTTGGTGCCACTTCTTCACCATCTTGGATAAACCACTACTGCTTGAGAGAGAGACAGCGTGTTGTCCGATTGCAACCAGTTGTGATCCCCTTGATGCAGTGGAGAACTTGGTGGCTCAGGAGGGCCAGAGGGCTTGGGTAGCCTGTAGCAACCTTCCGTTGGATTTGCACCGTGTTGCAGCCATAGAAAAGCTTAGCGGCCTTGGGAAGGCGTTGTGTTGGAGGAGATTTGAAGGAAAGGGATCAGGGGTCCCCAACTTGGTTTTGGTTGCTGCCAGTGTAGGGAACTACAATATATATATATATATTATGTTTGTCCATCTATATTGCAAACATAAATACAGTATAATGATTAACCGTCAATATTACCGCCAATAAATGCATAATATTCATCCATCATCCAACCACTTCTTTCCGCCGAACTCCCCAGCGACCCCGGGTCTCCTCCAGAAGTTCGGGGGCGGAGAAGAGTGCCGCGCCATCGCCTCCATGACCTTTCACAGCGGAGCCAAAATATGGTGCTTGGTGAAATCATGGTGGTTGATTTAAGGCATATAAGTAATGGGATATTCATATATACATATGTACATATATACATATATACATATATACATATATACATATATACATATATACATATATACATATATACATATATACATATATGGATATATATGGGATTGATATATGGATACAGTTTATATAACCCTACCTTTGACATATGGGATATATGTTTTATATATGAGATCTATGGGATTGAGATATGGAATTGATATACGGATATATAATGATATAACTAACCAACCATTGGGATATACCATGGTGATTATTCATGGGATATAACTGATAGGATTTAGCTAACCATTGATATAACTAACTAACCAAGCAAATATGATCTATGGTTGTGGTTCAAACCCCTGGGACCCAAACGGTACCCTAAGTCATAGCTGGTATAGCATAGCTGGTAATTTCATAGGTTTTGACCCATCCCCATCTGGGATATTTGTGGGATATTCATGGGGAATTACAATGGTCTATAACGATTGTATCAGTAAAACACCATAATCATATAATCACCATATTCTATGTTATAAGTTATAAGCACTATAATGGTGTCCGATTATTTGTCCATTTATTGACGGTCAATGATCCATTATATCACCATTGTATCCCTGTTGTATCCCCATTTATGATTGGTATAAGCATTTATAGGGATACAGTACACCATAATGGTGGTTGATATATATATATATATGGTAATGGAAACTAAATAGTTTATATTGTTATATTGCTAATATTGATGGTTAATATCAACATTTGTTGTGGGTGAAATACCATATATATATATACATGTATATATATATATATATTGACCATCAATATTAGGCAAAGAATCAAACACCATAAACCATATACTGATATATGTATATACATATAGATGGTCAATATATGATTGTTGCTTGTATATCTATGTATTCATCATCCATATATTGGGATACAATTGATAATCATCCATAGATGTTTACCATTAATGAGGACGGATGCCCATATGATGGTATTGCCCATACATTCATGGTGCGCCATATTATTCAGACATTCATGGATAGTGTGTACATTTAAAGACATGCCTCTGTTGATAACATACATGTCATTATATGTAATTGTATATCCAAGAAATAAAATCTAGCCATGATCATCCATATATCCATATGGGTGTTTCTTCAAATGCGGGATCACCAAGTCACCATGCTTGTTTCAATACTACAATGGGCATCCGTGACGACTGGATGATTTGGGGGTACCCCCATGACATAGGAAACCTCCAGATGGCAATGGAAACGCTATCACATGATTTTGTTTGCTATCTTGTTGATATAATTAAACTACTATATAACCTACAATCAACCTCTGGTAATCGAAACTGATTGAACTCCGTTGGCCGCACAAATCGTTGTGAAAAAAAAACAAGCCAATGATTACCCAAGGGTCCAAATCCCTAGACAGGTTGATACACCCATGGTTCATAGGATTTTTGTTGGTTGTTGAATGGGATGAACTATCCAATCTAAGGTCTATGTAACGGTGTATGTAAGGCCACATCCGCGCACAACATTGCCTCAAAAAGGTTCTGTACCTCTTTTTCAGGTACCAATGGCCGTTGGGGCTTTATTTCTGTCTCGTCTATCATTGAAGTCATTGATAACAAATATGGTGGCAACATGAGATTTGGCACCCAGGTGTAGACTGGAAGAAAAACGGTGATCCTCTTGTTATCAAAGATCAAAATGGGAAGCCATCATATTTCTGATAAAAATATCATTGATATTCAGTGATACCCATTGATATCCATTGATATTCATTGATCATATCATATACCCTCTGGTAATTCAACATGGCTATTGAAAATGGCCATTTATAGTTGATTTACCCATTAAAAATTGTGATTTTCCATAGTTATGTTAGTTTACCAGAGGGTAAATCCATCTTCAAAGATCAAAACTCCCCCCAATTCGGTGTCTTGAAAACCAAGCTGCCATCCAGCACGAAACAGGTGGCCGATGAAGCATCACAGCGCATTGCATGAGCATCCTGGCCGACAAATTTCTCGCTGTTTTCGGTGAAAAAACTGGAGGATAGGTTTATTGGGGATTTAATGGGGATTTAATGGGGATTTAATGGGGATTTAATGGTGATTAATGATGATGAATGGCTATTGATGGTTAATGGGCTATTAATGGTTATTAATGATGACTAATGTGGTTAAAACAATGCCATAAACCAGCCATGACTGGGAATGGTTGAAATCCCAGCTATAAAAATGCTGATGACTGGGGGATGGTTTATGTGGTTTATTATCGTTTTACCCACATTATATGTAAAGACATGTAAATGATATATGTGTATGGCTATATTTGTGTAGTCCAACATTCCAACCCATCGAACGTCTGGATCCTGGTCCGCTGGGTCTTCAATGAATTGACCCTGGATTGGAAGGACAATGGCGACCGGAAATCATGGAATTTACCCAATTCATTCGATTTTCCTTTGGAAAACTAAAGGAAGTAGCATAAATATGAGCAGTGTTCAAATCCCCTGTTGATGATTGGTTCACGGATTTGCCACTATTCCAGTGGAGAAAAAATATCCATGAACTAGGAATCCCTGTTAACCAACCAGTACTACCCTCTGGTTATTTAACATAGCCATGGAAAATCACCATTTTTAATAGGTAAACCATCTATAAATGGGCCATTTCCCATGGCTATGTTAAATAACCAGAGGGTACATGAAACAACACAGACTTTTCCCGGCCTCGTGCCCAACCCGCCAGCCCTGCATCTCAGCTACAGCGCAGCGGAAGGCAGCATTGCCATGCCTTTTTCGTCAAACGACCAGGGAATTGGATGAATTGGATGGCTGATGGGTACAAAAACCAGCCCAGAAATATCTGGAATGGGGAGATTGAGAAATTCAAGATAGTATTTTAGCCATCAGTAGGTCGGGAAAGATTGGGTTTTAAGAAACAAATAATGGATATGAATGCAAACTAACCAGGAATCATTGGTAGACGAATGGAGGTATAATAGGATACCATATTTATATAAGATGGATTTCTCTGAAACTGGGGAAGTGTTTACCCTCTGGTAATTTAACATAGCTATGGAAAAATTGGACCATAGAAACAGATGCTTTTCCCAAGCAGAAACCTCCATTTACAAAGTGGATTTTCCAGTTCGATATGTGAAATTACCAGATGGTACATCATATAGATATACATCATATAATCTATAGATATACATCATATAATCTATAGATATACATCATATAATCTATAGATATACATCATATAATCTATAGATATACATCATGTAATCTATAGATATACATCATATAATCTATAGATATACATCATATAATCTATAGATATACATCATATAATCTATAGATATACATCATATAATCTATAGATATACATCATATAATCTATAGATATACATCATATATTCTATAGATATACATCATGTAATCTATAGATATACATCATATAATCTATAGATATACATCATCTAATCTATAGATATACATCATATAATCTATAGATATACATCATATAATCTATAGATATACATCATATAATCTATAGATATACATCATATAATCTATAGATATACATCATATAATCTATAGATATACATCATATAATCTATAGATATACATCATATAATCTATAGATATACATCATATATTCTATAGATATACATCATGTAATCTATAGATATACATCATATAATCTATAGATATAATCATCATATAATCTATAGATATACATCATATAATCTATAGATATACATCATATAATCTATAGATATACATCATATAATCTATAGATATACATCATATAATCTATAGATATACATCATATAATCTATAGATATATCATCATACATCAGATATACATCTATAGATATACATCATATACATCATATAATCTATAGATATACATCATATAATCTATAGATATACATCATATATCTATAGATATACATCATGTAATCTATAGATATACATCATATAATCTATAGATATACATCATATAATCTATAGATATACATCATATAATCTATAGATATACATCATATAATCTATAGATATACATCATATAATCTATAGATATACATCATATAATCTATAGATATACATCATATAATCTTCATAAACGGAAAACGATCATAAACCCAGGGGATTTGGGAAGGCTAACGATGGGTCAACTTTCATCTTTCAGTTCTGCAGATTCTGCAGAAAATCGCCATCCATGGAAAGGGGTCAATGTTTGCATATTTTTTTGCAACCCAAATGAAACAATAACTGGTTGGTGGTGCAATAACCATCTTGAAAAATGATGGAGTTCGTCAATGGGAAGGATCACAAGCCTTATGTGAAATGGAAAATAAAAAATGTTGCAAACCACCAACCAGATAGTTATTATTATTAGTTATAAATGGATATAAATGGGTTATAATCCCATTAACTATAGATATATCACCAATAAACCATAGTTAACATACACTTGACATGTTTAAATCATAGTATTTATCCTCCACAAACTCCGAGTCAGAGATGGGCTAGCCGGCTAGCTGTACCAACAGGGGGAAAAAACCAGCTATCATGGGTTGACATCACCCTAGTTTCAGACAAACAAACTCAGATGAAATTGATATCTGGAAACAACAAATTCATTCCTACTATCAAAGATTGTTCTATTGACACCCCCAAAAAAAGATTGGTATGGGAATATGTCAGCAATGCGAAAGATTAGGGATATTTGACCATCACCATTGCTGGACAAATCCATTTGGGTACTGGTCAAGCCCATTTTCTGTTGAACCCCTATGTTTTGATTGGTTGAGCCACCGTTTTGTTGCTTAAACCTTCGGTGTTGATTTAATTTACCGCTGTAGTTGGTTAAACCCATCATTATCGGCTATGTTCGGCAGATACAAAGCATTAAAACCATAGTGAACCATATTCTATAAACAAAACTAACCATGCATCAACATGGTTCAAGCCTTGTTTTCCTATCTCGAAATTCATCCCCGATTTTTTTTAATTCCATGAGCTCCGCCGTGGCCTTTGCACTCGGATGAGCTCCACAGGGCTCGAAAGCGCGCAGCCCATGGTGAAATGTCGAAAGATCACCTGGCGATTTTTCGACCACATTTTTCAATCAAACCTAGGGATTTTTAAAACAATGGAATAAATGGGGATCAACTGGACTTATGATGAGTTGAATGATTGACTCAACACACAGCAAGCAGGGGATCCAAATTATAGTAAATCCATGTAAATCCCAAGTCGCAGATTTGTTGAGTCATTTGGGGAAAATTTACCCTTACCATGTATGGTGAGCTTGTAAGTGAGGTCGCTATTGGATGGTGGGTTGAACTGGTGCCACCAACTGCTGGATTTTTAAAACTTCGGGATGGCTGAAGCAGGCCTCGACTTTGAGGAACATTTTACCATATCTTACCTGTAAAAAAATGTTGGGAAAACATGGGAAAACAAGCAAGACTTTGATACTTTCATACATCTTAATTCCAGAAACTGGCCATTTGATATTGGTGCCAGCCACCAGGAAGTCAGGAAGAATCGACTCAGCAGCCATCAACTCATGGTCTAAAAAGGGCTCAAAAAGGGGCACCCACAATGGACCCACAGTAGATTGGGCCTTTTCTGTTTTAGATTTTAGACCATCCAAATTTGAACGTCATTTTGATGGGTTCTAGTAAGAAAATTGTACCACGGACACAATTTTTTTGCTTCTAATGACCCGAACCATAGCACCAATCCTCTCACGTCTTCAAAAACAAACCGTAGCAATACGGCGATACATCTCCCATCATCCCTGCAATATATTGGTTTAGGGGGAATCAAAAGATACAGGAAACACCCACATTTCATATCATTTCATATCATTTCATATCATTTCATATCATTTCATATCATTTCATATCATTTCATATCATTTCATCATATGTCATGGGAAAAAAACTATGGAAAAACATGGTTTTTTCCTTCAGATGTTCCGTGAAAATCAGCCCATTTTTTGCCCTGCCATGCGCCTATGACAAATCCATGGAGCCCACGTGCACGACGCGATTCGCTGGCGCGCTGGCGGGGGCGCCTGAAATTAACCGACCGCGGGGGTCGGTTCAGGGTACGAGTTTTCAACGGCCACGACTGGAGCAACAAACAGCGGTTGGATGGTCGTCAATATTTTCGAGATTTTTTTAGGGGTTCCATAAATGGGGGGTACCCCGAAATTTCTGGTTTATTTCATGGACAATCCTATGAATATGGATGATTTGGGGGGTACCCCCATTTAGGAAACTTCTATATACCTGCAAATGAACCCCTTAATATGTCTTGCGCATAGTCTGAATTGGATTTGTGTAATGGATGAACTGAACACGGATGAAGTGTGATTATGAAATTGATTACCAGTTCTGTAGTTGATATCTAGTTGATACGTAGTCAATATAAAGTTAATATGCAATTAACATGTAGCTGATATGAAATTGTATTTACTTCGTAGTTAATTTGTAGTTAAGTGGTTAATACAGTTTTATTCAATTAGGCTGATGATTTCTCTGTTTGGGGGAGGAAAAAATTACCTTACTTCGAGTGATCCCCACCCTGAGACACCATTCTGACATAGTTTTTGAGGAAGTCATTCCCCCTTTCCCTGTGAACAGGGGTACCCTTGCGACAGACACAAGACCCGTCTGCAACTTTTCTCGCAGCGGCCACACGGGTCTGCGTCGTGTCGTTACTTTTTCTTTGCGGTGATCTTCAGCTTCTTAACGGCTTTTCCCTGGGAGACGGCAGAGATCTTCAAAAAAAGACACACCAACTGGTGGGGAGAGAAACTCTCACCATATCATAAACCGGATCTTTTTTAGGGATACACCGGTGGAAGATGTGTGTCTGTCTGCGTGCGTATGTATTGTATGTATGTATATATATATATAATTATATACTGTAACACATAGATATACATTCGGAATCATTATGTGTATACATATACATATACATATACATATATATATATACATACACATCGGAAGATTGTGTGTATACACAATATCACATAGTCCTCAAAATGTGACAGAGATCTCCGCAATCAGATAAAGAAGGAAGCCACACCATGTCGAGGATTGAATATGGCCTGAAAGCTGCCGCACCAGTTAGGATCCGTCGCTTACTTCACCCCAGTTACAACTGGACATGGCCCCAATTGCCCATAATTCCCCTACTTATAACTGGGTTATGACCCATTTTCTAACTGGAACCACAAGTAATGATGAATAAAGTATGTACACTTTTTCAAAATCAGTGCAGATATCTCCAGCCACAACCCAGTACATGCACCGGGGGCACCTCGGTATTTGCGTCGGAACGTGCGGACACTGGGCGGCAAAGGGGACAAAACGACCAAAACAAAAATTGAGGCAGGCTACGAGCCCAATCTAAACAGGGACTATAGATCAGCTATATTCATCTACTACATTTATATACATATGTATATACATTTATGCCATCTATGCCAAAATCCTTTAAGACTTAGCAGAACTCTCCCCGAAGCGTGATGAACGGTCAGTTCGTGTGCTTCAATCTAGCCCGGCAACCAGGATACGCACCTTCGCTAGCAGC